ACTTAATTTAGGTGCAAATCCTCTCTTATCCAGATCGAGTATATATTGAATAAAACTTCCTCTTCCAATTTGATCAAATTATAGCTTTTTGGTCGACTTTCAGCCATATTAGGTTTACCTCGAATTCTATCACCCAATGTAGATCAAGGCACACTATAGAACTGAGCTGTCTTCCGAATTGTTAATTTTGGATTTGATTCAATAGCCTTAATAGCTAAGATTATTCGTGCTTCTTTAGAATGAATTTCTATAATTAGTTATTAAGAAAACGCGTATTAAGTGTAGAATAATAAATCGAGGTAAAAGTGGCCGACCCACTGATATGGCCGACCCACTGATAAACCACGTTAGCTCTATAATCTTTCAAAATATATTTTAAGCTCTAATTATCTAGACTTTGAAACAAAGGTTTTTTTATTATTTATAATCAAGAATCTATTTATAGATCTCGAAAGCATTGAATTATTCAAGTAGAGTAGTAAGCTAAAGCTTAGATTTAAATTTCTAAAATTAGTTTTATTAAATGAATATCACTTTGATAGATTATCGAGTTAATCTGATTTTTTAGAAACTACAGCCAACCTCATTTGTATAGAGACTTTGGCTTGCCTATTATCAAAATTGATACTACTACACTGTAGTATATCTCGGACTCAACAATATTGGTGGCTAATTGCAGGCCCAATAGCAGGGATCAGCAAATTCCATCTTCTTTATCTCTTACTTTCTTTCTCTCTTTCTTTCCTCTCATTTCCATCACTTTTCTATCTTTCACTCTATCGCTTTTGAGATCATACAAAATACCTTTTGGAGATTTTCGAGAATCGATGGTTTCTTTTCAATACAACATCATCTGATACAAACCACAAAGGATTTTTCTCATTCGTAAAAAATATCAAGATCGAAGAACTCTTCAGGTTCAAACATAGTTTACTATCATGTGAGTTTCTCCTTTCAGTACAAATTGATACTCTTACAACCCGTTCATCGCATTTCATTCTCGCACGTCCAATTTCATCTGTTGTTGTGGCCTACTATTGTTATTGTACTTTTCATTGATTCACTTGATTTTATATCTGTTTTACATACAAGATTTATCTTAGTGGTATTACAGTTGATGTCATTCATTTCTCGGAGTGGCTTATACATAATATCTAAGGGTATTGATTTCTGTTTGTCAAAGTTGCATATATTATAATCTGGCTATTGTTTGCTTTGGAAATATAATATTTCATTATTTTTCTCATAAATCCTTTGGATTGAGAGATTATACTTTGTATTCTCAACAACTCTCAAAAATTGTTCTTTGATACTCAAAGCACAATTAAAAATCGAGAACCCATGATTTGAAGTGATGCTAATATGGTTTGTAGTTCTCTGGACTCCTCAAATCATTACAAGATGAACGACCAGCATAAGGAGATCACTCCATCGGCAACTTCAATGACAATGAACGAAGAAACCGTAATAGTACAAGGTATCACGAGCGATACACCTACTACCAATCGACCCGGAAGCTTTCTACCTGCAAATACCATCAAGCGTGATGGAATTTCCGAATCCGATGATGAAGGCGGGTTTGTATATGGAAACATGATGTCCGAAGACGACATACCGGTAGATGAGGAAGAAGAGATAGAAAATGTGACGCTCTCTTCGAAACGCAAACGTACATCCGTTAATTACGATCTTTCTTGGGAAGAACCAGATCCCAGTGCTAGGCCAAAACGGACAAAGTCAAAACCCACTAAGCCCGCCCCGAAAATGCGTGGGGTCATTATTGGCATCTGGAGAGAGTCAGAGCAGCCCAAAGACGAGGATAAGCAAATCATCCATGGCTTCATTGATGATGGAGATCGCCTTCGTTTTAGGATGCACGGCACGAACCGTCAGCACAATAAAACTCTCGCCATCCCTCCAGGACCCTACGGTTGCTGGGTCAAGATGCAAAACATTATCTTGGATCCTCATCTCAGTGGTATGACTCACGAAGAGCTCAAAAAATATGTGCTTCTCGAGTCACGGAAAGATCTCGAGGAGCCCAAACAATCAGCTGGGTATCCCCAAGATATATCAGATATGCTCAAAGCTTCTCCGAACGTCAAAGACACCCAAGCATCACCTAAATCTGAAATACTTCTCGGCTATTGGAAAGACTCGAGCGAAAAGGATATCAAAAACAAACATGCTGTATTTGGTACTGTCACTATCAATGACCGTTTCCGATTTATCGTTCGAAGATCAACTCGTGATGGACGTGATATGATCGGGAATTATCCGCACGGCGGCGGCAGATATCAGGTTCAGTTCGATAAGATAGTGCTCGAGCCAAATCTATTTAAACTGAAGCGTTCGGAGATTGAGCAGTATATTCTGATTCGTCAAAAACAGCTTCAGGATGCCGAGTCGAATCCGCACAAGCGGCTACACAACCGTCACAACGTGAAGAAGGCAATAAAGAAGGCAGTCAAAGTAGTTAAAGCTGCCATAGCTTTACAACAATTGCCAATTGCCACTATCTTTGGAGCCTCATCTACCAGTTCCGCATCCGCATCCGAGCCAGATCAAGATTCAACATCCGAAGAAGAGGAAATAAAACCAAGCAAAAAGCAGCCTGAAGGCCACGCAGCTGATGTTTTGAGAAGAGTGACGACACGCCGCAAGTCACAACATAAGCAGGTGACTAATGGTGATCCGGACAGTGCAATTCCGGAGGACCAGTCTGCTTCCCATCGAAAGGCATCGGCTGATCGGTTCTCCAAATCGATGGAGAAGTTGAACAAAGAGTGGGAAGCTCAACGAGCAGCCATTCCTCGAGAGAAAGCCACCTCTCAAGAGGCAGCCATGCTTCCGCAATCTACTATGACTAGCGTATCTGTGGTTAATGACGATGTCAAGGTCCACAACGACGTCAAATACACAAGGAGACATAACGGTTTGTTTGAGGGAAAGCATGTTGCGCCACCTCAGCTTTTGACTATCGACGGTGAAGATTATGTCGAGTATCGAGTTCTGACCAAGCCAACTATGTTCTAAGGGGATGGCGGTTAAGAATGAGGAGTCTTTTGGGCATATGGCCTGTGTTGAGCTTGGAGGATTCAAAGTCACTATGTTTTTCCAAGGCTTGATTGATGTTTGCGTTTTGTATCGCTTCCAACTGATTAACTTCATAACACTTTTCCTCCTCAATTTCTAGCGCGATTCTTTATTGTGTTTGTTGTATGTTGAATGTCTCTTTTTTACTTTGGGTTCTACAGGTGTACAAGAAGCTTCTTTGGTCATTTTCATTTACCAATCTGGCATCGTAATATTGAGATTAGCCAAACATGATTTTCAAAAGTAGAAGAATAATTAGCTAGTTAGCAGAATGTCTTTCATAACTTGTCACTTGCTCTACGATTTCCAATAAGATCAAAAAGTACCTTGGCAGCCTCCAGATAGTTGGTAGTAATTTAAATCTTGGCACGATTGCAGAAAGTCCAGGTTTTCTTTTCCCAGTCAACATTCATAGGTTATCAATCCAAAACACCAAGCATAACTAACTAACTTTCAGATTCCACAAAGCCATTGATCTCCCTTCCACGCAAGATTCTTTCCAACTGCAGCCTCTTTCACATTCCATACACTCGAGTAAGACTTACATTGTATCAGAAGAGAGGGTACAAAGAATTGCCATAAATATTAGATCTGGACCTGTGTTCATCCAATACCCAACATCCAATCTCAATCCCAATCTCATTCCCAATTTCTGCAAAATTGATCACTAGCCCATAATTAGATATATTTCTATTTCAATCATCTCATGTGAATAGATAATTATTATTCATAAAGCTGATAGTATTGCAAGCAATGCCAAGCATTGTGGGGTAAATAGGTACTGTAGTATATACAGCAGGTTCCGATTGTAAAGCTCGGTTATTTATTATTTATCGGTTGTTTATGATTTATACTAATACGAGTACTGGAGTAGAAAGGTTGAGATTCACAAAAAATTGATATGCTTAAAATTGAGATAAGAGCATAATGGCATATATTACTCAGCTCATCCACTATTTTCATATATGGCGTGTTGAGTCCAGAGTCCAGAGTCCAGTCCAACCTAGACTTCACAGCTAGCTAGATACACTTTACAGCTAGACATGTCAGTATGCAAATGTATAGCTGGAGATGCGTAATCAAAAATATTTGAACTCTAGAGCTTCTCTATCTACTATTTTGCTGAGAACACCATGCATATTCAATCCTTGTCGCTTTCTCTGGTCAAAAATTCGAGGTAAGGGTATGAGTATAGCTGATCATCTGATGTTACTCAAGATATTCAATAGCTTTACCCTATCACCCAAGAAGTCAATAACCTCTTCAAGCGAACCTATGTCAACTCCAACCTCAACTCCAACTTCCAACTTCCAAGTTACCCATCGAAGCTACCTCGGCTACAGTCTAATGTAGCCGTCAAGAATAGCAAGATAATAAGAGATTAAAGAGAAGTTATTGTTGAAGCTATTCCTAAAAGTAATATGAAGTGGTGTATTTGTCATCATAATTCACTATTGCTGACAAGCCTATCTGCCATCATGATTCTATCCTCGGCACAGAAGTAAGACTGGTGGTAAAGAATTAGAAGTAGAACTCAAGATATTATGTAAAATCCATATACATTGTATCTACAAAGCTTAGTAACAGCTACAAGCAATAAGCAACAAGCAATATATAACAAGAACTCTTCTTAACCTCTGATTGATCAGCATAAACACCACAAATACTATACCATTAGTTCATCCATATATTCATAATATCGTAGACACCTTCCAACTTTCAATCTTTAACCTCCAATCTTCAACTTTCAAAATAGCATGATCACAAACTCCGACCTCGGACCCCCTTTGCTATTTATTCACTATAACTTTCTTAATTTTTTTTTTTTGGAAACCTTGATTACTTCTCAGCCGCTTTAATCTTCTCAAAAAAGTGCCGCTTTATACACTCCTTGAGCCAAGAGCTGACATCCGGGCTGTGTCGGACGCCGGACGTCATACTCACAGCCTCATACTGTTGTCTCATGTTGATATTGGTCTCACAGTATAGTGAGTGAGTGTATGGACAAGGATGTACATCAAACTACTAGTGTTAAATCTTGAGATGCTAGAATCTAGATGTATTTAATACTATCAAATGCCAAGGTATATAGATATTTTGATGAACATTTTGGTGAACATTTGATGAAGGTTCAAACACCACTACTCGACATACCATATCTCTTTCTACTGTTTTATATCTACAAGAAGAATGTGAGAATTCATCTGACTCCCTCATATCATATGTCCAAGACCAGCCTTTCTCTTCCACCTTGGAAGTGTATAAGTTGCAGCGAAGCTTTGGCTGCAGTGAAGCTTTGGCTGTTGATGAGCTTCAGGTCTGCTGTGATATCTCAATGTTTCATTGTGCTTAATCTTCTATCACTATATACAAAGAGATTTATCCAACCATTCACCAAAATACAGACAATGTGCATTGGCAATCTATAACCTTTGTCCCAAGTCTGTGAGTATTTACATTCAAGTTTTGATGAACATGTAGAACTGTTTAGCCAGGCCAATTCACTTGACTGTTTAAGTACCATATCGATAAGGTCTAGTACTCTCCTACTTCAGAAATGTATAGACTATTGGCATTTTGGTGAAGCTCAAAAGTTCATCATGATGAACATTTAAACTGTGTCCTAAACCCCCAAGCTACCCCTACGTAGTACATGAGCAACAAGGACATCTTTGAAGTCTTTCCTTATCTAATTCCTTTCATATCTTGACATTCCACATCCTATAGTCAAAATATCCACACAAAGCAAGCTGTATCAACGTATTAACTGCTCAGTAACACCCCCAGTCTCATTTGATCTCATGTCTCCCTATAACCCGTTGTCATGCCACCCGAGTCCAGACTCATCCCGGCCAATGCCGAAATAACAAGCAGGTTCGGAGATTAGAACCTCAAACTTCAAAGCAGCGAGATCAAACCCCATCGGGGTTCGTTAGCGCGTCGCACCATAGAATCCCATAATTAGATTAGGGTTTAGAAATCAAAATAAACAAGTTCCTGTTACAACCAACTTTGAATTTACAAATTGTTTTCTTCTTCGTCTTTGACTTCAAAACTTTGATTTCAAAACTCCTTTGTCAGATTTCCAAACACACAATCATTCTTGACCATTCAGTAAGTCACTGGTGTAGCTGGTGATAAATTGGACAAGCCAGACGCTGGTTGAAGTTGTTTTGTGTATAGAGTGTTGTCTTTATTGACCTGCTAAGCAGGTGGAAGACCTTCGACACTGCAGAACTTTGAAGAACAGGTAAGTTTCCTCCAGTTTCTTCAATCAATGGTTTGTATCCACCAAGACTTCAATGGACTAATGAAATTGGAAACAATAGATCGTCCAGGCATATCATTGTCGCCGTTGTATTCCTTCTTCAAAGATCGAATGTTCGATCTAAGGTAAGAACCACTTCCAATTGCTGATACTCATCAAACACTCAATGGTAAGATATGATCTGACTTGGCCATAGAGATCAAAGTAAAGACCGCCCTTACAACACTCAAAGCAACAACAATTAAGAGGAGGTCAAACTCCAAAATCCTCCACTGGGGGGTAGCACTTGCACACCATAGCAGTGCTCACCAAACATCGCAGCTACTCTTCTGTCACTGCTCTCAGCATTTGCTGAGCATACAACCTTCAGCGGTATGTGCTCATTAAATCCTCTCGGGCTCTCTACCATACGAACAATACTAACAACACGCCGCAGATGATGACTCCACCTCCGACTCCGACAGGAGTGGCCAACAGCCACACATTCCTTCAAGGACGCTCTAGGGTGCAACTCTTTCAAATTCAACTCTCCCCAACTCTATTGAAAGAGCTGCACCCTGGAGCAAGGACCCGCGAAGGGGTCCAGATTGTACTCTGCCACCAACAGAGGTAAGTCCACAAGCCTTTCGTTGCAATGGTGATCGAGGCTTATAATCATACCTGCTAGGACAAGACCTATAACCTACTCACCTACTTCCGAGCTCCTGGATCGGAGCTTGTCAATAAGAGGTGACCCGGCATCCAGGCTCACCGATGGTGATCCACCGTGGAGCAGTGCACACCAGTGTGCTATGATCGGAATGGAGTTGATGCTTTCGCAAAAGTATTGTTTTTAAACATACTTTATGAAGGTATGTGTATGTATGTTCTCAGATGAATTGATCGTGCTCACTGTATACTAACCCAGCAATTCTAGGCCTCAAAAAGGCAGGACTTCGATTTGAAATCGAACCTGTGCTCGATCGAAATTGAACCATATAAGCAAACATATATTCGACGCAGCTCCTGAGACTCTGTAATTTTTCGAGACATAACAGGAGTTGTGTCGAATGTAAGTCTGCTTATATGGTTCAATTTCGATCGAGCATCGGTTCAAATTTTGAAGAATTTGGAACCATTCCAAATGAGCTGAGGGGTGTTTGTGTAGCATCTGGAGGTGTACTATATCATGTATTATTAGACTTTGTAGGGAATACAATACTGTTTACTGTAGCCGCTTCGGCGTGCACCAACTTTTAATATTGTGATTGTGACTTTGATTCCGAGGTTGAGCAATGGAGTTTGATCCGTCTTCTCTCAAATCACTACAGAGGCATTCCAAAAAAGATTGTCTCAAAGGTCAGTAGCAAGCTTCCATCCCCAACTATCAACAATATGAGCTAACCAAGTCACAAGGGACTAGGTATGGGATAGACTTTTCTCCATCGCCGAGAAGTTTGCTGCACACGGCCAAAATGTGCTTTTCTGAGAGCACTGATGCTGAAGAGACGCTTGTCAACACCAAAAGCATTGAGCGTACCGCCAATAATTCACATGGTGGAAGCAACTCACTGCAACCCATATCAGTCGTACTCAAGGACCATCCCAGTGATCACACTACTGGAAGTGGACACAGTACGTATCGCCCTTCCTGCAGTGAGGCATTTGATGCTAACACTTCTCTAAGCCAATGGATCATGGATTCTATTTGAAAAAGACGCCATCAATCTCTAACAGCGAGAGAAGCAACGAGAGATTTCTTGATGATAGGACGGAGGACCGAAAGTGTCGGAAGAAGACTCCGAGGTTAGTAAATCATTTTTTCTTGACTCCCTTGACCCTGCTGACCCCATGTACCCAGTTACTCAAACTTGACCGTTGACACCGGCGGCCTAGACGGCAAAGACCCCCTCGGGGCTCAAGATCCGATCGAGCCCCCTCAAATGGGGTGTGTCAAACACTTGACACGAATACTACTTGTGGTGGTGTTCCCAGACTTCTGCTCACTTCCATGTCTACAGACTTCGAGGTCGTGGTGCCTCCAATCCGGCGGCTAGTCATCACAACCACGTTGATATGGAGTGGGCAGAAGCATGGGAACACCATCATAAGACTGTTGTTCTCAGTTTCTGATGGGAATAGTGGGATGGGGGCTAATCGCCACCATCCCCAGTCTCCAATGGCGCCGCTTTCTGGTCTATCTAAGGAACTCACAGCGCCGCGGCTCTGACCGCGACCTCTCCAGAGGATGGTAGAGAACGGTAGAGCTCCGAAAGCAACGGCGACGGAGTCTCGCCCAACTTCCGTAACCCAGTCAGTCGGGATCTACCAATCAACACGATCCCTTCGTGACAGGATCTTGTGGTGGAGCCAATTCCCAAGTCATTAATAAATGGGGAATTTGCACCACCAACGGACTTGGTCGTTCGCAACTGCGACATGTAATGCCTCCAAAAAACACCAACTACCAATCCAGGTTGGTGTGCCTTCCGTCACTTTATGGCGGAGTCGCTGCAGAAGTTGTTGAGCAAAGGGGGCAACGTTCTAACAATGAGTAGGGTGGTGGTTCCGCTTCCACCCCCCGAGACGATTGACTTGATCATTACCGGTACAGGAGGTACTTCCTGTACCAGTTACTCAATTCTCGGGAGCGAGCGGAACCACCCCCTAGAACGATCGATTTGATTATTGCCGGTACTTCCTGTACTAGGTACTCCGCTCTGGGCGTATAGGCTCAGAAATTTGCAATTGTCCCGCGCCATCTACGCCACCTAGAAACGGCGTGTCAAGATGATCCGCGACAAATGTCCTGGGTAACTCTCCCTTCTCAAGTTCGGCCTTTGACATGTAAATTATTGGCTAATCATTTTATTGTTATCATAGGGCCGCCCCCCAGTGCAGGGACTGTTGCGTCTTGTGTCTTGGACGGCACCATGATTCCAAACACCAGGATTCCAAACACCAGTCGACCATTCAAGCCAGCTCTGGTTCTGATAATTATCCCGCGCCATCTAGAATGCCATCTAGAAACGGCGTGTCAAGATGATCCGCGACAAATGTTCTGGTTAACTCTCCCTTTTGAAGTTCTAGAGTCGGCCTTTGAAATATAGAGTATTGGCTAATCATTTTGTTGTTATCACAGGGCCGTTCCCCAGTGCAGGGACTGCTGCACGTTATCCTTGGACGGCACCATGATTCCAAACACCAGCCGACCATTCAAGGCGGCTCGGGGTCAAATCGAGGCTGAGAAACATGCATGCCTACCGAGGAGGATTGCAGACACCCAATTTCGGACAACGTTTGAAGCTTCTCAACCGCTTATGAGCTGCATCAAATCTTCCAATGAAGAGACATCAATCATCGCGGCACGAGAATTGCCCAGGTTTTGGCGGCAAGATCAATTTTGCATACACAAGAGAGGTGCCACGAGTCGAGTTCACCTCCTGCCTAACAGCAAAGAAGAAATCCATCTCGCAAAAGTGTATGTGGTGGTGATCAGATGACTCGCATATGCATTGCTGCATGTGCCCACCAACCTTGACAGAAATGGAAGGTGTTTATTGCGGCAATAGACCCATGCGTATCAGCACTGCTACTCCAAAGAACAAAATCGAGGTGCTAGACCAGCAGGCATGCAGATGCAAGGCGGCGGGAAGCCTGCATAACCGTCTCCATAATTTTCATATGTAGGAGAGATCAATGACGAGATGACGAAGGAGAAGGTCAACGCAATCCTCGCTACCGCCCTGGGGTTCATCACAACAACTTTCGGCTGCTGGCTCTCTCTTGGCGAGTCTGCTAATATCGGGGCAGGCATTTCTCTGCACCTGGCAATATAGCAACCGAAGACTCTGAGCTACCAAGAACAATTACGGAGATTGGCATGTCGCCATATGGGGTTGCCGTATTCGCTTCGCTCGAAGTTTATCCACTGTGGGAAGGAGCTCATCTGCGTGAAAGAAAGAAGAAGGACGTGTTCAGAGGACTCGCTTGTTTATATAGCATTATGTGTGTTGTAGATAGTAAATGTAAATTAGTAAATGCGTAAATGGAAACAAGTCCCAATAGCCGCGCTGGACGCGTGCCTCAACTATGATGATGATGATGAAAGTCTCAGTCGAGTATGGAATCCGCTGGGTCGGTATTTGGCGATTGCAGGTAAGCTGTCTCGATCTTTCCTTATGTGGATCCTCCCATCCTCAGCTCTTTCTCTAAAGTTTTTATCTTTTGTTGGAATTACTCTAAAATATCTGCTTGTCTTTGTCTTCTCGAAGTCGAAGCTGCCTCCGCCCCACTGTTAGCAATTTGGAATGCGGTAGTAGTATCACCTTTATGGAGGTGTGTTCCATGAGAACCAAAATCTCTTATACTTCTGTACATACCTTGGAAACAAATTGGTTGGACAAAGACAGTTAAATATTGGCACAACAAACAGGTGTGTGAAGATGGGCGAGAAGGAAGAGTGAAGATGCAAATGCATTGCATTCACTCAAATCTCGGCTCGCGACCGCACTGCCATCAACAATCTCGAGAGAGATTGCTTCCAATACGGCTAGTCTATTAAATCACATAGACCACGTTAAGCTAGCGTCTGATTTAAACGATCTAACGAGATTTCAATACAGAAGATATCGGATATCAAGTAGACCAAGAGTGCGACCAGGTCTCGACAACCCATTTGCTCACGACTCAGAAAATTAATTCTTCGAAGAACAAATTCATCCCAGCAAACATGGACGCCACAGTAAAGACGGAAACCCCAGTAAGGATGGAAACACCAGATAGGATGGACAGCGCAGTAGAGATGGAAACTCCAGTAAAGATGGAAACCCCAGCAAGAATGGACAATGTAAGTTAAACCTTTCAAATAACAAGTATTGAAACTAATATATTAGAAGGCCGCGTTCAAGGCCGAACAAAACGACGAGATCGAATTTCGACCTGTCAGGAACGACAGAACGGAAAAGAACATTATCACTCTCGCACAATACCAACAAGTGGTCCAAGAGGCTCTACCAGAAATGGACCCGGATTATATCGCAAGAACGGTTTTTGATCCCACTCATACATCTCTCGTCATGATCCAAAAAAATGAAGGACAGATTGGTGTAAAGTCTGAGAGGGAAATCGGCGGAATTCCTCAAAATGTCGACGAGGTGATTGGCGGGATCACTTACAGAGTTTGGAAAGATCGCAAATTTGTTGAAATGATTTATCTTGTTGTTGATACGGATCAACACGGGACAGGGTATGGATCGTGTTTGATGAACCATTTCAAGGACGAGATCAAATCTTCGTACGCGGAGACAATCATGGAGATCCTCGCATATGCCGACACCACTGCCATCGGCTTCTTCAAAAAGCACGGCTTCGCGAAAGATGTCACTCTCAATAAGAGAGTGTGGGGTGGTATTATCAAAGATTATAATCAAGCGGCACTGATGCAATGCACCTTGCTCCCAAGAATGCGTTATGTCGAAGCAGCTCGCATGCTTCGTAAGCAGAAGGAATGCTTATTGGCCATTCTCGCTGCCTCCAGTAGAAGCGACGTTGTACATGCACCTCCAGCGCAATGGTCGCAAGGTATCGTCGGCCCCCTCGATCCTTACTCTATCCCTGGCATTCGAGAATCTGGCTGGTCACCAACAATGGACGTATTGGCACGAGAAACCGGTTCCAGACCTTATAGCACTCCACTTCGAGACTTCTTGTCTTACTTGAAACGCCAAAAGCAAGTCTGGCCATTTCTCGAGCCTGTCGACGGAGATGTTATCACTGACTATCACAAAATCATTGAAAATCCAATGGATTTGCAGACCATGGGAGAAAAATTGAACGATGGCCTCTACGAAACACCGAAGGCATTCGTGGAGGATGTCAAGTTGATCATCAGCAACTGCAGAATATACAATCACCAAGACTCGGTCTTCTACAGGTGCTCGAACGTGTTGGAAAGGTCGATGTTGATTTTCATCAAGGGTATGCCAGAGTGGTCCAATCCAGTTAATTTACTCGAATAGATTGAACTTGAGTCATCATCCTCTGGATTGAAATCTCTTCAATAATAATAAGCTTTTGTGAAATTGGGATTTGTGGAGGAATGGCGTAACGGTGGGGGATATCCAGGACCACTCTCAAACACCTTTCGGAATCAGGAATTGATAGTTGATGAATACTTTCCAGGATACTATATTGGTAATCTGGAAGCGTTAATGCAGTTGGTTTGCGTACATAGCGATATCAGAAGTATCTGGAAGCCATTGAACCACCGTGGTTATCGCAAGTTGGCGCATCTCTTTGCTTTTGAACGTGCATATGGTGGCACAACTTTCAGGGTGGCTGAATCAGTTGGATGGCGTCTTGATGAGGATCGACCATCGCGGCTATGAAGGTTTTATCCACGTTTTGAGAGTAATGGGGTTGGAGGGTTCGATACGCTCGTTGTGTTCTAGTTCCTTTGGTGCCTTTCGTTTCCTTAGGTTTTTTCTAACAATGCACATCTGAACACACATCTGATCCCTTCCTCGACATTTCGGCGTCGTCGTGCATGTTTTGATTTGCTTTCGTGAAGTTATAATGAAATCCAAGGTTCTTTCTTAATTTGTTTGAAGGAAATTTGTGACAGCAAGTTGTGTGTAAATTCGAACTGGAAAAACCCGGCCCACTTGCAGGCACCTCTCTCCCTCTTAAAAGTAGCCCCTAGCCTGGACAGCAAACGTCCTCCAGAAGATTACTCCGAACGAATGGAAACAGCTAGTTCACTATGTCACGCATCGTCTTCGATTAGATGGAGAGCGAGCAGAAGTGAAGGGAGAGGAGGACAATAGCACAAACTGACCATGCCATACGTCGTGTTTCCAACGGAAAGATGAATCCAAACAGACTATACTGCATCACCTACAGGCATCTACAGGTCTGCACACTCGACGAAAGCTTTTCCAATCATCTTGCCATACTCCTAGTAGAGCTTGGTATTCAATGTTCATTTCATCAACACTTCCGTACCAGCATCAGCGAAGATTCTTGCACGCAGCTCAGACCAAAACCTAGCTGCGATGCCAAACATCGCCCGAGGCCTACGAGTAGCATTCAGGCCTTGTAATCATTTCACCTTGTCAGCTTCGGAAATTGGATCACCTGCGATAAAGAAGTGCATTCCTTGCTTGCTCCCAGGGTTAGATTGCACGATGGGGATATGAAGTGGGGTCAAAGTTCCTTACCCCTGCTGTAAATCAGCTTAGTCACCTAGCACTAATTCAGCCACCCTCACCAGCCCTTTTTTATCTCTTATTACATTTGAAAAATCCGCTCCATAGTGAAAATAAACCGCTCATCTAAATTGTATTTTCTGTTCAGTATAGTCTGTTAATTTGTAAAAACATTCTCGTGATACATTCTGAAATTTGGTAATGCCTGATAGATATACACCAATTTATTTCCTCTTTCCCAAGCTCGCCGCAACTCCGAATTCAGCTTTAACTCCAAGCTTAGCAATAGTACTCCCCCAAAGAAAATGCACCTATTTACTCCGCCGCGACCCTCTCTCTACTCACGAAGCAAGAGACGGCGCTACAACATCGGCATCAGCATCATCGGAATCTTCGTGATCCTTTGGCCTGTTCCACGTGCGGATATGCCCTATTCAATTGTTAGCTGAGAGGTAGCTCCAAAATGTCCTCGTATGGACATTAAAAGGAGGAATTCGTACCGGCCTTATCGCTAGTAATGATATGATCCTCTGTAAACTCTAATGAACAGATTGGATCCTGAGCAACAGTTTTTGAGCAAACGGCAGGTAACATGGATATTTTCGCTCTTGGTTCTACGGGATGATCCACGGTATTCTCTGACTGTCCTTCGCCGTTGGAAAGACTTGAGTTTGAGCGAAATCGACTGGCAGTAGCTGTTGTGCCTTGACTTTCAACTCTTTGGAGAGAGCTAGGCATTCGGGAAGATATACTACCCCTTTGACGAACGGAAGCCTAGTTTCTACATCAGTTGACGTGTGCCGTATAAATCACTGGAAGTGCGGCAGAGTGAAAGCTTACGGCTTTAGGACGATGCAGCATTCCAACGCTGAAATCCCATAATAAGAGTTTACCATCCTCACCCACACTGCCAAACCGATAATTTCGATCGTCACAACGCCATGGATCACAAGCGACAGCTGTTACCCAGGATGTATGGCCGGTGCATCGAGCTATGATGGCGGAATCTGCCATTGACCATATTGAAACCAGATCGTCCTGACCACCGGAAAGAACATACTTGCCATCAGGTGACCAACAAACACAAGTCAAGCCACCAAAATAGCTATTGTAGATATCCAGTAATCTAGGTGAATCAGCAAAAGAAATTTGATGAAATGCAGTTGACTCACTGCTCCTTCAAATAGTCAATTATTCGCAAAGTTCCATTCTCAGACACGACAGCCAAATGCCTATTATCAGGTGAGAAAGCGAAATTATTGATTGGCTGATTGGAAAGTTTCCAAAATGAAACAGGATTAAACTTTTGGTTCTTTGAATGCACTGATTTGTCAATCCGGAGTTTGGCTTTTGACTTCGAAGCCGAGTCCAAATATTCTTCGCTTGGAACACTGCCATTAGTCTCAGGTCCAGCCTCTTCTGGTACAAAAGCTGCATCTTCTCTCTCCTTGTCGTATGCAACGAGGGATCCATCCATATGTGATGCTAAAAATAGATTCTCCGAGCCGGGAATCCATCTGATCTGGGTGACTGGTGTTGAATTTATGATACCCTGAGCTTGTTAAAACTTTTAAAAATTTGATGACAAAAATGTTACTTACATTCTTATTCAGCCGTGAATACTTCTGCGTGAATGGCTCGAACCAGATGATTTCACCTGTCGAAAATCCCATCATAAGGTCTATATGGTTTGGACCTTTGGTAACCTGATTGACATCATGACAGAGACAATGGGCTTTGGTAAACAAAATTTTGAGCAGATGATCCTGCTTTCGTTGTTATTAGAACTTATAATACCAAGATTGCGACATAACCGACCTTATTTGGAGAAGACAAATCAAGCCACTGAAAAGCCCGACTTATGTTGGCAAATGCGAAATACCCATCGTTTGGACGATCTTGTAGCCTTTTGACTAAATTTTCATGAACGATACATCGTGAAATAAACGAGGAATTGCTCTTCAGAATGCCACTTTTTGGCTTGCGACGTTTCCCAGTATCTTTACTCGATAATGATAACAGTGAGTTTCCCTCGCCAAACGCCGGTGCGGATCCTATTGACACTGCAGCTCTCGCACTGTCATTGACTGAAGTCCCTCCGCCATCACTACTTCCCGGTACCTCTGAAGAATTACGATTTTCATATGGATGTTCTTGTATACTGGATTGAGCCAGCCCCGTCCGAGAACTTTTATCCGTATCGAGTCTGTAGAGAGGAGACGGAGAAGGCTTCGAGCTAAAGGAAAGGAGAGAAAGCTTCGTTCCAGACGTAGCAGGTTGCGGAGTCGTAGATAAAGGATTCGGGTTCAGGACCGGAATCTCAGTAGGATGATTAGGGGGTGTCGCAAGCTGTAGGTCGTCCCGTAGCAAATATGTTCCTAAAGAAGTGATCTCAGCATTGAGTACATAAGCTTCCGCGAATGGAATCGTACCTTCGCCAACAAGTAATTGTAGTCCCTCCGGGTGTTTGAGAAGGTTGTTCGTCTCTACCATTGGCGCAGCCATTCCATTTTGAACCGCGAGATTGTACGCTGCCTGTGATGGATATCGCGGCGGGGGTGGTAACACACTATCATCATCGTCAGTTATGCGACACAATGCGACACCCATGGGTAATCTGGACACGAGTCCATTCGATGCACTTTGGATAAATTTGAATGCTACACTTACAACATGCCGGCTATAGTATTTGTGTGCGAGCACTACAGGACCGAGACTCAAGTTAGTCCAAGGTTAAAGACTTCGATGACGAGCTGCTGCGAAGTAATATGAGAAAGGAAGGTATCAAGAGTCAGTTGAGCTTCCCCAGATACAACAACGGTTTGATATGTATGAAGCTATTATTGGGGCAGGAACCAAAAGTGTGGGGTAATATGCCTGTATTACTCCGTATGATATGAGTATATATATCCCTGAAGATCTTCCCCCCTATTATAGACGGGATCGTATTTGTGAATGTGTTTCTACTCGAGTACAAAAGATGGGATGAAAGTGTATCTATCTACAAGTACAGTAGATAAAGTCCAATTCAATTGATGAAAAGGATATTCCCAAGGTCATCACCAAGGACTTTGCTTGTCTATTCACCAAGCATGGCACGGAGCCATATCAATATCAATATTAATGTCCCTATCAATATTAAAATGTGGAGAAGGGTTCATCGGCTAGGACAGAAATGGTGTTAACTGATACTGTACCTCCATATGATAACCCTCGGATCTCATTGTCCGAAGTACTTTTGCATTCTTTGAACAAACAAGCATCAAATCGACATCAAACAATTAATTTAAAGCTTCGTACTACGATTAGAGGAATTCTAACAAGCTTAAGGACCATATCTATATGTTGTAGAGCTTGTGATATCGTCGACAACTCCATTTCCAAGGCACTGACAGCTCTCAAACAAGGATAATAGCCTCGTCATACAAGGCTACAGATATGGCTACAGGTCAGTTATACCATCCTTCTAGAAGCTTTCTTCATTCCTCAATATATGCTAACCATGCGTATAACAGTACGTATATGCGTCTGCGGAGACGATGGGACCGGAAAGTCCAGTCTCATCACATCACTGGTCAAAGATGTATTTGTTACGAACAAAATCCAATCAGTCTTGCCTCAAATCACCATACCTCCAAGTATCGGGACTCCAGAAAATGTTACCACAACGATTGTCGATACATCTGCAGAACCTCAAGAACGAAATACATTACGAAAAGAAATAAGGAAATCAAATGTTATACTACTGGTATACTCGGATCATTACAGCTATGAGCGAGTGGCTCTATTTTGGATGCCATACTTCCGCTCATTAGGTGTGAATGTACCGGTAGTACTTTGCGCCAATAAGTCAGATTCGACAACAAGTGGGAGTACAGCACAAGTGGTTGAGGATGAAATGTTACCAGTGATGGCAGAGTTCAAGGAAATAGATTCATGCATACGGACGAGTGCCAGAGAACATCATAATGTCAATGAAGTCTTCTTTTTGTGTCAAAAGGCCGTTACACATCCAATTGCGCCGCTTTTCGATTCCAAGGAAGGCTCTTTGAAACCTGCGTGTGTTGCGGCTCTGAATAGGATATTCTATTTGAATGATAAAGACCAGGATGGATATTTAAGTGATCAAGAAATGCAAGACTTTCAAGCCAAGTGTTTTGACAAGTCATTAGCTCCAACTGATCTCGAAAACATAAAGATATCAATTAGTAGAGCTTCTCCAAGCTCTAATATGGAGAGAGGGATCGACCAAAAGGGGTTCATTCATCTCAACAAGATATTTGCGGAAAAGGGTAGACATGAGACTATATGGATAATTCTACGGAAATATCACTACACGGATAGTCTGAGCTTGAAGGATAGTTTCCTTCATCCCAAATTGGATATTCCCGAATCTGCTTCTGCAGAACTCAGTCCCGCTGGCTATCGATTCTTCGTTGACCTGTTTCTGCTGTTCGACAAAGATAATGACGGGGGCTTGAACGACAACGAGCTAAACGCTCTGTTTGCACCTACCCCCGGACTCCCATCATATTGGCTCGAATCAAACTTTCCAGCTTCTACAGTCCGCAATGAAGCTGGCCATATAACTCTTCAAGGCTGGCTCGCCCAATGGTCCATGACAACCTTCGTCAGTCCCACCACCACACTCTCATACATAGCCTACCTTGGTTTCGAACCCACACCCGGCAAACTCTCCACAACCAGCGCATTAAAAATAACCAAACCCCGCAAACGACGGCGTCGTCCTGTCCGCACAGAACGTAACGTAGTTCTCTGCTACGTCCTCGGTTCCTCCACTTCAGGCAAATCCTCCACCCTCGACGCCTTCCTCAACCGTCCATTCGACCCCCTTTACACCCCTACCATCAAGCCCCGCGTCGCAGTTAACAGTGTCGAACTCCCCGGCGGCAAACAATGCTACTTAATACTCGAAGAACTCGGCGAACTCGAACCCGCCATTCTAGACAACCAAGCCAAACTCGACGCCTGCGACCTCCTCTGCTACGCATACGATTCCTCGGATCCCGACTCTTTCAGCCACATCATCACCCTACATAAAAAATACCCCGCGCTCTCATCCCTCCCCTCAATATGCACAGCTCTGAAAGCCGATCTCGACAAAACAACACAGAGATGCGAAAAACAACCAGATGAATACGCTCAACTCATGAATATGAATGCGCCACTACATGTAAGTGTTACCTGGCATAGTATTAGTGAGCTTTTCGTTACATTAGCAGAAGCAGCGACGAATCCGGCAACGGCGTTTCCAAAAAGTGAGGAGGAAGCACCGGATAGAACAGGGGTTTGGATTGCGGTTGGAGCAACGGCTTGCGCGGCGGTAGCGGCAGGCATGATTTGGAGGAGGACGTGGTATGTTGGGTAGAAAGTGTTTGGAAGTGTTCGGATGAGGGATATGGCAAGATGATCTGCCTTGGGCCGTATTCTTTTCGCGACTGTTTCAACCCGTTTAATCACATGGCTAGCTACGGTTACGATACTTGGCTTATTTACTTCCAAAGGGATCGAAAGCATAGGATAGGTTAGGGGATAATAGTTAGTTAAAGTTCAAAGTTAGCAAGCAAGCTTGCAATGAATATCATTAATTTACATTGACTTACAATCCAGTCCAGTCCAGTATAGTCCTATAAATCAATCCCGGATCTTTAGGTATGAGTATGCTCATCCCAGGTTGAATTCACACATATTTGCTCAACATCACATCACAGAAACAGAAAGTTTAAAATACCTATGACAATCATGCGCACTTACATCCTTGTTCATTCAATCATTCTATGCCATGCATCGTATGATTCTCGTAATCTTACAACCATGTATGTATGTATTTAAGCATGCACGCAAAACATGCCAGCTCATTTTAGTTCTGGTATTTCTTTCCTCTCCTCTCCTCTCCCATTTCTCACTTCCCATTCCCCCATCTAAAGTTGCGATTATTAAGCTCTCTCACTTCCCCTCAATCTAACCGCTTGGCCATACTTCTGCAATTTGGTAATCAGCTGATCACCTTGCTTGACTACATCATTATACTGCTTGTTTTTATCATCGGGTCTATTGGTTTCGATGATGCCTTTACCGGTGACGCGATCAATGGTACATGGGATGCGGTCTGCGGCAATGAATTTTGCTAGATCGCTGTTGGGGGGAGGGGTTGTGTTAGATTATGTTCTTTTCATGTGGTCAAGAGAAAGGTCAGGAAGGGGATGGAGGGGACTAATGAGAAAGGGAGAGGGAACATACCGGTCAAGAAAATCGACTGAAACACCAAAGTCGTTCGCCATGCTCTCAAGGCCTACAACTCGATAACTTTGTAGCAATTGCTGATAAGCTCTCAAACGCATCTCTCTAACGAACCAACCACGGTGCTCATAGAGGTAGCGATCTTGGGTGAGGAAGCTGACTTCAACAGCAGCGAGAGCACCAAAGAATGAGCGATAGCTACCGGTGTAAAGACTTGAAACTAGTTCAGCTAAGGGGGAGAAATCGAGTTCAGCTTCTGCTTCTGGTCCATCTGCACCAGAACCAAGGGTGGTAAGGTTTACTGCGGTTTTAGTAGCGGATGGGGTTGCTAATGTGACATCCTCCATAACCTCATCGGCGCCAGGTCCAGCGGAGATGGCTCCTGACAATGCTAGGAGTTTATCTTCCCCATCTCCGAGAATGGCCTTGATCTCTGGAGCATCGACGACTTTAGACTTGAAGTCAACACGCTTGAGGGAGACGGAACCGGCGAGAACAGAATATACGACAAGAGATGAGTATGAGCAAAGTTCGTAACTGGTGAAAGTAGAGAGACTGTCTAAGAGGAGTGGCGCGGCGAGGTTGTAGGAACGAACGCTTAAGAGGTAAAGTCCGGTGTATGCCTTTAATCTGTTTCGGCGATCCCAGTCTCCACCACTCTCTACTAATGTCTTTGCGCGGTCGATGTGCTTCTTGACTAATGACTTGTCGCCGTAAAATAATGCCATGCGAATGATTGCGAGGACGAGATCAATCTTGGTTCCCAAAACACCAATCTTCTCAAATACTTCTTCGTATGCAGCAATTGCTCGGTCCTAGTAAAATCTCATATTAGTGATGAATCCAAGCCCATGCTGCAGATTTATATACCTTGTCTCCAACTCGAGCCCAGAATTCTGCCCGCTGCCCTCTCGCAGCTTGTACTTCAGTGTCTCCAGCCTTCTCCGCCGCCTCTTCCTCTTCCTTCTTGATTCCTTCTAACTCCTCATCATTCTCCTTTGTCAACTTCTGATATAAAGCTTCATCCCACGGCAAATCGACCTTTGGTATTGAGTTCTTGCTCGCCACCAAACCGGCTGCACTTGGCTTTCTACCAACAACATTGCTCGTTGTACTTGAAGAGGTAACTCCGGCATCGTTCAGAATACCGTCTTGTGGGTGTGCCAGATATCTGTATAGAGGGGCCATCTTATGTTCGGTGATTGCATCTTGGAGACTGTTCAATGATGTCTGTTGGGCTGATTTGGCGGCGGATGGGTTTGTAATGGTGAAGATATGTTGGGAGATTGGTAGGAGAGGATACTTTGCGTATTGAGGATCAGAACCCATATTGCTGGTAGTTTATTATGGTATGAGGTTAGAGGTGGGTATGAAGAGAGAAGGTGATTGAGATTCGTTCTGTGAGAAATAAAAGATTTGGTTGTTGCTATGTGATTTGTATGCTACATTATGAAGAATATGAAGCTCTTTAGCTACTTTCCGTATTCCAGGCACTAGTGTTGACGCGAGGCCGGCAAGGCTAAACTTTGGTCGCCGTCATTTTTCAGGGCTTACCTTTTAACCTTATTTACCTTACACAACCTTTGTTCTCGAACTTCATTACTTCTTTAAAACAAACAAAACACAAATTCTAAATACAAGAGCACAACAATTGATGAAATTACAATCAGACAAATTAAATCATTTATTAAAGACTTAACAGAAATTCAAATCGTTTCACAGCCACTAATCAATATGGCTGGTGACGATAGTGGCCCCGAGGAGCAACCTCAGCCTTTTAATGCTACAAAGCTCGAAGCCGCAAAGAAACGTAAAAGATCAAGTTCACCTACAAAAGGCGCAAAACGTGTCGCAAGATCACCATCTCCTTCTGATATCTACAAAAGTCGCAGATCACCTTCACCAGTCCGAAAACAAAAACGACCTGGTCAACGAGCACGAATTGGCGATTCCGAGCGCGAAGCGATCCGACAACAACAAATTGAACGCGAAAATGAAGTCGCAGCTGTTGCAGCTGCTCAAGGGATTCACAATGCAGTCAGAGAGCATTATAACGCGGTTCCACAACGCGGCAGAGAGTGGCGCAAGACGGACAGTAAGATTAAGGGCTTGAGAAGCTTTAATAATTGGGTCAAAAGCACAATCATTCAGAAATTCTCCCCAAATGAAGATTATACTCCAGGAGCACAAGAACGTGGATCGCGCGGAGAATATCAATTCGCCGAAGGACCAGATCCAAGTCAAGAAAAGGGTCTTCTAGTTCTTGACATTGGATGCGGTAAAGGTGGTGATTTGGGAAAATGGCAACAAGCACCTCAGAAAGTGGAATTATATGTCGGATTGGATCCGGCGGATATCTCGATCGATCAAGCAAAAGAACGATATCGCGAAATGAAAACTCGTGGTGGAGGACGAGGTGGTAGAGGCCGAGGTGGATACAATAGACAGCCAGCTCGAATCTTCCACGGAGAATTCTTCACTCAAGATTGTTTCGGGGATTCAATTGAGAGAATTCCCATTGTTCGAGAGGTTGGTTTTGATAGTTCTGGAGGACCAGGCAGATTTGGTGGTGGTGGATTTGATGTGGTTAGCATGATGTTTTGCTTACATTACGCATTTGAGAACGAGGCAAAGGCCAGAACCATGTTGAAGAATGTCTCCGGCGCATTAAAGAAAGGTGGCAGGCTCATTGGATGTATTCCTAACTCCCACGTCATATCGGATAAGGTCGAGAAATTCAACGCTGGAGTTTCTGCAAAGGCAAAAGCCAAAGAAGCTGGTGACAGTGCGGAGGCTGAGGAAAAGGCTGAAGAAAACGCCGAGGATGGAGAAATCGAGGAAGGCGAAGCCGAAGAGACAGCTCACTGGGGAAACGAAGTGTATCAAGTCCGATTCCCGGGCAAAACTCCCACGGACGGTGTTTTTAAACCACCTTTCGGCTGGAAGTACAACTTTTTCCTTCACGAGGCCGTCGAAGAGGTTCCAGAATACATCGTTCCATGGGAGGCTTTCCGTGCGATTGCGGAAGATTACAACCTCGAATTGCAGTATCAAAAGCCATTCAACCAGATCTGGGAAACCGAGAAGGACGACGAGGTTTTGGGTCCCCTTAGTGAGCGTATGAATGTTAGGGAAAGAGGCCATGGAAAACTCCTCGTCAGTGATGAGGAAATGGAAGCTGCTAGCTTCTATGTGGGCTTTTGCTTTTATAAGGTTTAAGCCGGTTGGCCACAAATTCGCATTGAACAGATTTACCGCTTTCAATACCTATTTTGTTGGCACTCAAGGATTTAGATCAAAATACTGGTACTGCACAGATCTTTCGCTTACTAGAGGTACGATATATTATAAAAAAAACACTTCCATAGTGTCTCCTAGTAATCTGGTATGTGAGCTTAGAGGCGAAAGGTTGAAAGGTTAGCATTGGGGGAGCATTGAGGGAGCATTGGGGAGCATTATTGGGATTGCATGGAGGAAAATATTTCAAATATGATCACTTGATCACGAATTGATCCTAATAGCCAAAGGTTAAAACAAAAAAACTCATTAAGTATGAGGGAATGGAAACCATCGAGCAAGAAATTCAAGACTCCGAAGATGATTTCAATGACTCGGCGGTAGATGATACAGATGCACCATTGTTAGAGTCTTCGGCTTGAATCGAACTCTCTTCATATCGACAGCATCGAGCTTCTGGAGCATTTTTGAGATTGTGAAGGGGCACTTTTCCCTTGATTTAATTTTGCAACCTAATGATGGGTTTTGCTGTGAAATAATCAATCATATATGAGATCTGGGCCAGAAATAGATAGCATGCGATGGTTTGCACTGCTAGATATACATATTCAACAAGATTTCATGACATCCTTTTTGAGATCTCTGCGTTTGTTTCTGGGTACAATACAATACCGGATAATTATATTAACATTCATCATCCCCTTCGGTTTCACCCCTGATATGTATGACAATATTGGCACTTCAACGTCTTTTTCAAACTAGACAGACGGCTACTAATATATAGAACCCCCCCTTTGACATCCTTATCACAATATATAATGCTGTAATCCTGTAATCCCAAGTTCCCAACAAGCACCAGATGTGGAGCACACGGGTAGATCATCATCATACAGTACTCAGTAATACTTATCAGATCTCTTATCGGATCCTCTATGAAATTACAAAACTCAACTGTTTTTTTTTCTATCCCTTTTAAAACTATTATCTAAACAATCACAGTTATATGAGAAGTCATTTACTCTTACTTACCCCTTCATTATCGCTTCAAAGTTGAGAAGGTGATACGAGTACCGTACCGTGCCATCGATCTTTACTATCAATTAAAGAAAACCACGCTGTTTCAATATACCACACCATATATACCATATATCATCCCGACTTGTAGTCTATTATACATTCGATTACCTCAACCCTCATTCGTTATTTAGGAAATCCAGCTTCCCAATTGGCTACATCTACATCTACATCTACCTCAACCATATATCAATCATACTCCACAAGATCAAAGATCTCTCTCTCTCTCTCTCACTCTATCTATACAATGACAGCTCTCAACGCATCACTGAGTACTGGTGCCAGAAGATGTACCGGTAGTAGACAATATATCTCTACTCGTATATCTATATCACAACGACAATATGGGACGAATACAGCACGATTGTCGAGATCATTTACTTCAGGTACGTTTTAGATATTAACTATTTCTTAATTTCTCTCTATTTTCTTTCTTTTTGAGTAAAGAAGAAGAAAAAAAAGGTTTCAGGGATGATTCCGAATATCGGCTTCATATTTGGAAATCTGACTGAAAATTCCGGGATTCTGTGGGATGAAGCGGGATGATGTGGGAGTTCACCTGTCGATGGTGGGGGCGATATCTTCCGTACCTTGACGTTTTCTGGGGGAAAGGGAGAGGGGGAAGGGGGTAAGGGGGGTTATTGACTACTATGATCATGCGATGAATGTGCTTTTTAATACACAAGACTTTAACATTTTCTATCTTATATATGTTCCTTCCTTCCTTTATTTCCTTTCGGATCCGATTATTCCTTTCTACAAATAATTCATTTTGTCTCAGGCTAGATTGTACAAGTGAATGTACTCACTACTCATACATACATACAAACAAACAAACAAACAAACAAACACATAAACTAAATTAGACTTCTAACCATCTTCCTCGTCATAGATTCTCTCCATCCCCGCCACTCATTACTACAACCACAAACCAGAACCATGTCCACCACTACTTCTCTCCGCAGTTTAAACATCAACAACATCAACCCACACGTCAAAGAAGCAAAATATGCCGTCCGTGGTGCCCTCGCTGTTAAATCGGAAGAATACAGAGCCAAGCTCGCAAAGGGTGATAAAGATCTCCCGTTCGATACTGTCATAAGTGCCAATATTGGAAACCCGCAACAATTGGATCAGAAACCTATTACTTTCTTCAGACAAGTCTTGAGTTTGATTGAATACCCACCGTTGTTGGAAAAGGAAACTGTGCTGTTGAATGCATTGGGGTATAAGCAAGATGTTATTGACAGGGCGAGGTGGTTATTGAAGGAAGTTGGAAGTGTGGGTGCTTATAGTGCTAGTGCTGGTGCCACGGGAATCAAGAACAGTGTGGCTAGGTTCATTGAGAGTATGTTTTCTGGCATTTGTATATCTGGCATAACTAACTCTTCTCTCTAGAACGAGATGGATTCCCCGCAGACCCAAAAGATATCTACCTTTCCGCCGGTGCCTCTGCTGGAGTCAACACCCTCCTCCACATAATCTGCGCAGGTCCCAATACCGGTGTCCTAGTTCCCATCCCACAATACCCATTATACACGGCATCCCTCTCCCTCCTCAACGCCAAATGCGTCCCCTACTACTTAGACGAAGCCCGCAACTGGGGTACCGACCTTCAAGCCATCAAAGATGCCTACGCCGCCGCCATCGCAGAAGGAACCGACGTTCGCGCCATCGTAATCATCAACCCCGGTAATCCCACCGGTGCAAGTCTTCCACCCCAGGATATCGAAGCTGTCATTAAATTCGCCGCCGAGAAAAAGCTCGTAGTAATGGCCGACGAAGTATACCAAACCAACGTCTTCAAAGGAAAATTCCACTCCTTTAAACAAATCCTCCGCGATCTCCAATCCAAAACCCCGGCAAAATACGATAATGTTGAACTCGTTTCTCTACATAGTATATCCAAAGGCATGGTTGGCGAATGCGGACATCGCGGTGGCTATTTCGAACTCTGTGGTTTCGACCCCGAAGTCGTAGAGCAGATATATAAATTCGTCAGTATCAGTTTATGCGCACCGGTAATCGGCCAATGTCTCGTCGAACTCATGGTAAATCCACCTCAACAAGGTTCACCCTCCTACGACCTTTACAAATCAGAATACGATGCCATATTCTCGGGACTCCGTGCACGCGCAACAGCGCTCTATGAAGCCTTTTCACAAATGGAAGGGGTAGAATGTCCAGAACCGCAGGGAAGCATGTATCTATTCCCCACGATTAAATTGCCGGAAAAGGCGGTTGAGGCGGCGAAGAAAGAGGGCATGGGTCCGGATGAATATTATTGTCATAAATTATTGGAGGCAACGGGTGTTTGTGTGGTTCCTGGAAGTGGCTTTGGTCAGAGGGAAAATACGCTGCATTTTAGGACGACGTTTTTGGCGCCGGGAACGGAGTGGGTCGGGAGGATTAAGGGGTTTCATGAGGGGTTTATGGGGGAGTTTAGATAGATGGATGGATGGATGGAGGTTTGGGGGGAGATGGGGATAGATGATAGAAGGAGGGGGGGGTGAGCGATGGGTGGGACTGGGTGTATGTAATGTGGATTTAGGGAAAGCGGAAAGAGAAAGGGAAAAGAAATGTAGTCTGACTAACTTAAATGATTGAAAGGAAGTATAAAGCATGCATATAGAGTAGAAAGAAGGGTTTTTGAATCAAAGTCAAAGTCAAACGAGAGTGGAGAAAAAGGGAAATAAGGAAATAAGGAAAGAAGGAAAGAAGGAAAGAAGGAAAGATTGAAGATTGAAGATTGAAGATATGAATTACGAAATAGATATTGTAGATAGACAGATGGACAGACAGATAAGCAAATAGATATATTGTAGACAGATATACAAGCAGAGAGATAGACAGATATACATAAATACATATACTCGTAGATATACAGATAAGCAGATAGATATAAAATAGCATAGCATAGCATTATATAGCATAGTATGGCATAGCTTATCATATATCATAGTATTATATAATTAGTATATACTCGAGTATAGTTTATTATAAATCTCCTTTTCCCCCCTTCTTTCCTCTACACTGTTCTACTCTACTCATCACCTATTCATTTCTCTACTCGAGTATAGTATCCAACTTCTTTATTTTAACTTATTTTCTCTAACTTTAACATCTACTTGAGAGTAGAGTAGAGTAGAGTAGAGTAGACTAAAGTGAGTAAACATATTGTATTCTATTACCGCTTTTCCACAAACTTGGATCTTGAATTTTGATTCACGACACCACTCCACTCCACTCCACTACTAATTATATACTCGAGTACAATACCGGTACACTAATTACATTCCCTTCCTCTCATCATACTCCTTCCTCTCAAACTCCATCAGACTCCATCCACCTTATATACCAAACTAACCCTACCCAACCCTACACTTTTATCCCTATCCACATCCATATCCAACCAACCCAACCAACGCCCCTGCTCCTAACCAAACACTAATACAATATCTCCATCTTCTATAGTGCCAACCAACTCAGAAGCAACTCATTCCTTAACATCTAAACCCTTAACACCCCCAAGCAAACCCTCTGCCCAAGCAGGTGTAGGTGTTGCTGCTCCCGAGCCCTTAGCATTCTTCGTGAGACCATTTCGAATCTTCAATACACTATCTACGATTACTGCGTCGATGCCTTCATTTACTTGTTCCTGTTTTATTTATGTTAGTGTGTATTCAGATAGGAAAGAAAAGAAATAGATAATAAGAGAAAGCAAAAAGTAAAAAACATACCTGAACCTTGATCGGATCATTATTCAATACCCCATAACTAACACAAACCAACCCACTATCCTTAACCACCTTAACCAACCTGGGACTATTACACAATGGTTCCGCCGCACTAACAACTCCCAATAAATTCCAGCGACTAGCAAATCGAATTGCCTCTTGTAAACTACTAGCCCTGATATCACCCACCGGGCTCGTACCCGCGTCTGTTAGGAACAAAATTGGTATACTTGGTTGTTTAAACGATAACAATAGACAAATATCCGGGTTAAACGAACTGAAGATAACCTTGCGTTTTTGCTTCATGTCATAAACTTTCGTGAGGACCGTATCGCAGAAACTATTAAGTTCTACAGCATAAGTGTCCATTTCATGTTCCTCTGTTTCGTGAAGCATAGGATACTTCATTTCGACATTGAAACCGACATTTTGGGGAAGTTCGCGGAACATTTCTTCGAGAGTGGTGAAAGGGGCTTGAATAAAATTTCCACGGGTGTTGCCTTTGTAGCCATTTTGTTTAAAGTCGCGGGTATGTTTCATTCTTTCTGCCATATCGTTTTCGAACATTCCTTGGCCTAAGGACAGTGATCGTTGACGATCCATACCTCTTTTGATAGATTGAATGCGTGGTCTGTCCTTTGGGGGGGATGGAGGGCGAGTGGACCGAGATGTCGTTTCGTTGACATGGAGAAATTGCTCCAATGTGAGAGTGTGAACTGGTGCATCAATTCCAGTTTCAGAAACGAGGAAGTCATGGTAGATGACAGGAACGTGATCTTTGGTAAGTTGAACATCAAATTCAACATAATTAGCTCCAAGATTAGCAGCTGCGATGAACGACTGTAAAGTGTTTTCACCGAGTTGAAGTGATTTGTTTGCAGAAGTATTCTTGCCAAGACCTCGATGCCCAATAACCATTGTTGAAGACAACTCTTTCCAATACGTTTGTTGCGCAGTGACTCCCATTTCCGGATGCGAGAATGGCGTAATAACAAGGAAGTTGAAGTTCACAGTTCCAATATCCTCCAAGGTATCTTTAGAGACGATTGGTACAGTGACATCTCCCTGAAGGTTCATTCGTTTCAATCCGATCGTGGGTCTAATACTAGACAACATTGCCATTCCTCGTCCAATCTTGTGTTTCTCGCTACCAGCATATGTTGGTACGATATCGAAGTACAACTTAACTTTGGAAGCATCGAGAGTTGTGAATACGATAGGATCAGTGGAAATATTATCTTGGATAGGTAGATCAATGATCGTAGGCTCACCTGTGGCCCCTTTGGCAGAGACCACAAGTGATAGAGCAGTGTCGAGCTGAGTCGAATGAGCTTCCGAAATAGGGATATTCTCCAGTTTGACTGCTGGGATGTTCTTCCTCATATCCATTGAGCCCATGCTGACCAGGACCATACTTTCGTCTGTTAGATATCGATGACCGAAAGTCTTGACAGGCTCAATGGCTCGAGGAGGATTTGTGCTCTGTGATCGGAATGCTTCGATTGAAGAAACATTGGATGGAGATGAAGGACCACTGCTAGTAGACAATTCACTTCCAGAAGTACCTTTTTCCAATTCAGCCTCTGCCAATCTCTCTGCAATATCCATATGGCCCCTCAAAGCTGCATGCTCCCGAGCTGTCCAACCTCCAGCATCAGCTTTCAAGAGATCTGCGCCAGCTGATATCAATAGCTCCACAACATCAAGGTGACCGTCAACACAAGCAACATGTAATGGCGTCCAAGAGTATACCTTCTCAGTTAGTTCAAAATCGGCTTTTTGATCTAACGTTCCTTGGAGAAGAATATCTGCACACTCCTCATGACCAGTTCGTGCTGCGATATGCAACGCAGTCTCGTCATTTGACCTCGCATCCTTCCAGTTGATATCGACTCCGGCATCTACAAGTAGTCTAACTATTACCGTGAAGTTAGACTTTGTAGCCAAAGCAAGAACCGCACTTGATTTGGCAATATCTCTTCTCATGGCAGCTTTTTGGTCATTGGTGCCCTCCCAATTTTCACCATCAAGAAGAGCTTTCGTTGTCAAAGCATGCCCGCCAATCACGCTAAGATGAAGGGGTGCTAAACCCTCGGCATCTTGCCATTCTGATGCATCAATTCCATGTTCAACATTGAATTGGCCCCAATTCTGCATGAATTTCATAACCAATTGACAAATGACAACAAAACCGAATTCCGCAGCATAGTGTAACGGAAGACGACCATAAGAGTCTCTGCCATTCAATGCTGATCTGTGGTGTATTTCCAAGTGATTCAACACAAAAGACAAAAGATTGACGGACTCGTCTTCTAAACCCAGAAGTGATGATTCTTGGAGTTTCTTTGATTTTGGTCCTGGATCTGGTGAGAGGGCTGGTGTGATGAATTTGACGCGATCTGCATCCTTGAAAGAGACACTCTCTGGTTCCTTCTCCTGTGACTTAGCGGCGGCTTTTGAACGGCTGATGGATATAACGAGACGATGAATACAATTTCGTTCGTTGATGTCATCTGGTACATCCAGACAATTTATCATCTTCAAAAAGTAAATAATTGATTTCTTGGATTTGCAAGATATGGATCTTTGCAACAAGTTCAAAAAGAGCTTTTGCATCGGTTGATCACTGGCGTCAAAGCCTGCCTCCGCAATGGCTTCCTTCAAGGTTGGAACATCATCATTCCTGATTGCTTGGTCGACTGTATCGACCAATCCACTGGGTAGATGGAGAATCGTTCTCGATGACACTCTCCTGATTGAATGTGCTGACTGAACCGACAATTCGTCATCGCTGACATTCTTCTCTCCCAAGACTGCAATCCAGTCATTTGTCGTTTTCATAGCTTTTGAAAGGGCAGTATTTGCTGCAAAAGGTTTTAAATCGACCTTCGAAGCCATGTACCTTGCTTGGGTACAAACATTGGGGACTTTCTTATCCAATTTCTTTGTGATCTTGAGGAAACCTTTACGGTTTACCTCACCAAACCATTGTAACTTTCTCAATTGGGATCTAAGCTCAAGAAGAGCCCCCATTAACTCCTCAACTTCATTGCGATCCAGTCCTTGTGTAGTATAGATTGCCCCATCGCTATATCGTTGCTGGAGGAGATTAAGTCGGCGGGAAGAGTCATTAAATTTCTTGTTGTAAAACGCATCGACATCTTCCAAGTTTCGATCGAGAGAAAAGAAGAATTCTAATGTCGGAATCAGTAACGAATGTACACATATTTTCTATGACGTAACAGACTTACCTGCTAGATCAATGTCCTTTCCATCCTTTGCAGTATTCGCAGCAGCTTTGATAAGTTTCTTCAAGCCCTTATAGTTAATGTATGAAGATGACCATTCGGGGACCTGAACAGTAGGAAGACTAAAGAGACATGAGTATGATGTGGTAATTGCATATTAAAAAGGAGATCACTTACGTGCGGCCGAACTTCATGGTGAACGGGAGTTTCAACGAACCGATTTCGTATTGATATATTTGTCCTTTCTTTACGAAAATGTTATAGCAAAGTAAGAGTAATAATTAGAGAATAATTAGAATAATAAAACCACCTGGGTTATCTTGTATGAAATGAAATGCAGCTCCGTTGATCGAAAGATAACTGTTCTGTATGAGCCATTCAGTCGCATTAGAGTAGATCTAATTCCTTTTTGTATGTTCGCCAGACGAGAGGTCCGTGATAAGAATTTTCCGTAGTAATGACCAAAACTAAGGGATAGTCTGAGTCAATTCTCCTTCCCTCCGGTAATCGATTCCTCGATCTGTGAAAGGTATTTGCTGTTGCTATAACTCAATGAATTTCCACGTTCTGGAAGATAGTTGCGGATTCGTCAGAATTCTGCCTTCTTTGATGATATGTGTGGTTAAGCGGTGTAGATAGCTTGAAGCTTAGGGCTGGGGTAGCGTTATCACAAACGGTGTGCAGGGATAATCTCGGATATTAATAGATTAGATTACCGAAAAGCCTCCTTTCCACTTGAATCTGTAGTTTCGAAAGGGTCTGATTGTTCTATTCCTTCTCGAATTTAAGTAAAGAAGAAGGTCTCGTTCAAAGTATACTTGGGTAGGGTAGATTCAAAAGGAATAATCTCATTGATATCAGAGCCACAGGGTTTTCATCTGTCTTTTATACAATCTGCATTGCTCATATTCATGTAGCTAAGATGCTCACGGCACACAAAGTTCCACCTACGCATGCAGTCTTTAAATCGAACATCAATTATTGGTCTATTGCCCGGTCTCGCACTGCATATACAATAGATATCTTCCCCATAATCCAGGATAATGCCAAGAAATGCCAAGGATTTGCTCCTGCAGCAGACCATCGATAGGGATAATTAAGTGGTGATATTAATAACGGGTCTTTTCCGGTCATGCATATGCATTTCTTTCCCTTTAGTGGCTGTGATATCGAATATGTTGTAGTACACTAAAAACGATCCGATTCACATGAAGATACATATTGGCTACCGGGCTTACCGAAACCGTTACACATATTCGTATCACCATTATTATCATAAATCTCTATTCAAAACCATATTATTATGGACCATTGAAAGCTTTTTACAGAGAATTGCCAGAAAAACGGAGAACTTGACTCAAATATGATTAATACGATTTGATCCTTGTACACCGCATCTCTCTCTTAATCAATACCATAGTATGATTGATAGCGGTAGATAGGGAGGGGTAGATCAGGGGATCAAAGTCTATGGAATGAGTTCTTTATAGAACTATTTCGCAGTACCATGGTATTTGATCGTTGAGGGGTCTGTTAGACAAATTCCTAACGACTTGTGATCACCGCATAGACCTTATAAAGACCAAGGACGTCTAATTATGAGTTAGAGAACAATAAAGGGTCTTACCCCGGACTATTTGAGCATCATATTCAAATATTAGAGACACACACCGACTATATAGTACTGTATTGGGACAAGTATGTTCTACCGCTATATCGTTCCCAATGCATGATCTAATTAGACCCGAGTGCCCCCCATCCTAATGCATAAAGTACCGAAAAATCGCCACATAACGCTTGACATCATTAACACATGGCATCAATATCATATAGCATGGCTAGGCGTTGCAGTGTGCATAGGGGTTCCTGTCTTATCATGTAGAACTTTTGTAACCACAAATCAATGGCGACCACCTCCACCTCTCCCCCTACCCCCTCCTCTACCACCTCCCCGATGTCCACGTCCGTCCCCAAACCCTCTTCCACCACCTCTTCCACCTCGACCCCTACTTCCTCCTCTACCGCCAAATCCTCCATCTCTTCGTTCCTCAACTGGCGCTGGTCCATTTTGCATTCTAATTTGCTTTTCCTCGTCGGAAGCGTAGAATTTGTTTTCCATTCCGAGAAGATCGCAAAATTGTTGTATCTGAGGGTTGTTATATTCCAATGGTCCCTCCTTCACAATCTCTGGCATGCCCTCTAAGAAAGGTGGCGCGGTAGTTACAAAGTTTGTAGGAATCTCCAGTTTGTTTTGTTGAACAATGTGCTCGTCTACCCATGCTTGTTCTTTTTTAATGAGGCTTCTGTAATGAGCTTCGCCCATATCCTCAGACAACTTGGCGGTTTTGTCGCCGAGAATGAGATCAGGGTTGAATACTCTTGTGATGGCTAACCATTCCGGATCATATTCGAATTTTGGTTTCGCTCGAAGAGTAGTCTCTTTCGTGCTGTCATAAGGTTGTACTTCTAGAAGTTGTAGATATTTACGACTAGGTAAACACTTGTCTAGAGCAAGGAAGCGAACTGCTTTGTTTGTGATTTCTGGTGGTGGTGGCTGTCCTGGCTGTGCCCTGGGCTCTCGGTGAGCTAGATGTGCTGATTTTGAGAAAGCAGCGGGCAATTGAGCTCGAATATCAGACGGAACCACCGACGGTACAGATTCCTCCGCAGCCGATGGGGCATTTTCGCTTTGAGGATTGCCCGTTGCAGCGTTGACATTCGTTGGTGCTTCCGTAACTGGAGGGCTGTCGTCATCATCCATATCGAGATCAATTTCATCGTCGTTATGTGGTATTATTGGCTGTGGCTCAACTGCTGCATCGTTGCTTTCGACCGGAGGTGCTTCTTCAGTGGCCTTGACTTTTTCTTCCTTTGGTTCTTCCGGATTCTTTGATTTTTGGCCGTCCTCGTAAGTCTTCACAGCGGAAAATTTACAATGTAAATGCGCCGCGAACCAATATGGTGGCCTCAGACGATCCATAACATAACTTGCGGCTAAATTCCCCAATGTTCCATCAATCGATTCTCTCTCGAAATCCGGTTTCATCCTCCACAGCTTCTTCATATCTCCATGTTTCTCAACAGCCCTCGGCCAATCATGACTGATCCCAATATCAATCTGGGTCCCTACCTGTAGGAGTTTCCTCACATCATATTCGCGAACATGATATATCGATTTGACATCATCCTGGTTGTATGGCAATCGTTCATAATGACTCTTGTTGTAATTGTAACCCTTCCAAATCCCACTCATAGCAGCGATCCGCACTCCACCCAATTGTACCACGTTCGCAGCTCCCATATAGTAAATGTTTGGCGCAACCCAACCTCCATAATATAGTTCCCATAGATGACTGCTAGCTTCGTGATTACCGCCTACAAAAATGGTGAGGTATGGGGCTTTCTTGAGACCGCTGTAGTATGCGTGGAAATCGCCAATCTCTCGATATTTGACTGGACATGACATTACTGTGAGATCATTTGCGTTTCGAACTGCCTAGAATCATTAGCAAGCAACTTCATTCGTGTACAGAGAGATTTTAACAAACCTGAAAGTCCCCCCCAATGATGAGGAGATCAACGCCATCCCAACCTCGAGCTTCGCAAGCCTTTTCTATTGAAGCATATATTGCATTTAATGTGCCATGGCCCTACTCGAAGATTAGCCAAACGGTTAATAAATTTTCGGCCATCTTCAGAACTCACGCAGCCCTCTACAGCTATGCGCAAACCATTGACTTCTTGAATGGTGGCAGCCATGTTGGGCGACTCGTTACGTTTCTCAGACGGATTCTTGCTGGACAAATTGCGAATAGTTATGTAGCCGTATTCTCTCCCATAAGACAAGTGATATGATTTTCGTATTTCAGCACTGTTTCGGACAAGGCCACTGTTGATTGAAGAGGTCGAGAATAATTTCGAGTTCGACCTGCCTCGCTTGCCAATCTCAAGTGCAAACCGAAAACCAAAATTCATCATAACTTCTCTTCACATAACGCGTCACAACTTCAAAATCACAATTCTTTCTTCACAACATCATATTGAAATCATGGCAGATATCGGATTGGCGTCGCGATTGCGATATTTAAATGAATCTGCGCATTTACTAGCGACATCGGCACCTTCCACCTCCAAATATATGATGTCGCAATGCAACTTCCTGATTCTTGACCACGAAATTGAACAAACAGACTTTCAAAAACAAAAAGCATGCGGTGCATGCGGGGCTATTAGGATATTGGGCAGGGAAGGGAAGCTAGAATTCAACAAATCACAAAGCTCCAACAAGAAACGAAACCGAAAGAAGGAATCTGGAGCCTCTAGTGAGGGAAGGGCTGTGATTTACACATGTGGTTCTTGTAATAAGAAAACAAGACACCCTTTGAATGCTGCACCAGCGGTATCTCGGCCCAAGAAGGGAGCTGTTCAACATGGAGCTGTGTCCAAGAATCTACCGGCCCAGGCTTTAACGGCTATGAATACTATCGCTACACCATCTACAAATGCAGGTAGCAAGAAGAGAGCCAAAAATCGGAAGCTTGGTGGACTGGGGGCACTACTAGCCAAGCAGAAAGCGTCGGAAGCTAGCTCGTCAGGATTTGGTCTCGATTTAATGGATTTAATGAAGAAGGCATGAGGGTTGCGTTACTGGATGGCGACCAAAATATACGAAGGGATTATGATCACGATTCAACACATCAAAACAATGGGCAAAAGAACTCTTTCTCTGGGAAATCTTTGAGACCCCATTGACTTCCTGAACCAGAGTTCACTAGGGGTCACTTTATGAAGCTTGACCAAACATCCATGCATCGAACAGCAGACAATCGGTATCTTGGGCTCCGCCTATCAGTCGCTCAAATACGAATTATTCAAAATGTTACCTACGACAGCACTTGAGGTTGCCATGAGCGACATTGAGTTCTTCGGTCTAGTCGCTCTGGTGCTTGATAGCAAAGAGACGACAATACAAATACCGGTATAAACACAAAATTGAATCCTCGTCACGATCAAACATTTTTCTTCGGTTTCTTCGAGCCCCTTCATCAATGACAAACCAGAGCTTCCACAGCCTTCTCGGATCTTCAGCCTGAGGCCCGATGAGGTAACGCGCTCCGCTAAAATCATGACAAGGGTTGGATCTTATCATGGCAAACCGAAAAATATAATTTCACGACCCCTCATAATTACAATTGCCCCTCTAAAATTTTACAATCGTTATTGTGCGTCATAAAATCATACAATTTTTTTAAACATCAATACCTACCTAGGTATTTAGACAATATGGCTGATACAAATCAAATTGACTCAAAGCCAGACGGCGCTGTTTTCGACGACTATTTTGAAAGCTTGGGTAAGAAGGCACAAAACCTTTCCACCAACGACCAAAAAAATGATGTTGCGACGGATGGCACATTGGAGTCTGATGAAGACCAAAGAGTGGTAGATGAAATCGAGTCATTATGTATGAACTGCCATGAAAATGTAGGCTATCTCATCCATTCTCTCTCTGCCAAAAATGTATGCTAACCATCCACTCTTAGGGAATCACCCGATTACTCCTCACTCGAATTCCTTACTTTCGCGAAATTATCCTTATGTCCTTTTACTGCCCGCACTGCAACTTCAAGAATGCCGAAATTCAATCTGCTGGAGAGATTCAACAAAAAGGTTCGAGATTTGAATTGCGTCTCACCACTCCCGAAGACTTCGCCAGACAAGTAGTAAAATCTGATACTTGTATTGTAAAGTTTATTGAATTGGATCTCGAGGTTCCGCAAGGACGAGGACAGTTGACAAATGTGGAAGGTCTTTTGAGCATGATCCTTGATGATCTTGCTCTCAAACAACCGGAGCGAAAAGAGCAAATCCCAGAAGTATACGTCAAAGTTGAAGAAGTAATTACCAAAGGTCGAAAGATGCTCGCAGGCGAGGCCTTCCCCTTCAGATTATCTATTGATGATCCAGCAGGAAATTCGTGGATTGAGCCAGATCAGAAAGATGGTGTAGGAAAACTCGCAAAGATCCAATACCCACGAACCCCAGAACAAAATGAGGTTCTTGGCCTCGGTGGTGATGAGGAGGCCACTGAAACACAAGCTGCAACTGGAGGACAACCTACTGCCGCAACTTTCGAGGATGATGATATTATTCCCAACGAAGTTTATTCTTTCCCAGCTACCTGCCCTGGTTGTACAAAACATTGCGTCACACATATGAAGATGGTCGACATCCCCCATTTCAAACAAGTTGTCCTTATGAGTACAGTATGTGAGCACTGTGGGTACCGTTCGAATGAGGTTAAGACTGGAGGTGAAGTGCCGGAGAAGGGCAAATGTATTACTCTCAAGGTTGAAAGTGCCGTGGATCTGGCCAGAGATATTCTCAAGTCAGAGTCATGTGCTTTGGAATGCCCTGAACTCAAACTTTCGGTAAACCCTGGAACCTTGGGAGGAAGGTTCACCACTGTTGAAGGTCTCCTTGTACAAGTTCGAGACGATTTACATCAACAAATTTTCGATGTAGGTGATGATGCAGGAGAAGGTGGAGATGGTATGATTTCAGAATCTAAGAAGAACTGGAAGGCATTCTTTGATGGTATTGACGAGGCAATCAAGGGCGAGAGAAAATTCACCATTATCCTCAGGGATCCATTGGCTAGCAGTTACGTACAGAATTTGTGTTCACCAGACGCCGATCCATTGATTGAGACAGAGGAATATGAGAGAACTGCCGATGAAGAAGAGGATCTTGGTTTATCGGACATGAAGACAGAGGACTATGTAGACGAGGTGGGAAATGAAAAGAAGAGAGTCGAGGCTGAAAAGGCCGAAGCCGAGGAGAAAAAAGAATAAACATCTTGAGAGATAAAAGATTGTGGATTTTAAAGAATGTTAATATCACTATTTACAGCATATGACACAAAAATTATTCGTACTTTTTGGTGTACTGATTTATTCAGTTCCTAGCAAGTGCTTTCATTCTAAAATCTACTACTCGTATTGTAACGAAGGTACTGACTGCTTCGATTAGATGTCCCTATCCTGAAACTGTCAGCCTAGCACATTAGATGAAAGTTCAAATCAAATTCAACTTCCGCCTTCCATCCCATACAAAATTCGCATATCGCTTGTTGATATAAGAGAACAGTGGTGCTATGCTATACAGTTGCTCCTGCTGTTAGATGCTTTACAAGCAAGGGATCCGCTTAAATCCAGTCCACCAATCAGCCGGTATCGAAATGTCACTGGTACTAGGAAGCTCGGGCCCGTCTAGATCAAATGTCATTGATAACTCTACTACTCCCAAGATATAATTTTATCTTTCTCAATTCCTCGAGATTTGTACTTTTTTCTTATGCATCTTCATTCCCTCACCAGTACTCTTCTACGGAAAACAACTCTAAGTAGGGTCATAATCAAAATGAATCCTCTTATCCCTACCACGCGGAACTTTCGAACATTAGCACAATGTCCTCAGCTGGCCATTACCGAAACCCAAGATGATCTTGATATCCGAAATAGATATCGCCCTTTCTTACTAGATCCTGTAATCGAAGCGTCAGATTGGATTTCTGAGCTAGAGCTAGAGTCGGTCGTTACTCAGGTGGAAGATAATCTGGCCAAGACTAGTTCTAGGTTGAAAATCTTGGTGCTCTATGGAAGCTTGCGGCAACGGTATGCTCTAATTCCATACATGGCGTGTTAAATATATCTAACAAGTAACTCAGTTCTTATTCGAAGTTAATGGCGTTTGAGGCTTCCCGAATTCTTCACCGTCTCGGTTGCGATGTTCGAGTTTTCAACCCAAGTGAACTCCCAATTCGAGATTCGGTGGATGCTTCGCATCCAGCGGTTCAAGAACTCCGCGCATTATCTCTCTGGTCCGATGGTCACGTATGGTGTTCGCCCGAGCAGCACGGAAATCTTACGGCGGTTTTCAAAAATCAAATCGATTGGATCCCGCTATCGACGGGCTCGGTCCGTCCCACGCAAGGCCGTACGCTATCGGTCATTCAGGTTAATGGCGGTAGTCAGAGTTTTAACGCGGTTAATAGTTTGAGGATTCTTGGAAGATGGATGAGGATGTTTACGATCCCTAATCAGAGTAGCTTGCCCATGGCGTGGAAACAGTTTGAGGATGAGGGCGGTGATGGGAGTGGGAGGGCTAGGTTGTTGCCAGGTGGTAATCGAGAGAGGTTGGTGGATTGCATGGAGGAGTTGGTTAGGTATACCATTGTTATGCGGCAGCATTTTGAGATGTTTGGGGATAGGTATAGTGAGAGGAAGGAGAGGGTGGAGAAGGAGAAGAAAATGATTGATGTTCCTGTGGATAAGATTTGAGATACACCGGTAGAGTTTACTTTAGATGCATAATTTCGGCATGGCATGGGCTTGTTGTCTACTACGACAATTGATTACAAAATTGGCTTCCTTTGCATCGTGTCAGTACTCTCGACGAAGAATCAAATTAATTTCTTCACTCTACTCGAGTAGAAAAATAACAATATTCTGACTCCCCATACAATATACGGACCTCCACATTGCTCAAACCCCAACTCTTGATCTTACTCTCGATTTTCCCCAAACACCCAGACTCACCCAATTCCCCATTCTACAACCCCAACCCTACTCTCCCAACAAATACATTCTCAAGCCAGATCCCACTCTCAATTCCAAGCTTAACCACATCAACTCTCTTCGTATTTCTTATTCTATCGGCGTATCATATCATAACATATCATGAACTAAGCAATTATACAAACCATACCATACAACAAGTTCAAATCCGTGAATTTCTTGAACCAAATATATCACCGAAACTCGGTGTCATACTGCATACTCTTGATAGTCTGGCTACTAGCTAGTTCATCGTTTGATTATATACATGCCTCTGTCACAATCATGAACTTTGCTTTTACGCGTAAGTACTAACCATCCTACTTCATCAATACGAGAATCATATATCAAAGTACTCGTATCTAGATATCATATTTCGAATCATCAGCCTAGTAACTAAGATTACTTCCACTGCAACTCAAATACCGTATAGTACAGTGGCACCTTCACATAACCCAAGCAATTCTCCCAGGTGTCGGTCTTGGCTTTATATATATATATCTATATATACCCAGTACCGGTATTATAACCCCAACTCGATAGTTCCAGCGCCGACGCAGTCTAGCAAACGATGTTGTATTGTATTGTATTGGATTGTATTAGCGCTACTCGTACTGAATCGCGTGTAAGCGACTTCATATCATCGCTTGCTGTACGGGCATTTATAACTTATAAGTAACACCTCACTCACATGTAAACATCATCTGTTCTCTTCGTATCGTGGGCCTTGTGAGCAAGTCCATGAATATTTTAACAACCCACTACGATTCGGACCGAAATCATATCATGCCACCCAGCTAAAACAGTATTCTTTCGATACAAATTTGATTTGCTTCGACGCTGTGAAGTTCTCTTCGTTTTAGCATAGCATGGGCGCTTGTTAGTATGTTGGGCTTTTTAAAAGTTACTCTTTGTTAAAGTCTCCGAGGTGGAGGCACAGAAACTCAGATGTTCAGGTACGGAGCGGGAGTTTTTTTATTTGCAGATTTTTGCTGGATTGGAAAATCTTGTAGCTAGTTTGGATGTGCTTGAGTTGCGGTGGGTTTATAGAATATCTTGGTGAGTTTCGAAGGTAGACGTTTGGATTTGAGCTTTTTTGAAGGAATATATGAATATGTACTATGTACAGGTGGGATACTTCTTTCGGGAGTTGGGGTTAGTGAAAACTGATAACCCCCTTCTCCACCTTCTCCAACACAAAAATAGCATATTTATCACTGTCATCCAAATAGTATGTAGATGCGCTGAGACAAGTTTGCAGATGGTACAAGATGAATATACACAGTCTCTACGGTCCAGTCCAGTTTCGGGCTTTTGTAATCAGCCGCTCAAATACTGCAAACTAATCTTCCTTTCCATATACGCCGTACTTCCACTCCATCAAGCTAACCAGCTTGTACTATCCTACTATCATCCTTATCCTTATCATCATCACCATTACAAGTCTTCCTCGCTCTAGCATGCAAGCTAGCCCCACTCCCCAAGAGCAACTGAACACCCACATCAAACCCCTTCTCAATAGCAATATGTAAAGCTGTCCATCCCATATCATCATAAGCATCAATACCCTGTTCCCACTCCTTCATATCGTATTCCCACAAAAGTAACCGCAAGACCGCCTCATGTTGGTTCATAGTTGCCCAATACAACGCTGATCGTCCCCGTCGATCTAAATCGCTGATGCGTGCCCCGTGTGCAAGAAGTAGATTGACTACATGGTCGTGACCGTCTATCGATGCGTGGATGAGAGCTGTTCTTGCATCGCTATCCGTTTCGTTGCAGTCGATGTGGTGGGAAAGGAGAGTGCGGACGATGGCTTCGTGTCCTCGGCGGGCGGCAATGTGTAGAGGGTTTAGCCAGCCCTTACTTTGTTGCTTTTCTGTGGGTGAGTTTGTGGAGGAGGTTTCTTTTGAAGACCTGACTGGGCTCGTTTCGTTGGAATTTCTTTTATCATGCGGTATTAGGTCCATGGCCGGATGAACTTGTGACACGTGCCCCGAGCCAATGTTATGCTGCGCAGTGTTGGGGTGAGTGTTTGAAGAAATGCTGTCATGGGTTCCATACACAGTGAGATAGTCTAATCCCACCGGGCTGGCTGATGGTGTCTTGGAAGTGTTCAAAGAGATGAAGTTCAATGTTTGGTCGAAATCTGGTTGGGAATTTGCTATTTGTGGCGCAGATAATGAGTTGTTATCATTACTCCTAGATATCAGACTCTCTATAAAGCTGACATCGACATCGTCTATTCCCAAAATGTTATTGTTAGATGTAACACTCGTGGAGCCAGTCGTTGGACTTCCAAACATTCCGGTAGACATAGTTACTCCATCGAATAGATCAGGTGGTGTGGTACCAATGGCCGTGGGAAGCTGGAAATCCGGGGCGGCTATTGAACATGTTTCAACTGTCGAGCAAGCACCTCCACTAGATGGAGGTTGGTTACTATTATTATGTGGAGTTCTTGGTGTCTTTCGAGATTCTGATCTTGTTGTTAAATTATCGTCCTCTCACTACACGTTGAGATTTGGTGGTCTAGTACTTACGACGAAACTTGCGTTGTGCAATTCGATTTTGTGATCTGCGACGATTGATGGAATCAATTGTCCACTCGATATCAAGCTCAACCATTCTTGTGACACACGAACGACAACTAAATATAGATCTTAGAATCTAACATCGTCGAGGTTATAAATTTACGATACTGTACTGTAAAATCAAGATTGTACCGGTGTCTGGATTGACTGATTGGATCTTTCATAGATCCCTTGTATCATGCATATGGGCACAACGATACACGGTTCGGATAGGGGTACTAAGAGCTTTTCCCAGAAGATACAAATCGGTAGCTAGTCCAGGTATATAATTGGGGGAAACTGGCCGATAGACACGTTTGCTATCCACCGTGGCTGGGCTGGCGAATACAACCTCACCGGAGACTTGCCGAGCTTACCAATAAAAGGTATAGTACCAAATATCCCTGGATTGCACAGGTCGGTGTAAGCACTAATTACCCGGGATATATTGATATAAAAATCTTATCTTAGTTACATCCATCAAGCGTAAATGGACTGATACATACAGAGGTTTAATATTAACATATTCTTATCGATTAAAATCTGATATTAGATTGATCTTAGTGTTGTGATTGGTTGGGCTACGATACTCTGGTTCGGCTAATCAAACGAAAACTAACTCCTCGAAAGATCAAGACAGAAAAGAATAGAATGTTTAAAATACGAGTATATCTAAATTGTAAATTGGGACTAGTAGGCTTAAATACATAGTAACAGATGATGCTATTCATTATCATAATAACATATTCTCTATAAGTAGTTTTTCACTCCGAACTAGCGGTACTTTGTAATGCTTATAGACACCTCATCGGTTTATCGCCGATCTTATCGCCGATCTATGCTCGATGATAAGGGCCAGGACAGTGCAGAAATAGAAGAAACGAAATTTGGAAGGTTATAATAATGGATACACTGCAGACTGTACTCGAGTAGAGAAGGCATGTTGGAGGAAAATATATTTTGAAGAGAAAATCACGCTGCAGAGAAAGACATGCCCAGAATTGATTGAATGGAAGGCAAAGTCCTCCGTGGATTGCTTGGAACACAGAACTATCGATGACCCCGTTGGCTATAGGAGCTTCGAAACAGTTTTCGCATAGTAGAATGAGCGAACTTGCATTAGTTATGTCAAGTGTCGTCAGTCCAGCCCCAAACTCTATACGAATCCAATTTCGCAAGCTCGACTGCTGCAAGCGAATCCAACCCATATGATAATAACGGTTTGGCCGTCTCCATTTCGGTTTCCAACTGTAGGATCTTGGTGAACTGCGCCGCAACTACCTCCACGCATACCTTGACTAACGCTGCTTCATCAGCTCCTGATTTGCACATAATGCGGAACACCTTTATCATCTCATCACCCTGACTAGCCCCATCATTATTGTAGTCTTCTCACCCACTGCGCTTTGGAAGAGATACCAGTATTTAAATTTACCTTCGTGGGCGAGATTCGAATCCTCGGGCAGTGAGAAACCAATACCAGCAATCAGCTGTGTCTGACTGCTTGCATTAATCGATGCTTTCTCGTCTTTGCTGCAGGATCGAATAGCTCAAGATCAGTCGTAAAGTAGTTTCGGTCACTGGCGGTCACTGGCGGTCACTGGCGTCCACTGTATCTTGTCGAAACGAGCATCTATGCCCACTCGTTCGGCTACGTGACTGACGTCCTCTATGAGACCAAGATCAACAGAATTTGCTTGAAGACCAAGCGATTGATGATACTGGGTGAAGGCATCCAGGAAGGTGTTTCCTGTGGAGTAATTGGCCTGTAATTTGTTACCAACAATACCGGATACCGGATATCGGTACACTCGAGAGCAGAGTGAAGAATTCCAGTAGCTCTTTCTGCTCTTGAGAATAATGGCGCAGATATTCCAAATTCTATGGAGCTTAGCGTGAAGGGCAGTGTTATCTAACCAGTGTTATAGTCTCAAAAGGTCTTTCTCTGAGAATCATGTAGGCCCTTGAATGATGCCAGCAATTCATGAGCCTCGGAAAGTTCCCAGGCGTTTGGCTCTCAACTGTACGGACTCCTTCAGTCTCGTGCCAATTTTGAGTACAGGCTGCGCGCCTTCAACCTCGGCCCGTTTAAATTCGTTGACTAAAACATCTGTAACAACTCTGTGCACAAACAGAGTGCCGTCGCGTTCTACGAATTCACTCTCGACGGCGGGTTTCGAATCTGATTGATTGACTTCGAGCGATTTGAAGACCACATCGATAGCAGAGTGAGTCTGTGGCAGGACCAGTGCTTGACTCAACGTCCAGAACGCTAAGTTTGACTCTATGATCCTCTCTATGAGCTACGCAGAATAGACCTTGGACAAGAGCATTGTTAGGGTCGGTTACCTTTTATTGTGCACCTTTGGTCACCCAGAGAAGCCATTAGAGTATTCGCTCCTTTCAAAATGACAAGGTCATAAGCTGCATCCTGTGGCAAATCGAGGACTTCTTTAGTGGGATTCATCAGGAAGAATGACGAATCTCTCTTGGTCTTGTACCTGCCTTGCTTTGAATAGTGACGAAATCTTTTGCGTACGAAGCAAAGTCGTGCTGGAGATAAGCAGAATTTGACAACAATGCTCTAGCCTCAAATCAGATGAAACTTGTCTCATTAAAGTTGAGGTTGACCTCAAGGATTCTTAAAGCAGGCTTCTTGTGCGCAATAGATTGATAATCGCATTCATTTATATCTCCGAATTCTTGTATCCAAGCTGACCAAACCATTCTGGGAACATAAGTGCTTCCAGGAAATGCTGTCGAAAATATGTGGGTTTCTTTATTCCCATATCTAACTTGACGAAGCGAAGCCCGGACATCTGCATAAGTAGTCCACCACTTTCAGGGTGATATACGGTGCAGTTGGAAGAGTAGCTCTTAGCTCCTTACAGATGGCCATGGTTAGAGTATTCTCATGTAGCAAGTGAGAGACCCTCCTAAAGGCCATTAGGAACACTGCCGATCATGGGGTCATCAATGAACGACGAAACAAAGACCGCATTCACGGAGCTGCGTTCTCATGCCCAGAGAGCAGAGTTGACTGTTTGGAAATCCGTCCAGAGATGCTGGATGAATTGGGTAATATGAGCGTGTGAATCATTTTGATGCTGGTTCTTCCAATGATACTTGAGCACGAGATTGTCTTTGGCCACTCTTAGACTCGAGTTTGAGTGGTCTCTGAAAATTAGGATCAAATCCATAGCCGGCTTCCGCTTGAGCTTTCTACCCAGCCTTGCCAGAAGCTGGGAGCTGAAGAGGTGTCTTATCTAATTCTGCCAGAAGCCCGTCAACGGGATCTTGTAGATGGATCAGACCCGAACAATGCTCAATCAAAAGGTCCCCGTTAAAGAAGATGTGTAAGTCCTGCCAATCCCTCCTACTATGTTGTTGAGTCAGTGACCACAGCACGAATGGCTTTAATTCATCCTCCAGCACCAAATCTTCTTCAAAAAGTATATTCCTGAACGGGTGATAACATAGCTCATTGGGCGAACTAATAATTATGTCTTCGGTCGCGATGGAGCGTATAATTTGATACAAGGCTTCTACTGCCATTGCAATGAATCTAGCACCAAGCATCAAGACGTCCGAACCCATTTTATAGGCTCTCAACCACGGCACATCGGCAATGTTTAAAAGCTTTCGCTACGCTGGTGATTTCTATGTGGTCCCGATTATCTTTTTTCCATGTAAATCATGGTTAATAAATTGTTTGAACCTTCAATCTTTGCTTGATGCGTTTTTGTGCTAGTGTTTGAATTAGTTGGGGAGATCAATGATGGGTTTAGTTTCAGCATAATGGTCGAAACTTTTGAACCTGATGTATTAACCGCCGACGAATAGGCGTCCGATACTGGTACCATTGGGGAATGACTTCAAAATCTGGGAGACAGGCCCAGCAAGTGCCGAAGGATAAATATCGATTAGGTAGTCTGGACCTTTCTCATACGAAAGCATTTCATTGAACGCTTTGTCGAAATGTACTGGTAAAATCATGTTCGTTTTCCAATACAACGGGTCAGTAGTGGCTGCTCGCAGAAGTCTGGCGAAACAACCATCAGCATTCAGCTTCTCAGCCAGTGATTTTGAGTGCACTGTTTTTTTGTCGTACACAGTCAAACTGCTAGGATTATTGAAACATGGAAGACAAACTTGACCTGTGTATTTCTCTAGGTATGGTAAGAGACTTTCTGTTCCCAGACGCACTGCCAGCATATCGACATCCTTTTCAGCCTCATTCTATTGATTTACAGCAGCACGACCTCTGTAATTACTAATAAGCTACTCTAACAGCTTCTTATATAGAAGAATACGGGAAGTATACAAAGTATGTATGTTCTGGTGATTTGTAAAGTCCGAGTATCAACAATGATGTTTCCAACGACAGTCTTACCACATGATAAACAAACCTTATTTTCCTATGTCATTGATATCGGCCAGTATCTCTACATTCTCATTTAAATTAACATTTAGAGCTTGCTCCTACTGTTGCGATATGTGAATTAAGCACAAGGTTCATCGAGACCATGCCCCGAATGATATCGCAGATAAGAATCGCATTCTCTCGTCGTTTGAGTTCATGATGACCTTGCATAAGAAACTGCAAGTAAGAGGCACAGACCGAGTCACGGCGATCCCTGTCAATTGATCAGGGCTAGCTTCCCTATGCTCCAATACGACTTGCAAGTGGATTAAAGTTTTCTTTTTCGATCCTTCTGACCTACTGGATCAAATTAGATTGAATGTCTTCAACATAATCGAGGTTGGCTATAATAGGATGTACTTCGGGTTGGTGGCAGAATTAAGCGAGCTGAAGGATTGGCAACCCCTGAATGTACATTTGTGGCGAAAGGCCGTTATGTAAGACACCCTGGACTACGAAATGTAAGTGAGAGGATCCATTGTACGATCACCCCACACGTGTATTCTCAATGCATCTTAGAAATATATGTCACAACCCGTAGTGTCTTTTAAGGTTGCCGCTTAATTATCGATTCTGGTGTCGAATCTGAATCGGAATTCTATTTCGTCTGGGCAGGTTTCGGTGGAAGAAAAGAGGATGGCTTGCCAGAAATCGGACTGTATAATGCGATAAGAAAGAACTGAATAAGGTTTTGGGGGTTGGGGTTGACGTGTAAGAGAAAGTTCCTATCAGGGGGTTATAAATGGGGTTGTTTGCGGTGGGATTGGTAGATAGAAGGTTAGTTCCTTTGGAGACCAGAAGCGCTGTGCAGAGAATAGACGAACTTCATGTTCCTTTCCATCATTATCAATTCGCAGCTGCGAGGTAGTGCAGCATTCATTTGAACTATCCAGACTTTCCTGATTCTATTTTTCCGGGACCGCAGAGGAAATCTAACAAGCATTTCTTCAGAGGTAGAAGAATCAGGAGTCTGAACTCGAACCGAATCCCCAATCTCTCTCGAAATCTCATTCGTGCTTAATAAACTGACTGTTGTCTGTCTAATCACAGCCCAAAAATCCATTGTTGTAACCATAGACCATGAAATGCACCGCAGAAGACGTAGCACGATCACCAACTTTTATCCAATGCTAATTTCCGCAAACTAGAGCCTGGTATCGAATATCACTTGGCTGTGCTCCTATCTAGGATGCAAATTGCTGGAAAGATGGTAGAAGTATTGCCAATGCAATTTGTTTGGCAGGCATTCATCAGCGACCTCATCACTCAGTATGCCCTTGGATAACCTTTCCGTTTCTTAGAACAGGAATAATTTTCCATCCCTAACATAGAATCTATCGATGGATCTTTCAAACTGAATCATACCTTTTGCCACCTCCTTTGAATTGGAACCCTACTCACATCGGCACCATCTTGGGCTATCAAAATTTACATTACATCTTTGAAGGAGATGTTGAAAAAGCCTGCGGTATGTCATCCAGTCATCCAGTTATCTCAGAAGTCTCAGCATGCTAATTCCAAAGTAACAGATGTGCATGAAACATATTGAAGACATCAGAAACTCCCCAAATCCCGAACGAATTTAAGACCACGATATTTAAAGGAACCGAGTAGCAAATTTCCCGATGAGGAGGAAAATACTAATCTCAGACTAATCCATGAAGCACAGTTGGTCGTATTTGCGGGTGGAGATATATACAATCGGTATGCATTCAAGCATGACGGAAAAATCCTGAAGTCCTTGACTCAAATTAATCTTAACTACAGCATACACACTGCAGTCTGCTTTCTTCGATGTCCTTGCGGATCCAACGGACTTGAAAAACTAAAGAAGTAGATCCTAAGAGGTTTTTCAATTTTCAAACTTCACAATATAATGCTATTTCGGAATACTCAATTAATTTGAGAGATGAAGAGAGTTATTTCTTCAGTTACATAGTATCTTGTCGGATGCTATATGAGTTTGCTGTGAACTGTCGAGATCGCCAATCTTGACCACAAGAGATAAATCAAACAGCAGGTATGGCCTATACACTAGATTGTTGGGATCTGGCTGACGAACAAAAGCCGATATAAGTGTTTGATTGTTTCTAAATAATATATATTTTCCTCCTAACTCAACTCAATTCGATATATCGTATGAGTGACTACAACATGACTACCACTACCACTACCACGGTAAGGCCTCACCATCCCACTTGAACAAATTTCCACCATGCGTTTCTCTAGTACTAGCAGCTATGAGATCCACCAGTCCGGCGGCACATTCTAGGACTCCAAGAGGAGCTGCGTCAAATCCAAAGTGATTCGCACCGATATTTCCCAAGTCAGTTTGCACCCATCTACGTGATACCGTTAGCGACGAACGAAGTAATAGCTGTATCAAACTTACCCTGGGTCAATGGGGAACGCAATAAGATTGGGCTCTTCGCGGTGAATAGCCTTGGTTAGCCAGTGGGCAGCAAATTTGGAAGGTGCATAGGCTGAGTTTGGCATGTCTAGTTGGTTCCTGTAAACTGTCAATACATGTGGTTCATTGAAGACATTCGCCATCACTGGTGGATAGGATTAATTACTAGATAAATCATTATTAGCTAACAGTTATTATAGAATTCCCAGATCTAACAGCAAACTTACCGTAAGATACGCCGCAGAAGAACCAATGGTTATGAATTTTCCAAGTTTGGATTTATTCAACAAAGGCAATGTAGCTTGGTACAGCCAAATGAAGCCGTGTACATTCGGAACAAAATGACCTTGCAAATCCTCGACTTTCACTTCCGATACTTTAGGCCAGAGGTAGCAGACGCCTGCATTCGCAATCACAATATCCAGATGATGAATGCCTTGGGATTTCAACTGGTTCACAGCCTCGAGAGCATCTGTAGGGGCAGTAGCATCGACTTTGACGACGATAAGAGAAGACCCTTCAGCGGTGGGTAAGTCGGCGAGAGCTTTCGATGACGGATGATTCGGATCGCGATTTGCGGCGATCACAGTGTGGTTTGGTTTGGAAAGATAATTTTCGAGGAGACCTTTGCCAATGCCTCTGTTGGCGCCGGATATAAGCACAATGATTGGGGCCATATTGCCTTAGTTTTGGATTAAAGAACGGTGCTATAAATCGACTTTAGGAAATTGTGATTGTTTGTGAACCTTATATATGGTTATAAACCTCATTGTGATAGATTTCGGTCACACTTTAGACTTAAAAGTGGATGAAAGGTAATGTATTACATTGCATGCTTTTGGTTGCTATAGTACAGGATACTAGGTAAATGCCCATATGAGGATTACCAACCTGTCTGATACTCACTGAGGTTGATTGTCACGAAGCAGGGTATATGGTAACGGCAATATCAGGTACGATCGATGCGGGGTAAGCATACTGCATATAAACGCGCGGTAGCATGGGTTATATAATCGGTAAGCGAGCCACAGTCACTTGAGTTTTATTGTCGGGTATTAATCAGCAAAATCAGCATTCAGTCGCGCTTATGCTGACCTTGCATCAGATTCATTTGACATTACTTATCGAGAGCAGTAATCCAAAGTCTAATCGGCTTTCTAGTGCAAGAAAATCGGAATAGGCATCCTCAATTGAATGAAAATGGGGTTTAGCATATACTCTCCCACTCATCGTACCGAAACCATGATGATGAGAGGACGTAAGAAATCCCCGTTCAACTGAATCCCAACGACATAATTTCACACGCAAAGCAACAACATGCTGTCGCCTTACTCATGATGATTGCGAATCCCACAAAATTCTCACCGAGGATTAGACTTTGCGGTGTGGAAGCTAGAATGACCAACATGAACTGTGTTCATGTGTACTCATACTAATAAGTCAAACTTTAGTCTCTTGGGACATTCTTCGTGATACAAAGATCCTTTTGGCTTACGAATATCTCATCAAGACTCTGCGCCGCAGACTTTGCGACACTGGTGTGCGATGGTCGTGGCGATAGAGCTTTTTAGGCTTGCTCAAATCATGATAAAGATGACCGCTAATCTTGAGTTCACACTTCTTTGAGTCTACAATTCTTTGAGTTCTGAATTCTAATTTTCAAGAAATCTTGCGTTTTTCGCCTGTTTCCAATCGTCTGTATCGCAGACCAAGCATTCGAACCCACAAGTCGCTTTTACCGCAGCTACGATCTTATATAGGATATATATCCCCAACAGCAATTGCGGCACCAGTCAAGAGATCCAACGCATTCGATCAATCTGGGGCCCGCTGCCACTACTTACCAACACATTCACAGGCCTAGTTTGTGGCGTCACAATGACTATAAATGATTCTCGCAGTCCCTTTACCTCTGGGAATGCATCTAGATCTTGGAAATATTGCATCTTGAGCAATTAACGCCAGTTGCGCTGATAAAATCATTGCTGGTTGGAACAAGATTTGCCAGAGAAAACAAGATACTAAGTACGATCGAGAATTCTGGCTATAATAACATTGACAAATCGAACGGCGAAAGATCCTTCGAAGGCTGTACATAAAATCTTAAAAATTTCTATCTCATTTGTCAACTACCGGTACACCAGCGCTGATTACACTGGCCCTGCTGCTAAAGTTGGAGCCGGAGCTCAAATTTCTCTACAGCCGATGGAGCAACTGCCGAGAATATTCCACGAGTTGTGGAGGGGTTCTGTCCTACTATAGATATGGTATGGCTGGTGGGTATATGCAAGGGTGGGTGCCCGCCATGAACAGTCTATTCAGAAGCATCGTATATCTAAGCTCTCATCTCATCTCATCTCATCCCTAGTGCACCACTGGTAGAGTAATGTAATCCAAAATGAACAGCGCTTTGGAAAGGAAATGAAAAAAAAAGAGTGTTGAACAGTCCTGAATTTAAGGGCCGCACCATGGATATCGCAGTCAAATATTAGCAAAGCAGCTCTTTCAAGTCTGTCTCTTGCTTGTCTTACCGTTGGAGCTCCCTAACTAAAAGGGTTTTGGCCTATAATTTATCGATCAGATCACATTTCAACATCTTTCCTATAATCCTATTGTATACAAACTTTTTATATGAAACTACTGCCCTCCCTACCTGACAAGACTCTAAGCCCACCTTAAATACAAAACTGTGTATTTCTGACCACACGTAGAAAGAAAGAGACAAGGTCAGAACCGTTTTACCTAGGCCCAGGCTTGTGAGGATACTCCCGACCCGACGAAAAGCATCAACAAACTTTTATACACCAGCAAAATTATTCGCAGGATATTATATAAATAGTTATCATCGTGCGAATATTCAATCCACTTGGCCTTATACGTGACCGAATCATGCACCAATTTCAAATTGAGTATTTCCTCCATTCATACCTCAACATCATCCCAAAACCTCTCCATCTTAATCACTTCATCCTCAAACCCTTTTCCACAACCTCTTCTTCCTCCGTCTCTTCTACCTCAATACTCCCATAATAATTGGATACCGGTAATCTTCTCGAGGACTGACCAAAGATAGATGCAAACAAATTCCGTCTACGTCTACGTCTACCTTTTTGCGATTCTGCGCGAGCATCATATCATCGATAATCTTTCTCTTTCTCATGGCCACAAAAAGTTCAATTCGCATTTCCCCAGGAAGCGCATAATTTCCATCAGATTTTAAGTAATGCCCCACGGGCCACGAATAGCGAAGTCGACAAAAGCCATATGAAATGAACAAATCGAGTTCATAATGAATTTGCATTGCAGATGGAATCGCTCTCCGTTATGGAAGCCCCTGGTCTAGAAATAAAAAAAGTTTATCGTCTTTGAATAGGCAACCTTCTCAAACATGCAGCATGCTCTCTCGGAGTACAACTTGATAAAGTCTCTTCGGAGAGCTGGTACTTGAATCAAGTCGGCGAACACAAACACATAGAGCTCGACAAGTGTGTTAATAATGCGAGATTAGATTTGCAAACATTTACGAGTTCTCTTCTCTTCCCTCAACTTATTGATTTCTTTCTAATTCTCCTCAGACACCCACCCAAGGTCCTTAACTCCTTAATCCTCTTCTCGATTTGTATTTGGGACCATGTGATATTAATATTCCCCTGAATTTCGGTAATTTGTTTCGTGTACAATACAACCATTGGTAAAACAACTCAGAAAGAAAAACGCCAATTTCAATGTGAGAGTTTCATGATGCCGGTTTTGACTTCCTGGAAGTCGGATGGATGCAAATACGGTTTTGAAATACGGAGAATGGGAGAATGGTAGTAAATAAGGTCCTGGTTTTTGTTCTTGTGTATCCCCAAATCTTGTAGGTCCTTGTCCACTTGGATATGCACGATGCACGACTTCACGCCCGATGGATGGATCTGAATTTTGTTACTGTAGGATATTCATGAGATTCATTATAGTGTTGATAAGGATCTGAATTGGAAATTTGGATGTATAACGAAAGGCAGCAGGACGAAATCCGAAATATAGAAAGGAGACTTACCTTACTTGACAGCTCCACTCGAGTATTTCCCTCATCTTAAAACTTAAATGTGATGTTCAGATGATCTATTGACAGAATAAAATGTCTTTAGATTCAACATGAATCATGAGCTCCAATCGAATACTATCTATATCTATGGAAGAAGTTGGGCGTTGATACCGTGTATCGAGATCGAGAGTCCATCACATTGCTACTGATACCTATGAAGAATCCTCATAATACCTACCTACCTACCTACCTACCCGTATATTCAACAGAAAGACCATACCACACGGACAACATCTATAATAACCCATGTACTGTAGGCACCCGAGAAAAATTCGCAACTACCTAGTATATACAGAATCCGCTGGGTCACGACTCACCAAGGACTTGTATTGTACCTCAATGCGAGAGTAAATACTTATATATATACTCGTATAGTAAAGCATGGTAGATAAATACAAGTTTGTTATCATGAAACTGTGCGCGAATATACCTAGTAGATTGGATGGAAATAAGAAGATGATATACTCGTATATTCAAGTTGCACTTTCATTGATAGACTTCAACTGAAACCCCGTCCAAAAGAGAAGAGAAGAAGGGAAGAAGTTCCTCCTTTACCTCTTTCACCACATCTTAGCACTCAAACTCAAGCTCAAACCCACCAGCTCCACGACTAACTCACCACACAAAAGCATCCACCCCCACGCGCCAGCTTCCGCCCCTTACTCTTACTCTTCTTCCCTCCCCTCCTCTTCCCTTCCCTTCCCTCCCCTCCACTCCCCTTCCCTTCCCTTCCCTTTCCTTCCCTCCCCATCCCATCCCATTCCATCCCATCCCATTAAACACGAGCAAAGAGCAAACAAATTTTTCCAGTTTCCACAACAGTACCACTATAAGCTCCCACCAACCAAATTCTTCAGCCACAGCAGTGAGTTTAAGTTTACTAGTAAATTTCCCCGAGAGATATATTGAGAGTGATATTGCACTATTACTGTTACTGTTACTTTTACTGTTATTGTTACTGTTACTGGTACTGTTATTGTTACTGTTATTGTATAGGATTATAATTGTAATTGAAAGGTGGAGATTATGTTTCAATTTGAATTTTGATGGAGGATGGAGGATGGAGGATGGAGGATGGAAGGTTGTATTATGTATTGTGTTGTATTTAACATAATACAACACATCGTTTTACGTAGGTATTGGGTTTGAAGTTATTATGCTATATGAAATGGAGTAGATGAAATAGAGTAGATCATAATGAATGGGGCTTGCAATTTTACTGTAGAGGCTTTGAAGTTTGGGATAACACAGGTTTTGAGATTGAATTGGTAAAAATTGATATTGATTAAAGGGGTCTGCTCTGCTCTGCTCTGCTCTGAAAAGCCACTGAAGACAAGTATAGTATTCATGTAAAAACCCAACGATTGCCTTGAGACTATCCACAACAATCTTCCTGCCCCTAAATCTACCCAAACCCACGGTCTTTGATTTCGGTTTCCTAATCAATAGTAAGTATAAAAACGTAGCAAGGATTCCAGAGTAGAATACGGACCTACATATAGCTGATGTGCCTAGGAGGTAATCTTCTCATTGACCTTTACATGATAATTTGTAATATCTGTCAGAGGATTAACCTTTGCACCTTTCTTGTTCATGCGCGTACATCTGAAGCGGCGTGCCATGGTGAATAGAACCTCATCCTTGACGGAATTTGGTATGACTTTGTGTGCAGTGACATAACTGCTAGCGGGATGTTCCCATACTAACATGTCGATCATGATTTTGCGAAGTTGGCTACTTTCGGCTGTATTCTCCCAGATATATTCGATCAGTTCGACAGGGACATCGTTGTTTGTGTTGGTTGTGTTATAAAACCTTTCCAAGCAAAGGTTTTGCAATGCGGGAATTCGAGTCATGTCGGCGAAAACGTAGAGCATTGCGAGCAGTTTCAGTTGCTTTTTATGGAACGTATCGATAAGGCAATTGTTATCGTGCCCTTTGATGAATTCACGCGAGGCCTCATAATCGCTATCATAGCCGTCACCATCACTGTCCTCGTCGTCATCATCAATTGCCTTGCAAAGTGTGCAACTGCTGTGATTCTCTTCCAGGCCAACTGCGCCATCCACCTCGGAACTCGAACTCGCTGGGTCCCATGCAGGCAAATATAGGTCCTGAGTATATAGCCAATGGTAGAATAACTCAAAAACTTCGGGCTCAGTTGTAGAAAGTTTCATAACACCAGTTCTAGTCTCTTCAAACCCAGAGGTGAAAGCAGCGTTGAAGTAAGGTGAATAATGACAGATGAGGTCTTTATGGACGCCAAAATCCTTGAGGTCATCTCCAACTTGGACATGAAGCATAGTGCGGCCCAGAAGTCTAGACTCAATCAGCGGATGATTGTGAAGAGGATAGAGCGACACTTACTTGTTTAGCTTCCCTGAAGCTTTCTTTGGTGACATTTTGAAGTGGAGAGTTGACTGTCTTAGAAATTGGAGTTTTTACGTTGAGAAAGTTTTCACGTTGATTAGTTTTTACGTTGAGAAAAGTTTTGTGATCAAACTCAGACTTTTTGCTGATTATAATCACCTACGAGTACAGCAGAGTCAAGACATCAATACTCGTACAGTAGTTTGGTAGATTCAATATGGCAATACCCATACAGTAGTTTGGTAGAATCAATACGGCAATACTCATACAGTAGTTTGGACACAATACATAAAAGCCGATACTGTTGTATAATTATGGAACACTTGTTGATCATTAAAAAGGGCATAGCAAGTGTGTCTCCATATTCTTCCATAGAAGTGTGCAATTGATAGTGATGGAAAGGAGACACACGATTGCTAATTGAACACTGGCTCCAATGAACTTCCTTACTTACCTAGGTACATAAAAGGTATGCTTGCGCCACATACTTTTCTTTTGGGTGTTCAAATTAATATTGATGACCCGAAAAAGCAAATACATAAGTAATTCGATAACGGACTTTTAATTAAAGTATCAGATAATTGAGGAATATAGGTATAATGCAATCAGCTCGGAAGAGGGTGGCGAGGCTACATCTTTTTATCTCGAACGAAACCAAAAGAGAGTGCGGGAGAAGAAGGATAGGGGAGGGAGTAAAAGGGGGCACACTGATCTGCTTCTTCGCTGGAATAGCCAATGGCTTGTACTGTACTCGATATGTCCTGTTTTGAGCATGCTGCTGCCAGATTCGCACTTGCTGATATAATAAGCAATATCCAATACGTGGCTACCTACCCATTGCTTGTCGACCAGGCAATTAACTGTCTTTCTGATCTTGAATAGATTTGTCAAATACTCGAGTATATATCGAAATACAATGAAGATATTGATGCTTGGAACAAATTGACTGCTCCTATTCCTTATCTCTCGACTCAAATATATAATCAAATATCTTTGGATTTGAAATATTATATAAATAAATATATCAATATATATTCTATATATAAAACTTGATTAGCAATATTCAATACATGACTATCTACTCACTATTTGTCAGCTAGGTAATTAACTGTCTTTCTGATCTTGAAATATATTTGTCAAATACTCGAATATATATCGAGATACAGTGAAGGTATTGATGCTTGAAACAAATTGACCACTCCTATTTCTTACCTCTCTACTCGAGTACACAACTAAACGTCTTTGAAAATATCCCTACTAGTATGCGGATTAGAGGTGATTCATAGATAAATATGAAGATTTAAGTATTAACAGGTGCTCCATATGTAAGACTCGAATAATATTACATGTCTGATTGAGAATACCCTCTAGTTTTGATACTGTATCAATTGATCAATTGTCACGATTGTTTATAGGGAGTGAAGTTTGAAGTGAAGATTGATTTGAAGATAGAAGTGAGAAGACAGAAGTGAAGATAGCAAGAAGTGAAGATAGCAAGAAGTGAAGATTGAAGTGAAATTTGAAGTGAATTTGAAGTGAATTACTCTCAGTATGTAAGTGTTGGCGGTCAAATCAAAAGCTGGAGCTTGCAGGGATGTTGTCTCTTCCTTAGGTTTCCAATCCCTATTTTGGTTGCGAAAGAGATTCAACTTCAAATCATCACAAAAAAAAGAGTACCTACCTATCTAAATTACTTACCTCCAACGAAAACCTTTTCAACATACCTACCTCCTTCCTTTACCTCCTTTAATTTAATCTATTCATCCATCGTACCTAGGTACTTTGATTCGAAGAAGAAAGCGCATAGAATAATAATTCACTTCAACACGCCTTCCTTATCTGACCGCGAACCCGCCACGATCTGTTGTGAATTATGGCCAATCCTGTAAGTTGAAAAGCCATTCATTTCAACAAAACATAATCCGCAATTCCACACACACTCTGTCTCTCTCTTTATACAACCTCCTCTACTCTATCCTACTATCTCATACAATCAAAGATGACAGCAGTAAATTCCATGATTGTTGGGGTTCGACCCAGTTACTCTTCTGTTTTTCAGAAGTTTCCAGGACATTCAAAGCTAACAGATCCAATGTTTCAGCAACGACTCCCTCCACAACAACCCAGCTATAACCAAGCTTATATGCCAAATGGCGCTGTAGCTGGTCATACTGGCATTCCACCTGGAGCTACTCCTTTACTCCCAAATAACGGCAGAATCATACAAACTGGTGGTGTGAGAGTTTTGTGCGTGGCAGACGTACGAGGTGAGCTTCGACCCGAAGATTTCACTTTTTAGCCAACGCTGACAACTCGAAAGGAAATTTAAGATCACTCAATGAACTCGCAAAGCAAGCACGAGCGGATCATATCATTCATACTGGGGATTTCGGTTTCTATGATGACACCTCTCTGGATCGCATTGCAGAAAAGTGAGCTCTCAACAGCTAGCTCAACACCTTGGCCACCCACTAATAAATTTGAATAGGACCCTCAAACACGTCGCTCAATACTCTCCATTGATTTCAGAATCTACGAAAAAGGCAATCGCATCTCCAGGCGGCCCAGTAAAGTCAAGATTTAGTCCTGGCGATCTTCCACTTTCCGAGTTACCACAATTTCTAAATGGCAGTCTTAAGCTTGATGTACCAGTCTACACAGTTTGGGGTGCATGTGAAGATGTGCGAGTCCTCGAAAAGTTTAGATCAGGCGAATACAAGGTTGACAAACTTCACATCATTGATGAGGCACGCTCAATGCTTTTAGAAATTGGCGGTGTTAAATTGAGACTTCTAGGACTTGGTGGCGCAGTGGTTATGCACAAACTTTTCGATAATGGCGAGGGACGAACTACAATTGCTGGTGGCCAAGGAACTATGTGGACTACACTTCTTCAGATGGGCGAGTTGGTAGACACGGCCAATCGTGTATACGACCCCACCGAAACCCGCGTATTCATTACCCATGCATCACCAGCTCGCGAAGGTATCTTGAATCAGCTTTCAGTAACCCTCAAGGCCGACTTCTCGATATCCGCAGGATTGCATTTCAGATATGGAAGCTCTTACAACGAATTTAGTGTCAATCCTACCTTGGATCATTACCGGGGCAAGCTCGCGGCATCCAAAGCTTCCTTCAATGACGTATGGGAGACTGTTAAGAGCGAGGTTCAACCGGCCATTTCCTCAAATGAAGCTCAGCAAAACCTTCTTAACAACGCCCTTGGTATAGTAGAGAAGATGCCAAGCACCGCACATGGAGGCAACCCATTCGGCGGCCCTGTTGGTGGCTCTAATGCCGCTACTTTAGGTCAAGTCGACGAGAGCGCTTTCAAAAATATGTGGAACTTCAACCTGGCTGATGCTGCCTTTGGATGGTTAGTATTGGAGGTTCAAGATGGTCGTATCGGTACCGAAATGCGAGCTCAAGGATTTAACTTCGCTCATCGAGGTGCGAAGCAACATCCAGGCCACCAACAGCAGCAAGCACAGGCTCCTGCAACCGGCTCTGGAACCCCTGGATCAAGCCAAAACCTTGTATCCTCGGCACCACCTACCGGTCCAGCTCAGCGCTCACCCGCTGCGCAACCTCCAGCCCAACCATTCAGTCAGCGTGGACCAAATCAACAACAAACCAGAGCTCCACCAGCTGGTCCTGAACGTACTGCAGATTCACCAGCTCCATTCCAAGCCAAGCCTGTTACACCCCAACCAGCTCAGAATAGCGTAGTCAACCTTCCATCTGCCAAGGAGAATGAGAAGACTCCTGCGACTACAAATGGCACAGATAACACATCCCCGACAGCCAAGCCTTCAGCCGAACAAATTATTGGTCTCTTCGTTATGAATGTGACCTCAGAAGATCATGTTCGAGAGTTATTCCATGACGATGATAAGACAAAGATTATCAGAATCGATAAATGGGGTGCATCAAACAAGGTTGCTGTATTCAAGACAACTCAAGATAGAGATGATGCTCTAGGTCGCTTACCTGCAGAGGTCACATCACGTAACAGTGAGGACCGTTCAAGACCTTTGGTGAAATTATTTCAGGCCAGAGATAATAAGACATACTCTTCGAGCCGTGGAGGTGCAGGTAGTTGGGGAAGCAGCAGAGGTGGCAACAGCAATGCTCCTCGAGGAGGTTACGGAAGTGGAGGTGCCAGTGATAGTGAAGGCGGACGTGGCGGACGAGGGGGTCGAGGTGGAGCTAGAGGTGGACGAGGAAACGATAGAGGTAGAGGTGGACGTGGTGGACGTGGCTTCAATAAGGAAGGTGGGGCATCTCCTGCTCAAGCTTCAGCAACACCAGTTGGAGGTGATTCTTGATCAACGATAATATCCGACACCATACACCGACGGTTTTCGTTGCTTCCTTACATCAAAAGTCATATTTCTCGCACAGTACATCTTCTTAATGGTCACTCATTGTGAACTGGAGATATCTATCTTGACAGAGGCTCGGCCATATTAGTATTTCGGCTTTTTTCGTCCTCACCATACAAAATATCACAAGGTATTGGAGCGGAGTTTTAAACATTTGCTTATACTTCACGTTTCATACCTCTTTTTTTTGTGCGGGCGACGATGGCTACTAATTCTTTCTATTTCCTTCGCATCTGTACTTTTGATACAGGTAGCTTTGAGTCGCATCACAGGATCTATCTCATTATGGAATGGGATAATCGAAACGAATCGAATGAATAGCGTTGCACATGTATTTTAGTTTTTGCCCCAGTTTCAATAAGGGAAAAGGAGAGAATGGAAAGCTGGTAGGTGCAGGGATGCCAGAGTTAGGGTGGTTGTCGATTGATTGCAGAAGCATAGAAAATATCAATAAATTCTTAGTAAATGATTCGATTTTACTTCGTGAGATGTTTTGGGTTTGTGATATCGTACAACAACGTAAGTATACATTTGACATGCTCGGGTATTACATGTGTCCTAACAAGGGTTACCAAAGAGTCAGGATGATTCAAGCTCATGATGACAACACAATGCCTAAACTTTCCACGACGTTCTCGCCAAATAGGATAGTTCCCTCATAAACTTTCCTACTTTTCCAAAGGTTTGACCCCCTTATGAATGGCCGCAATTCCGCCCGTCAAATCCTCCCACCCCTTCCCAGGCACCACAAACCCCGCTTCCTTGATCATATCCCGAAACTCCTCCTGCCTCGGAAACTTCTCAATACTCTCCACCAAATACTGATAACTCTCTCGATCGCCCGCCACCAACTGTCCTATCAATGGGATGGCGCCGAAGCTCCAGCGCTTATATATCGCATTAAACAGCGGATTCGTCACACCGGAAAATTCCAAACATGCGAATAAACCACCGGGTTTTAGCACGCGGTGCGCTTCCCGCAGGGCGGCGGACTTGTCGGTGAAGTTGCGAATGCCGAAGGCGACGGTGTAGAGGTCGAGGGAGTTGGAGGGGATCATGGGGAGGGTTTCGGCGTTGGCGAGAAGGAAGGAGAGGCGGGGGGAGTGGGCGTAGGGGGTGGAGAGGGAACGCTTGCGTCCTTCGGAGAGCATGGAGGGGTTGATGTCGGAGATGGTTATGCTGCTGGAGGGGGAGTGGTTTATTTGGGTGGCGTGGTCGAGGAGTCGGAAGGCGATGTCGCCGGTGCCGCCGGCTATGTCGAGCATTTTCCAGCCGGGGGTTGGGGTGGATGGGGAGGGAGAGGAGGGGGGTGCAAAACCGGGGTTGATGGAGCGGACGAAGTGGTCTCTGGGGTTTGAATTAGCTTCTTGCTTTAGTGAGTAGTAATTAGGATATATATGATATGATATGTGAAAAGGAACAACAAAACATACTTCCACAACCTATGAATCCCCAACGACATAAAATCATTCATAGCATCATACGAGGCAGCCACATTACTAAAGACGCCCGCAACTTCACCGCACACAAGCAATTAGCTTCCACTTCCACTTCCACTTCCACTTCCCCTTTCATATCTCAGCTCTGCGCAGCTTTGCGTAGCTCTGCGAATAAGAATAAGAATAAAAACAAGCAAAATCACACACCTCTGGCTTCCTTCTCCGCCTCCGGCACCGTCTCAAATCCAAAATGTGTGGTGCGTCCATCTTCATTATGCGAGGCAGAGGCAGAGGTGCCCGCGGACGATGTATGTGTTGAAGATGTACCGGTACTCGGATTCGCTTGGCGGATGGTACTCGAGCTTGAAAAATATCGGGGGGTGTACGCGCATTGGAATTGAGACCTGGCTGACCGGGCTATTGGTCGGAATGCTGTTCTACAAGCCATTGTGATGTTATCGACTTGAATCGACGGGATATTTATGGATCGGCGTCGATATTCATGGGATGGGAATACGCAAGCTCCAGCTTAATTTGATAAATTTCTCGCCTCGTCAGCCTTGCCAAGAGTTTTCGCTTCATGCTCTTGTTGTGAACCCCTTCCCGAGTTGATGCGCTAGTAGAGCAGGGGATTCGAGTGGATCGGTTATTGACGGCACTACCCCAGATTTCAGCCTTGTCTCCGGCTTTAGGTCAGAAAGCACGGTTGGAGTCTCCACGATTTGGATGGTGATCTCTTGTGCCGGACTTCCTTCCTTCTTGTTTCTACTGTACTTTCGGTTTTACTTCTTACCTAAGGTTTGAATGGAGATGATGCTGAGGGATCCTCCTTGAAATTTTGAGATTGATTTTGCATTAACCATTCCATTCGTTCCACCAAGTTGGGTATGTCAGTGTAAATCGACGAGTTAGATTGAGACGACAGATAAATTAAGCAATCATGAATTCACACAGAATTGGAGGATGTCTCTTACGAGGCGGTAAGAGGGGTGCGTCTACATGTTTTTTGGGAAATAGGATGAAGGGGAGCTGGGTGGGAAGATGCCATTCTACCATGGGGCCGAGTCAGAAGCCTGGTGCTGCTGGGTGAGTTTCCATGGGTTTTAAAGAGAGTGCAATATAACTTACAATCAAATAGGGTACGATTTCCCGGAGCAGTAGATAGTAAATTTACATCATCCCTCTCCTTTCAATATCCCGAAACCAACACCGCCATTCCCACCTATCGCACCATGTCACCCGAAGGTGAAATACTCGACTCCACCGTTGTCCTCCCCTCCGACGACGCCGCTCTAAAAATGTATCTCAACATGATCAAGGTATCCATCATGGACCTTATCATGGTTGAAGCCCAACGTCAAGGACGATTATCATTCTACATGCCGAGTCAAGGCGAAGAAGGTATATGTGTAGGATCTGCAGCGGCGTTGGAGAAAGATGATGTGATATTTAGTCAGTATAGAGAAGCGGGGGTGTTTATGCAGAAGGGATATACGCTTGAGGAGTTTATGAGCCAGCTTTTTGCCAATAGGAAGGATAAGGGGAGAGGGAGGAATATGCCGGTGCATTATGGCAGTAAGGAGTTGAATATTGTGAGTGCTCTCCAACTATCATCTAACTTCGATACCAAGAAGACGGGGAAGACATAGATTGAAGTAGCTAATAAAGCCAGCACTCCATTTCCTCCCCCCTCGCAACCCAAATCCCTCATGCCTCTGGTGCAGCTTACGCATTAAAATTGCAACGTATCTCCAACCCCTCTCTTCCCCCACGAGTAGTAGCCTGTTACTTCGGCGAAGGAGCCGCTTCAGAAGGCGATTTCCACGGCGCCCTCAACATAGCCGCTACACGATCCTGTCCCGTAATCTTCATATGTCGCAACAACGGGTACGCGATCTCGACCCCCACACTCGAACAATACCGCGGCGATGGCATCGCCAGTCGCGGAATCGGCTATGGAATCGACACCATCCGCGTAGACGGAAACGACATCTGGGCCGTGCGAGAAGTAACGATGAAAGCGCGAGAAATAGCCCTAAAAGATGGCGGCCGCCCCGTCCTCATCGAAGCAATGTCCTACCGCATATCCCACCACAGCACCTCAGACGATTCCTTTGCGTACCGCGCGCGCGTCGAAGTCGAAGATTGGAAACGTCGCGATAACCCCATTACGCGCTTACGTAAATATCTCGAGCGAAAGGGAGTCTGGGATGAAAGCCAGGAAATAGAAGCGAGAACCAATATCAAAAAGGAGATACTGAGGGCTCTGAGCGAAGCGGAAAAGGAAAAGAAACCGCCCATTAGAAGTATGTTTGAGGATGTGTATAAGGAGATGACGCCGGAGTTGAAGGAGCAGATGGGGGAGTTGAGGAGGGTTATGCAAGAGTATCCGGAGGAATATGATGTGGGGGAGTTTGAGGGGGGCGTTGCGAGTTTGAAGTAGGGGAGTGCATGCATGGGATTATGAGATTATGATTGGTTGATTGGTTGATTGGCTGATTGATTGGTTGGTTGATTGTACATGATTGCTAGCTAGCTAGCACTAGCGAGAGACATTATATCAAATCACAAACTGACTGACAGTATGAAATGAACAAGACTTCTTGACGTACCGGTATGTAATGTTCTTAATTTTGTGTTTCGGATCTTTTGTGCTATTTATTCATTCTATGGACTATGAATTCTATATAGACATACAAAACGAAGGTATACATCTTCTCTTCTCTTCTCTTCTCTTCCACTCTCCTCTATATGTTCTGTTCTGTTCCCATATCCATATCTCCCAAACTAAATAGATGGATATCAAGTCCAGATATCATATCCAGCTAGACAATCCATATATATACTCGAGTATATATCAAGATATTTCCGTCTGGAGATGAGTGAGTGAGTGACTATACATACATACACCTAGATAGATCCAGACCTCCCATCTAATCACCCAAACGCAAACGCAAACGCCTTTTCTGTGTTTGTGCTCCCATCCATCCTTTCATCCATCCATTCGACGCCATTTAAAGTTAAAGTTAAAGGTGCAAGAATCTCTGTTATACTCGAGTATACCGAACGGAACGGAAGTCTGAAGAGAATGAAGGGGATTGCCAGCATCTGTCTACCTTGCTGGTATTGTTGGTTGCTTGCCTGTGTCATCACTCACTTCCTCACCACCCCAGTAACCATCAGCGCTCCACCGCCTACCTGTACTTTCCAACCCTCTTTGATCAGCATTCTGGCTACCGCCGGTCCCAATTTTCCCCTGCCCCCCTCACTATGATATCCGACTCCCGTTACAATTTTATAGCCTTCCCCAGGCCCCGCCCTAACATATCCACCGCCCGCTCTTCTTTGTTCTTCCGAAACCCACCATCCTGTGACCCTCTCCCTTGCAATCCTCACCGCATCACGAACACCTAGTCCGTGTAAATCAATACCTCCGCTCCAGCACTGTCCTCTTGCTAACTCATCTGCTGCAGCGCTCTCGGCGTCTTTTACGCGCACATTGGCGTCTCGTCCTTCTTGGGCGTAATAGGCTGCTGCGCCGCCCATGAGATGATCGGATCGGGATTTCTTGTATGCGGAGGATGCTTTTTGGAAAGCGGTGTTGCGGGCATTGAGGTAAGGACTTGCGTCTGTGGAGGGGGAAATTGGTGTGTTTGATTTCGAAGAGATGGAATAGGTTGGGTAGATGGCGTTTAGGGAATATTGTTTGGAAGGGGAGGAAATAGTGGGTGAGGAATCGAGATTTAAAGGTGTGTGGCGGATTTCGATTTGAATATTGGGTTTGCCTGGTTTGGAGGTGGGTGTCGATGTAAGTGCTTTTGCCAAATCGTAAGCATTGGCGGTAAACGGATGAGTGATTTGTGTGAGGATTGTCAAATGAGTTCGTTTGATTGAAGGGAAGTCTCGACCGAGTTCCATGGCATGGATTTCGATGACTGGGTCTTTAGATTCCGTATCGATGGGAGGGTAATTTTCGATAATTGACAGAATGGTTGCTCGAATTGATGCTCCATTATTGTGGTAAATTGAACTGACTTGCTGCATTGGGAAGCCGGTCCTGGTACATATCAAGTCGACATCCCTTCTCCCTGTCTCCCATTTACTCGCTTCGACAGCAAGGGGAGAATCATCTGTAATGGTGCTACTATCGGTATCTTCAGTCCTTCGACCTTTGTTCTTTCCTTTGTGTTTGCGTGGTTTAGAAGTTGTAGAACTTTCAGAGAAAGCTTCAATACCACGTCTCCTTGATCCTGTTTCCTCGAGGAAAGATTGAGTGAGCAAGTCCTCAATTGCCAAATTGATATCTCCTTTAGATTTTTTGAGCGAGAATTTAACATCAAAGGGCTTCAAGATCGGAAAAGTCCCAAGTAAAAAGGCCTCTTGACTGTTCACATCCATTGCCTCCAAGGCATCAGTGAAACCATTCCCATTATCGACCCCACTCCTCCCACTCCTCCCATCCTCACTCCCTGAAAACTCCCATCCTTCTAAAAGATCCAGAGAAGACATTTCTTGACTCAAAGAGGTATCATCTGTCGTACTACTCCACTCAGGAACACTTTTATTACTTGCGCTCCCATCTTCATTTCTCCCATTCCCACTCTGGATATTCTGCTCTGCTGAAGTTTCCCCTCCGTTTGTATAGATTCCCCCGCTGTTTCCACTGGGATCAAAGCCAGTGGCTTCCTCAACTTCTGCGTCTTGACGTATCATATCCAATATCATGCGCGCAGTCTGGACTTGTTCTTCATCGGAAAGATCGAAGTCTGTAATTATTGCACGAAATGTACTATTATCGAGTGGAGGACAATATTCTGCCTATGGAATTCGTCAGCGCGTGCAAGAAATTAAAAGTAGAACCTAGATGAGATGAGAGCAAGTGAATGAATTCTAGAATACACACCTCCATTCGAGCCATAAGCTCTTCAGTATTCACCATATTGGCCAAATCGCAAATTGTATAATTGTACAATGTAATTCAACTTATTTCTGTGATTAACTCTTTTCTTTCACTTCAAATCAAAACTCAGGGTGATTCTGCTGGAATCAAAATAATATATATAGATTTAAAAGAAGTGAAATATATAAAAGACATGATTCTTCGGAGTGAATTCTTGGAATTTCTCGAATTCTAATAAGAGTTCGCTTTGCTACTCTAGTGAGAACTGGTGGGCTGTAGAATGTTGATGAAGTCATGAACCGAGAAATAAAAGGGCACGGGCACTGAAGTCGAGTAGTAAGGTTTATCTTAAAAGTTTAAATAGGGGCTATTAATCAGCAAGATTTACCGGGAAACAATCCATCGCCTTCTTCATTTTACATATGTTGTGACAACAATCAATTATAATATATACCAATACTAAGGGAACCATGTTTGCTCTGCATGTCAGAATTGTGCATGGTGCATCATTTATAAGACGACTTATATTCTGATTGCTAGCAACCATTACATGGTAGGCTTTTGATGCGCTAATCGGTATTGGTTTGACAAACAAATGGAGAGTTGGTATATATATATGGGCAAGATATTCAAACTAGTAAAGTGTCTTTTGATTTTCGACGACTTGCTGCTTTCCATGATTCCTCTATAGAGTCAGTCAGTCTACATTGCTTCTTTTCATTGTCAGCGGATGTAGTGTATTGCCGAAATGTTTACATTCAACAGATGGCAGTTATCATCCCGTTTGAGTCTAATATGCATGGAAGATACAAGATTTGCGAGTTGCATCTTGTCTTAGTATCCTTATTACCCGTTGTTTTCCGCTTGATTACTTCATGGCCTCTTATTAAACATACTTACTACCTTGAAGTGTTGAAAGTTCTTGATAAGTCTGACGCAATTTCACCCGCATCGATTTCTTTTGGAGCACATCTACAATCACAGCTATACAATGGCACCTCCATCTAGCATCGTTGAGTTATCTGCTCTCTTTCATACGGATACCCTCAAAGGTCGATAAGCACTGCACTTCATAACTCTAGTTTTTATATATGACCTTCCACCTGATATCGAGAGTGTAAGAAATGTCATTATCGATGCTTCTAAGGAACTGAAGACCTCGATGATTGGTCCTATCTTGTCTAAAATTCTCACTCTTGTAGGAACTGTTTCTTGACAGTTAATTACACATCATTATCGTGTTTGGGTTTTCTACAAAAGCGGCGGTATTGTATTATATATATCCTTGAAAGTTTTAATTGGGTATTTCTGGTTGGGAAGTTGGGGTTTTGATTTAAAATAGGAGGGGCGGATAGAAAGATAACAGGAGATTGCGTGCTGTCTTTCGAAATTTGAAAGAATCGTGCAAGGCCTACCGCATGTCATTTCCACAAAAAACCGGTTAAAGATGCATATATCTAGTCCTGGGTTGTGTCTCACACGAAGCGAGTACAACTTTCCACCATCTTTCCGCCAAATTCCCCCTTCTCTATCTTCTCCCTCTCTTTTTTACCAATACCCACGTATATTGATACGATAGCTCGGGTGTATTCAACCTTTGAATCGGTTCTGCCCCTTTTATTGGTAATCCTCATGGCACACAAGCACCAAGTTTATAGAATATCGTGGTCTGATAAATACGCTTTGAAAAATCTTCAGAATATCACCGCAGCCATGATATTGGCGCTTGTATCATCATATGGACACATGTCTCCATCCTCCGTGTACCCTCAGTCCTTAATACGAGAGAGAGAGAAGTACGATCTCCAGATAAAAAAGTTCCAAAAATGCAAGAGAAAGGGATGCTGATGACTGGGAAAAGCTTTTGTACATGTTAATCACCTTGGCGATTTAAGTTTGAAGGGAAGAAAACTCCAGAGGGCGGTTCTTTGAGTTTGTCTTTACTGTATGGAGGTGTTGGATGGTGAATGCTATCTCTCTCTATGGCTTGGGGCATGGAGAGATTCATTATGGGCCTGAGATTTTACACCCACCTAAAGATATGAGACGAGAATAGAGCAATAGGCTTCAGGTGAATACTCGAGTAGTTATTCTCACCTAATGGCCTCGGTCACTTGTTTCGGCTACGTCATTGCTCGAGCTATTTCATCACCTTTCACATACTTTGTTTCCATATTCGATCGGAATCTTATGAACAAACCGTGGACTACAAGTTATCAGCTATCTTAACTTCGACAGGAAAACCTTTGTTATAGATCGAGAGAACACAAAATCATTCATACAATCATAGTTTGATCTGATAAAAATGAAACGAAAGTTGCCAAAGCTCTGTAGCAGCCGCTCAATCGATGCCTCTTTTCAAGCAGGTCAAGACATCAGATTACCAGGCTTTTTGATGAGCCCCGAGGAGGTTGAAGCAGCCATTTGCATTCCAGCATGTAAGTGCAATCGGGGTTTTTTATTCTCCACTTCCCAATATCAAACTTCTGCATGGTGTTTCATCTTCACTTCTCAATGCAGCTTTTACTTCCTCGGCATACTCGAGAACTCTCTCTTGATAGGCTGTCACTGACTTGTCGATGCTGCAGGTACCTGCGTCGACTGCGAGCATGGTTTCTATACTGCCGAAGAGCAAATGCATCCTGGGTATTGGTATCGAGGTATACTATCCAGCGACGAAACCAAGCAAATCGCTGCATCGCACGTAAACAGCATACAGCAAGGTCGCAAATACTTAGTAGAAAGACTCGCTTCACATGGAGATATAATTATCAGCCGATGGAAAAAGAAAAGCCAAGACAAACGCCAGTCACTGCTACTTGAAGCCGTTCCAAATCTATGCGAAAAGCGATGGATCATCCCCCGACATACTTTCACTCCTGAAGGTAAAGAGATACCACCCATAAATGACAAGGGTGAGATGGAAGCCCGCTCGCCAGTAACGCGTCAGCATCTCCTCTTGCAATGGCTAAGTTTGGAGGTCCTCAAAACCAATCCCGCTGTTCTTTTCGCTCTGTTGCACAATCGGACAGCATACCCTCCTCAAGATTGGGCCGCATTCGACGCGCGACAGCTTAATCTCAGTTTCACTGCCGGATACTTTGACGTCGACTTTTCAGCTAAATGTATTGTGATGTACGGCTTAAGATACGGGGAGGTGGTGGACTGGAAGGCGGACCCGGCACATAGAGCAGATATTCTCGGGTTCCCAAAGGCACGTCTTGTTCTCGAAGCTCAAGCTTACCTAATGAGCTCACTACGCAAAATTGTCCACATCATACTTCAAGGCATTGATACGAATACATCACGTGCAGCTGAAAAATGGAAGTCCATGATATCAATGGGATTTAGACATAGTAATGTGGTGGAACTGTGGTCACCTTATACCAACCAGGCTTTCTCATCACCTCCACTATTCTCTATCAACAACCTGATCTCTTTAGCCCGAATCCGATTGGAAGCAGCAGCAGATCACCTGTGGCTTCTACAAACCGAATCAGCATACATGAAACGATTTATCGCGAACATATGTCATGGAGGGATCTACGAATTGATCAAAAATACCAGTGTTAGTTGGTGGATTGTAACTGAAATCATTGCAGCCATCGCATCTTGCTGGAGATGGAGCTGGATTAAAAATGAATGTGAACATGTCAAGAAAATACATGACCGCTTTCGAGACAATATTGCACAAGGCGAAAATCTCCCATCAAAGTATGATAAGGCGATGGGTGCACTAGAGTAAGAGATTCTCAACTTTCCCATCAATCGAAAACTTGAAGTAATCAACACTAACTTTTGACTATCCAGACTTTTGGTAGTGAATGAGGTTAACCGTCGTGCCACTCTTCTTGGCAAGGCAACTCCTTCGCGGCCTGGATTCTCCCACAATTATGTAACAACGAGAAAGACCCAAGATCATGGACCTAGCGCGCTCGTTATGTCTCGCAAAGGGGGGCTCGCTTCTGATGAGATATATTTGTTCGAAAATGACCCCTTGGACTATTGTCTAGTTCAACTAAAAGCAACCCCAGACTTGGAAAACTTCATACCTTTCGATCATGAAACTCTATTTTCCATCATGGAATATCACCTAGCTAACAGCAATTTCAAAGAGAAGTCTCGCGTAGATGAGGTCTTATCTAATATGGTGTCAGATTTGGCTGCCTGTCATGAAATGTTGGTATCTATCCGCTTGCATCGACCTCAATTTCAAGCCAGAGCCGTCGACGAAGTCACGCAATCCGAAAACCGGAAAGTATGGAAAGTCTTGAAAATGAAGAGCTTTTATACCGACAAGACAGTTTTTGCCTTAGGCGCCGCACTCTTTCGGGATTTCTATGAAGTCCCGGTCCCCACTAATCGGAAGGACATGGCTTGGGTGCATCATTCAAAAAGTCTCAGGAAGGCACTTGAGAGTTTCTGGGAGGGCATAAGAAAGGACAGTGCGATGCATTGGAAGACGAGTGGTTTCGATGAAGCCGAAATCATTGACGAGCTTGAGTATATCAGTGCCACCCGCACCCAAGAATATCTAAACGCAACTCGAGCCGAAGAGCAGCAGCTACTAGCCAAGATTGAAAGTAGACAGAAAGGTGAAAAAAGCAAGGCATTAACCACAGTTCCTACACAGACGATTTGGGGCTCAGAAGACCCAACATCAGAACTTGTCACACCACCAAAATCAAAAGAGAAGACGCGGCCCACTGTACAGGATTCCTCAACCAATCTTCCAAAAATCGAAAATCAGATCGCAAATACCAATACCGATATTACACCCACACAAACAAAACCCCACAAGAATAAAATCTCCGTCACAAAACGCGCCTACGAAATGCTGTGTCACATGTATCCCGACAGCGCCGCAGAAGGAGCCTCCCGCAAAAGTAAAAGCAAAAGTAAAAGCATGGAATGGGATACCTTTGTACACGCCATGTCCGACATGGGTTTCTCGGCAAGGAATAAAGGGGGTTCGGCGGTGGGGTTTGAGAGAGATTATGTGTGTGAGGGAGAGGTTATGGGTGGTTGTGGAAATGGAAGTGGAAATGGAAGTGGAAAGATTATCTTTCATAGACCGCATCCGGTGGCGAGGATTGATCCGCTGATGTTGGGGTTTATGGGGAGGAGATTGACGAGGAGGTTTGGGTGGGGGAGGGAGATTTTTGGGGTTGGGGATCGGGAGGGGGATGGGGTGGGGCAGGGTGAGGGTTGAGATGGGTAGGGATGGGTGAGAATAATGAAGTTTGAGCTTGAGGGTGCGGTGTTTGGATAAGATACACGGTATGTGGGTAAAGGTCATAGTAGGAGAATTTGCTATTTTACGACACTGAAAGGGATATCGGATTCGGATTACGGATAACTACTAATTTAATTATACTTATGTACTTAAGTACCCTTCAAAATACAATACATAAATGTGCCTCACGCATTAGCAAGCGTACAGATGAACACGAAATGTCCCCCTTGCTCTACCCAAATGAGAAAGAATATCACAGTCCCGTCTTTTAGGACTTACTCGAGTACTATCTTCACATTAAGCTATATATTGAGCATCTCTAGTAAACGCCTAGTGAGGGAGCTCCTTATGCTCATAGATAGATACACGTCAACTTTTCGAGTTGGGTCTCTTTCCAATACGACTTATCTCTGCATCTATGTATCCCCATCTCCCCTTTAGTGAAATCAATAACTTGAAAGTTGAAACCCCTCGATTATCAAATCTGTAATAATATAATCAAGCGATCCCTCCGTATCTCATCATCTCATCCATCCATCCATCCATCCATTCATTCATTCCCCCTTCCCTTCAAAATTACCCCCAATCTCGTCCTATCTGTTCCAACTAGAATCAGCGAGACCGTTTTTATTCGTAAAGATTCAAAATCTGGGAACTTAACTCTCGGTATATATATAGTATCTACTCAAGTAAATATGTTCTTCAAATATGATGATGATGATGATGATGATGATGATAATATTACTCGAGTAGTTATTTACAAATTGAGAAATTCATCTAAATCTCTCTGCGTTTCACTGGTACAGCTTCTACTAGTAAATTCTAACTTCTAACTTTCGATTTGCTATTCTTATTAATATATTTTCTTCTCTCCTATAATCTTTTTGTACTGTACAAGTACTGATTTATTGTATTGTATTGTATTGTATTGTATTGTATTATATTGTATTACTCGTACAGCATATTATACTAGTGTATACTATTTATCTATAAGTATAATCTAATCCTAATCCAATCCAATCTAATCCCAATTTAATACAACCACTTAAGATTATACCCTCCTCAATCACCCAATCGAATCGGATCCAATCCAATCCAATCCAATCACCTCCACCTCACTAATCGCTAGTTATATCCCAACCATTCCACGGATTCCTCTCGTGTCGTGGATTGTGTTGTTACATAGAGTGTTATATGAAATGTAATCTATAGAGAGTATTTCTCACCCCAAGTACTCAATAATGAGTAATTTATAGCGAATAATTTCTACACAGAATAAATAGTAAATAATGAGTCATCAAAGGAAAAAGACTGATCGAGTACATTTATCAATTGATGATTGCTGTGATTATTACGCTGTATTATGCCTATTTATCCATCCATACATCAACACTAGTAGCCGATCTACCATCATACATACATACATACATACATACATACATACATACATAAACCTATGCAACCTTTACGCTATGCATCTTGCACCTAGCATCTTACACCTTACACCTTGCATTCTCATTCTCATTCTCATATGTATTTACAAATTATCACTTACTTCCCCCTGCTCTCTCCCCAGCCTATCTCTAAATACGATCCATTATCCCACCCCATCCATCCATCCAATCCCATCCTATGTTTCCACTCATCCAACCCTTCCCCAACCCCCAACCACCCACCCACCTAATACTCATCATCACTCTCCTCATCCGGCAATAGCGCCCTGTACCTTCTATCCGCCAAATCCTCCTCCAAACCCCCCTCACTCTCACCATCCCTATATCCCTCTCCACCACACAAACTCAACGCCACCGGCAAGAAAACCAGTGCATGAGTCGCCGCAAAAACCACCAGCGCCAACCAAATTCTAAAGTAATAAATCTCAAAGATTTTACTCCTCGTAAACGCCAACACGCTCACCCCCACCAATTTCGTAATCGTGATGCCGCTAAATACCGAAGCGCCTACGTTGACTAATGCAGTCCAAGCACGTGCGTCGCGATTTTGGAACTTGTTTTTAGCGCGATCCATGACGGAGCGCGAGGGGAACATGAAGGCTCGGGCGATGTGGGCGCAGAATTCGACGCCGATTCCTATGCAGATGATGAGGTTGACGAGACTGACTGCGTTTAGGGAAACGTTGAAGACGGCCATTGTGCCGATGATATCGGTGACGATCATGATGACTGTGACGGTTACAACTGCGCCGGTCTTGAGGGATCCGAGAAGAATGGAGGAGATGAATAGAATGAGGATGAGAGCGGAACAGAGGAGAGTGACGGTAAGACTTATGATGGAGGTGTATTGGTCGAAGAAAATGTAGTATACACTGTAGGGGAATACTTCGAGACCAGACTTCTCACTCATGCCATCTGCGATTCGGCGTGCGGAGGCATAGGCGGCGATGAAATCTTCTTGGCTGTGAAGTGGGGTGTGACTGGTGCGGAAGTGACTGGCGGGAATGGTATTTCTTTCAGCATCAATGACGAGAGCATTTCCATACGCAGCTTGACCACCAAGAGGGCAGTCATCGTCCGTTGGAGAGGCAATCCATTTCTCTAGATAATGTATGAATTCTTGCCCCTCAGGCATACCGTGTAGTGTGATATTCCATGCTGGGTCACGATTTTCAAAGCAAGCCGAGCCACCTTCAACACAGCAAGAATCCAATGATGGGTCAAGCCAACGGAAATAATCGTCAATCCAGCTAGCAGGAGTAGCGGCCAGATAAGAGACCTCAGGTCTCTTTCTTTCCGACTCCAAAATATTGGTGAGAGATTCTGTTTCGCATGTTGTAAATCGAGAACATAGCTGTTGTTGATGCTTACGTTCGGTGATATTCAACTCCCGAGTGACGAAATACACTGGTGGTCCCGAGTCAAAGTAGTCGTATAAGTCGTTGAAGTATGGGATGAGATATGAGCCATCTGGAATTGCCACACGTTGATCCAAACCCAAAGCAACTTCGGGAATCAATGCAATCGCAGCAGCAAATATTCCAAGGAAGACAACTACAATGGCAGTCTTTACTTTACGGCCAAGTAAAGCTGGAGCATACGTTTTGCGAATGAACTTCTGAAGGAAACCTTCATCAGACCCTTCATAGAATCTGGAGTGAGAACTTCCGTTCCCATTTCCAAGATGAACTCCTGCAGTTTTGATTTTAACGCAAGGAATGCAATCTACACGACGATCCTCAACACGTCGTTGGTTGAGACTGAGAATGGAGACGAACATGGTGATCTGCAAAACAGCATTGATGAATACTGCACCAGCGGCATATATTGCGAAGTTTCGAACTGCTGGCATGCCAACGAAAGCACCAAGTGAAAATGCAATAGTCTCAGTTGATGCTGACAGCAAAATTGATGGACCCATTCGTCCGAGTGCTTTGGCAATACGGATCTCGACCATTTCGTCGGGATGGCTAGTGTTGATTCTTTCAAATTCGTGCACAATCAGGAAGATGTTATCAACACCAACGGCAAGAACTATGAAAGGGATGACCTCAGCGATGATGAGCGTAACCTTAATACCTGCAAAGGAGAATAGACCAATTGAAGCCGAGATAGACATCAGTACAATAAGGATTCCCACAACTCCTAGCGAGAATTTAGATTGAACTAGACAGCTAGCTGGGTTGCGTATCAATGTTTGGAACGAGATGGTGGTTGAGCCGAGGGCTAAAGATGCATATAAGAACATGATAATGTAACTGATCACGACAATCTTTGCATCGGTATTGGTAGATTTGTTGAGTTCTTGCTCGAGACTTATCTCGGTCGAAAATGAAAGTCTCAGGCCACGCTCACTTGCTTCCTTTTGCAAACGTAACAATTTATCTCGAAGGGAAGCTTCCCAGTCCATAGCATGTTCGACTTGAGTTGATCCCTCATCATCATTATTCACTACCCATGTGATAATCAAGGCTGTAGCATCAATGACATCGCCGGATTCTTGCCAACCACCAAAGATCATCTTAGGATCAAGTGGTTGACCAAAAGCAGGACGACAGTTCACAGGTGATTCGGCACATGAGCGAATAGTCTGCTCCCATGTATCAGGACTTACACTGGAGATATCATCGTTCAAGTAACCTCCTACGGATTGTACGACACAAGCATCGCCAGTGGGCTTCAAACATATATCGTCGAATGTAGTACCGGTTTGCGTTCCGGTCAACCCTCTGATTTGATCTTCAGCTTCAAGCCACCATTTCAACGTATCATAGCTCATAACAGGACCGGGACCTGATGGGTTTGTATCGTTGACCAAGAATACTTGCTCGGCACGATAAAAGGGACCAAAGTTCGAATCAAAATAAGCTTTCTCTTGTGCAGCAGAAGACGATGAGCTGACCCATAGCCGTGCTGGATTCTGTTCAATCTCAAATTTGGTCCAGCCCAAACTCAAGAATCCCACTACCACAATGCTTGTTACAATAGTGATAGCTGGGAATCTCGCAGCTGTGTATCCAAGACGGTTGAAAGCCCTGTCACATACTGTATTGATCCAGTAACTCCTTTGAGGTCGATCATACATGACTCCACTATCGAGCATATCCTCTTCATCATCGTCATCGCTTGTAGCGACATCTTCCAGAAGTCGTAATCTTTCATTACGCCTTTTGGTATGTTTGGCCCAAGCGATGTGACCGAAGATAGCCACAGCAATCAACAGTAATACCATACTGTAGGTAAAGATAGCCGCGAAAGAAAGGCACGGCAGTAGTCCAACGTGACATGAGCCAGACTTTGAAACTTCCGGCAAAGCTGGACAGACTGCAGGACAATCCACACAAGAACAGCGGAAGTTCTCGTCCTCATCATTACACTTCTTCGGGACCATAGGTAATGGGTCCATTCCTTTCTCCGGATATTCGCTAGGCTTCGGGAAGTTGATCTGGAATGGCGAACCTAGCAACGATTTATGTCCCAGGAAAGCTAAGAACGAAGAGTAATTCTTGGCTCCTCCTCCTATGAAACCCATCGCATTTGAATTCGTCGGTCCAAATTTGACATCCTTACAGCTATCAAAAAAACCCGCCCCATATTCATCAGATATGAGTTGATCTAACTCCGTAACGATGGATTTATCGCCCTTCTGCTTTGTCTCGGTTACATTCAAGAATAAGGATTGATCTGGCGAGCATGTAAAAGTACAGAAGAGGTTATAGAAGTTCTCTTTGCATGCCGGACATGAGGATATAATCGGATTCGCCTTCTTGATCTGATCGGCGAGAGCATCTATCTGCGAAGCTATTAGCAAGGCATCTCCCTACTTCTAAGACTCCCTCGTACCTGATTAACCTCACAACACACAGGCCCTGTACTCCATTTAGGACCGCATAGCTCGACTAGTTGTTTCCTCGCATCATGATCCGGTTCCTTCGCAAGCCCGTTATCCGGACAAGGAAGCTCGGGCCCAAAGAAGCTATCCTTCCCACAGCTACCCCTTATCGAACATCTTCCAGCTTCATGCTTCGGAGTATATGCTTCGCCTGCTACGAGAGCCGCAGTGAAGAGTCCGAGTCCTAGAGTGAAGGAATGCCGCATCGCTGCGTTTGTCTACATGCGCCGCCCAGTGTCACAATCTTCGAAGACGGAGTAGGATACAACGATCAAGCGTTGCGATTCAAAGAGAAGTAGAGTCTTTAAAGTAAAATCAGTTCATATAAAAATCAAAATCAATGAAAAACTCATCGACTCCGTGAATGATAATTAATGTATTGTTATAAAATGTTGGATTAATATTTGCAGGTGATGGGTTGTCTGGATATCGATGTTTGGGTCGACCAGCCACCAGCCAATGCTGTCATAGTTCCATGTGGCGCAGAGCTTCCGCCCCATTCGCTTGGAGTGTCCTTGTTTCAGAATGCCAACAAGATCACCAGGTATTCGTCAACAACTCTCATTTGAAACTTACTCTGAGTATACTTGACCATATTGACTCTTTTACATGTACTTTATTTGAAGATTAACTCATTTCTCACATTGAATTCACGACAATGGCTTCTGAGCCAAGTGCAAAAGTGAACCTACTGTTTCAAGGGAGTGAGTGCTAAGAGGAAGACTTTCGTAACGCTGGCAATAGAGGTCTATAAACTCTTTCTATATTTCCCTTATGGATATTATGCTGTTGGTGGTGGTATGAAAAGCGAGCCATCTACTGTAATACTCGCAAAGAGACCTATCCCAAAAACACCTCTAAACGCCGGCTGAAATGCTCAAAGTCCTACCTTATCCCAAATTGATATCCAAAACGAAACTTTGACATGCATAAAATGGGAGTTTGCCAGTATTCCTGGAAAGTTCCCAATGGGATGGGAGCCAGATTATATCAATCTGGCCAAAAGAACGACTTCCCAGTTTTAACTGATTCGTATAATCATAACTCGTTCTTGTTGCTGTAGGTCCTGTGTAACCATAAATTCCCTCCTTAATTCTTGAGCTTTGCATCTCCCACTGCAGGTGATGCCCGACCTGACCCTTCAGCTGCCTTGGATTTGCTTGCACTAATGGATGATGCACCATCTTCCTCATAGAGATGGTGCTCCTCGATATACTCGATAACTGGAGCCGGTAACAAATATTGCACGCTCATCTCTTTCCTTAAGAAAAGTCGAATCTTTGTGCTACTAATATCGTTTGTTACCAGCTGTTGAATGACGTAAATGTTGCGCTTGTATTGTTCAAGACTTGCAAGTGCATCCTCAATATCTGTCCCAGTACGTTCCACAATGAAAGTACCATATTGTCCCAAGATATGTTGGAGATCCGCCTCACTCCAAACTCCGGGAATACTCATTGTTTCGATAAGATCAGCTCCTGCTAAGAGAGCAATGCGAACAGGCACTCGGGATCCATCTGGTCGTATAGCACCGCCCATGACTTTGTTTATTTCATGCTCGACATGATCAAGGACAAGGGCAGTCGGGGTATATTCGGTTTGTAGAGCTTCCCACGGATCCACCATAAGCCAATTTGAGGATTGTACAGCCAACTCGCACATATTAAGCCTGCGAATATTAGCTGATATTGTATTGGCACTGAGGGTATGAGACTTACCGGTGTTCCGAACTGGCTAATCCAGCTTTCTTGTAGAAGTTCGACACAGGTGAGAAATACCCACTCAGAAGTTCAAATTCCGTGTTGAACTTGCAATAATCGGCTGCCATCTCCATCATTCGCAAGTGAAGATAGGTTATGGGTGAAAAACTACCACAGGCTACCAACACTAAGGGAGTCTTTTCAGGATCATTTTGAGTGAGTCTTAGGCGGTCGGTTGGGAAGGTATAGCTGTCGAGAGTTTGCGCAGGAATAGCCCGTGGGGGAGAATTGGTAGTCATCTTCAGTTCGTGAATCCGAGGTGGTATTTGGTTGTTTAGAGTAAAAGTGGAAAAGGCTCTCGAGATTTTGGGTAGATTACAAAGGCTGGATGACGAATTTCGGAATTGCAAGGATTTGTTGGGCGAGATTGCGATCGAGTTGGAAGATATTTTTAGAGCTCGCTCTTTGCAAAGAACGACAAAGAAGGGGTACGCCGTAGTCTCTGATCTTGATGATAATATTGAGTGTATTAACAATGAAAATCGTGAAGGTCAAAATAGATTTGTAGAATAAATCAAAAGAGGGGTTTGATGTCGGCGAGTTTATCAATCAATAAATAAATAACTAGCTAGTCGGTAAGGAGGGAGGGAGTCAGAGAAGAGAGATAGTGGGATATGGATGCGCAAAGCCCCGCCACGCTTTGATTGTCCGGAACTTAGAACATAACCAGCTTAATGCAGGCTAGACGATTGAGCCGAGAACTTTATATTATATATTGGTTCAGGATTTCAATGTACGAGTAGAGTCATGTTTCTACTCGAGTACTCATATATTGATATCTACCATCTTACTCTATAAAGGTAAAATGTGTACCTTGAGAAAAGAATTGATTACAGCACGAGATATATGGCACTACAGTACCGGTATATTGATCTATTAACCTCTTACTGCGCCAATGCTGCTGCTACTGACTCTGTCCAAACCTTCAGGCACAATGCACTCGCCTCCAATCATAGATGTTCAAGTCTAACTGGAATGGTTTCAAAATGTTCAACCCCTACCTATTTGGTACATAAGGATTGGGATAAGGTTCTAAAATAGATAGCTAACAATGGATATCATTACCTGGCTCAGTTAATTCACGCGGTGATTTCCATAGGACTGAATCGTCAATAGTGAGAATACCTCGGCGTGAGGTCGACGTTGAACATTCTAAACATGAGTCAAGTTAAAAGGATATACATACAGTACTCGTCTGCAGCAGCTGTCGCTGTATCTGGTATTGAGCCATCACCAACGGTTGCTCAGGAACTCCTTTGCATCAACTTCTGCAGTCTCCCGCAAGGTATTTTCCTCTTTTCTCATCTGCCTATCAGAAATGATCCTAGATTCCCCACCTCTATCGGTTTATCCACTTCAATTCGTGCTACCTGCCCCGGAAAAGCCGAATTCCCATGATATATCCATCTCATCCGGGATTGCTTGAGCTCAAGATACTACCCGTAATTTGTAGTGCCGAGATGGAAGTGTAACTCTTATGCGTGTGGGTTGCTTGAACGATATCATTCGTTGAGGAAGAAGGTACAGGCCCTGTCTTTATCTTTCTAGAGTCAAAGGATTGAATCTTAGACTGGTAAAATATCGCTACTGTACTCAGTACAAAGCTCTCTTTCCATGATTATCTGGAGAGTAAACATACTGTCCTACAACGACTATATTTTGGCTTTTGAGTATAGTAATGGGGCATTTCCTCGGCATGCGGGCAAGCATACCAAGAATCAAAAAGAAGCATTGGGGTCTGTAATCTCGATCAGTAATATTCTTGGATGATGTCAATTGGTTAATGTATTCGTGATAGAAGGTATGTATTTGTAAGTAAACTTTGGTACAGATGAGTTGTCCGTCCATCAGGCTTTTCGGGTTTGGAAAGGTGCATTCATATAACCTATAATGAAGCTATACGTAGGTAGCTATACGTAGCTATACGTAGCTACCTATGCCAGATATGTGAAGTTCGATGTGATATTGGTTGGTCTGTCTTATAATAAGCATTTTGTTCGGTATATCTCAATAAAGAATAACATAGAACACCCACCTATACAGAGACTGTAAAGATCGATTAGGTAACTCGCATATGATGTTATGGATTATCTATCTGAATTTCGACAACAGCTCTCTTTTGATTTCAAGAAGTTCCCTCATCTCTCCACTCTCTTCATGTATCTTCATCGTTAGATATAACTTCAATGAGGGCAGGCCCCCAAACCCCCGTAGCTCGCTGCGCTCGAGAAAGCATGCATAGATCAATCAATCCATTTTTTCCTACCATAAATACGCATTCTTCAATATGTATACTTTGACTCTAAATGGATGAAGAAACATAGAATGGAATAGTATAGTACTATCCAAGTATATCTTTAAGATACTACCTAGGTAGGTAGGTTCTCGAACATAATGGAACATAATTTCCATCTGCTATTTGATACTGGCTTTCCTCAATATACAACAGTATGATTGGATGTACCTAAATACCTTCAAAACAGATAGGTTTCTCCAACCTAACTCACAACCGATATTATGGACCAGTTCTTTTCCAACATATATCAGTTTGATCGACAGTGCAGTGATATGTGATGGTAAACCCGACTCCCAAATGATGTCAGAGATGAGCTTCTGTTTGGCCTAGAATCCCTTAATTCTATTTGTTCTTGTGTGAATTATTAGAAATTTGAATGATCAAAAATGTGCATCCATCTAGATTTGAATGAATTGCCTTGCCTTATATTCAATATCCTCCTCTTATCAAAAAGTCACACTTTTGTTTCAACTACTCATACAAATAAATTACCGACAACTGGCGTTGATGAACCGTATCCCATACCGTAGCCCAATAACTCCCCACCAAAGTCTCGGGCTCCAAAACTAACACCACAGCTACAAGCAATACTACCATACTACCAAACTGAAAGGGAAAAAAGAGGAAACTCAACCACCAAGTTCAACCCACAACCACCTTCAAACACTTCACCAAGAAAACAAGTAAATTCTATTACAACTTACAACCCAATATCAAAAGGAAATATTCTCAAAGAAATTACTAGCCATCTCATATATTAATATCACAAACGAACTGATGGATTAATGGCAAAGGGTACGAGTCATATTGAAAGGCCACAAGAGTCGACATCATTTAACGATAACGGCCCAGAAATATCAAGACCACTCTCCACTGCGACTTCCATTTCTTCATCTTCTTCATTTGCTCCCAGGTACACAACCACCTTCACCCTGTTATCTACCTTACCTGCATTTTTCATCATCAACAATACCTTCTTAATCTTTAAATCCTTTTCAACTGCTCGCGACTGCCAATCATCAGTTGTGGATGGTTGAAGGGATTAAGAAGGTAATCTACAAGAGCCAATACTCATGTCTTCCAGAATCACACGATCATCCGCCCGGCAAGCAGCCACATCTTCAGAATCACCGGCCGCTTCCTCTGCGACTGCAGTACCTGCAGCTGCTCCACCACCAAGTCGCTCTTCAGCCTCCTCCCGAAAGCGTAAAGCTACTGTGCGGGAATCAAGTCCCGCTCTGGAACCTGAATCCACAAAGGCAGCAACTCCATCAAAGCGTCCAAAGCGCCAGAAGGTCTCAGAATCCGAGGCTCCCACACCTGCTCCTGCTTCAGCAGCATCTTCTCGTCGAAAGAACGCAAAAGCTCCTGCGGTTATGTCTAGTCACAGGAAAGTCAAGATCGATTCGGAACATGGTCCAGTGTCTAACAATATATACAGTGATTCTGCGGGTCCCTCCAACGAACCATCAAATGCGACTGCCAGTTCATCCAGGCGCAAGTCTAACAGAAATAATAAGAAAGGTGGTCAAGGTCTGTTGAAATCTATTTAAGACGATCTAGTGGAAAGTAGTAGCTAATATTCTGTCAAGCAGATGCCTCAACCAGCACTCCTAACGTGAGTAAGAAGTCGAAGAAATCCGCCGCTGCCGATAAGGATGGAGATACTGCAATGAATGATGCAGATGAGAAGCCACCACCACATCCACTCGATGACGATGAAGTTAGTGATGAGATCGATGATGACGAGATTCCCCGAGATTACGACGGAGGTGATGATGAAGATGACGATCCATTTGGTGGCTTTGGTGGACCTGGCGGACCGCCTCATGGGTTATCGAGCACTCTCCGAGCTTTGAGCGGCATGATGTCTGGTGTTTCCCCTCGATTGCGCGATATTTTATCACAGTTGAAGCAAAAAGATGACCCTTCCATACAATTGATAGCTTTACAAGAACTTTCCGAGCTACTACTGGTGTCTACAGAAGACAATCTCTCTGGTCACTTCTCTCCGGATGCCTTCGTCAAAGAATTGGTCATTTTGATGCAACCTTCTGATTTTGGTTTTGGAATGGGAAATCCTGAGATGATGCTCCTTGCCTGCCGATGCATTGCTAATTTGATGGAAGCTTTACCTGCCAGCACTGCAAACGTTGTCTACGGTGGTGCTGTTCCAGTTCTATGCCAAAGGATTCTAGAGTTCGATTTTATCGACTTAGCAGAACAAGCTTTAAGCGTAAGTGCTTCGCCTGAGGGTCTCACTTCACTTCAAATACTTACTTGAGTTTAGACGTTAGAAAAGATATCTGTCGAATATCCAGCATCAATTGTTCGTGAGGGAGGATTGACAGGTTGCCTGTTGAATCTTGACTTCCACGATACAAACGCCCAAAGAACTGCCGTCACCACTGCAGCAAACTGCTGCAGAAATATTCCCGAGGATTCATTCGATGTAGTCAAAGATGTTATGCCCAATTTACTAAACGTTTTCAGCTCCAACGATCAGAAGGTCGTTGAGCAAGGTTCACTTTGTGTAACTCGAATTGTAGAGAGCTTCAGATACCATTCAAATAAGCTCGAGGAACTCGTCAGCACCGATTTACTTCGTGCCATTCTTCGTCTCTTACTTCCTGGATCTACTAATCTAATTGGTGCTAATATACACACACAATTCCTTCGTGTCCTGGCTTTTACGGCAAAGGCCAGTCCTAGTTTGTCCGCCGAACTTTTCAAGATGAACGTTGTTGAAACATTGTATCAAATATTGACTGGTGTCTCTCCGCCTAGCGCCACAGAGGACGTAGCTTCAAAGCTCGACAGCGTTGTGATCATGCAAGCCTTGATTCACAGACCTCGAGAGCAAGTTATCGAGACCTTGAACGTTATATGCGAGCTTTTACCCGGAGTACCACGCGGTGGCAATTCGATGTTTGATGACGATAATGATATCGAACCGCCATCAGGATCGTCCAATACATTATCTGGTTCGAGAAAGAAGTCCGCGAATGAGATTCGTGTCGAACTCTTGGAGGGCTGTAAAGAAGAAGTCAAGAGATTTGCAATCATTCTCTTTCCAACCTTAACAGATGCTTTCTCTAGCACTGTTAATTTACACGTCCGTCAAAAGGTTCTTAACGCTCAGCTCAGAATGCTCTCCAATCTTGACAAAGACATCTTGATGGACGCTCTGAGATCAGTGCCTTATGCATCGTTTTTAGCTGCAATTCTTTCACAGCAAGATCACCCTAGCTTAGTCATCTCCGCACTTCAAGCTACCGAACTTCTTCTCGTCCGCCTGGAAGACGTATATCGTTACCAGTTTTATCGGGAAGGAGTGATTGCTGAGATTACTAAACTAGCCACTATTGATGAAACGAAGACCGAGAATAAACCCCCGTCTACAGAAACAAATGAGTCTAACCCCGCCTCCGCACAAGCTGATGCAGATCGCAAAATCTCCGAAAGGGCAGGTCAGAATGGAGGGGCAGGTCAGAATGGAGAGGCAGGTAACGAAGACCACAACTCTTCTGACGAAGATAATGAAGACAATCAGAATAACGAAGACGAGAATGCAAACGAACTCGGACACAACGATGATATCCCAGAGGATGCAACAGCTTCTCCGGTCAGCTCTCGTGGCTCTACAATGTCATTGGATGGCCCTCACCGACATGCACCGTCAGATCTGAACAGTATGATGAACATCATTACCGTCCGTGCCCAGAAGTTCCTCGACGTTCATGAGACCGAAAAGAACAGCAAGTCCATGAAGAAGAAGGCGACCAAAATCCTATCGAGTCTACAATCTCTGGCTTCGGATATCAAAAACTTCTATTTGCGACAAGGCCCGGGTAACGGAGTTGAGCTTTTTATAACACTTGCATCCTATTTCGATGGCGATGTCTTGCAAAGTGTTACAAGTGCCGAGTTGTTAAATTCTGAAATAGTCCAAGCTTTACTCGAAGTCTTCAATAATCCCGATGAACAGCTGGCCAATGATGCTAGATCTGCTTTCCTAGAAGTCTTCATGGGTCACACTCTTGCTAAAAAGTCAAATTCTGGAGCAGACTTGCCTGCAACCCCATTTGGCCTTCTCATCCATAAATTACAGGATTTATTGAGCCGATCGGAGCATTTTGAAGTAGTCACTGTCCATTCAAACAGCTTTGAAGGTAACAGGAGTAGTGCCGCATCAATGCTTGCCAAACAAATTCGCCTTAAGCTAGTAGCTGATGAGGATTCCGATATTCCAAGATCTTATCGAAACATTATGGTATCTATCCATGCTATTGCTACTTTCAAGGCTTTGGATGATTACCTTCGTCCCAGAATTAGCTTGTCTGATCGTCCTCGACCACCCAGAGCCAGAGATGGACTCTCTGGCGCATTAGCAGCTCTTGCCGCAGCTGGCTTGCCTAACCCGTATGCTGGTATCCCTAACGCCCAAGCACGTCTTGCTGCAGCTGCAGCCGCAGCCAATCCAAATGCATCTACTCCTCGCACCTCTCGAAGAGCAAAATCAAAGTCTGGTCCCGCTCCAACACCTGCATCAGCCGACCAATCGACATCGAACACTCCAGTAGAGAAACCCTCTCGGCGTTCGACTCGACGTCAGCAAGCTCAGACCGATCCACCACCGCCACCACCACCCATGCAAGAAGAGGATGCACTTGCTACTGCGCTCGAATGTGCTGATGAGAGACAGATGAGTGAGGATGACGATCTGGAAGATAGCGCTGCGTTAGACACTATAGTCGGCGACTTAGAAGAAGATATGGAAGAGGAATCCCCCGTCGATCCTACGGCTGTGAATCTTGAGGTAGCCGCAGGTGGAAAAGTTACAGCCCGTAAGGAGGATGGCACAAGAGTCGCAACCCCATCGCAATCTGTGCCAAGCACTTCCCGCAGTAGCTCTGCACTTCAGACAGCCGCCGCTCAAGCGGCTTTGTCCACACCAACTACATCGTCAAGACCTATGTCTTATGCAGCCGCAATTCAATCTGTTCCGTCAGATTGGCACATCGAATTTAGCTTGGATGACAAAGTCATTGCTAATGATACCACAATCTACCGCGCAGTTCATACTATGGCCAATCCAGTGGAAGATCCTTCAAATCGAAGCATTTGGTCTGCTATCCACCCCATCAAATTCAAGCGTGTTGCGGGACCACCACCTCCAGAGCCAAGCTCTCTCTCTCGGGCAGCTGAAATCAGCACAGAAACCACTGTATCTGGAATTCCTGCATCTCTAGATAAACATCCTGCAACATCTTCAATCCTTCGATTGCTCAACATCTTACACGCGCTCAATGCAAACCTAGATGATGTTGTGGCTGATAATATCGATGCCTTGAAATTGAATGCCGAGCCCTTGTCGCAATTCGTGAACACCAAGCTCACTGCAAAGTTGAATAGACAACTTGAAGAACCTCTCGTTGTTGCTAGCAATTGTCTTCCAACTTGGAGCGAGGATCTTGCTCGACTTTACCCGTTTTTGTTCCCTTTCGAGACCCGGCACCTATTCCTACAATCGACATCTTTTGGCTATGCCCGATCAATGACTAGATGGCAGAATGCTCAATCTGCTGATGAGTCCCGCCGAGATCGTCATCGTGATGAGCGTCCTTTCCTCGGTAGGCTCCAACGCCAGAAGGTCCGGATATCCAGATCAAAGATTTTGGAGTCGGCCTTGAAAGTTATGGAGCTTTATGGTGCATCTCAAAGTATCCTAGAGGTCGAGTACTTCGAGGAGGTTGGAACTGGCCTCGGACCAACTCTTGAGTTCTATTCCACCGTTTCGAAAGAATTCTCCAAGAAGAAACTCAAGCTCTGGCGCGAGACTGATGCCAATGATATCGACGAGTATGCATTCGGTGCTCGTGGCCTTTTTCCAGCACCAATGAGCGAAGAGCAATCATTGAATGAGAACGGAAAGAGAATCTTACATCTATTTAAAATGCTCGGCAAGTTTGTTTCTAGGTCCATGATCGATTCTCGTATTATTGACGTCTCCTTCAATCCAACCTTTTTCCGAATCGGTGATGAGTCAACCCCTGTAACACCTTCTCTTGGCGCGGTCAAGACCGTCGATCCTCAATTGGCCAAATCCCTCAAGATGATAAAGAAGTTTTCTGTTGCGAAGAAGGCTATTGCCGAGGACTCGACTTTGACAGCTACACAGAAAGTCCTTGCAACAGAAGCATTGGAAATTGATGGAGCTAAAATTGAAGATCTCAGTCTTGATTTTACCCTTCCCGGATACGCCATCGATCTTCTTCCTAATGGCTCTCATATCTCTGTCACTGTTGAAAATGTCGATCTCTATCTTGAGAAGGTTATTGATATGACCTTGGGAAGTGGCGTTCAACGACAAGTCGATGCCTTCCGTGCTGGTTTCACTCAAGTATTCCCGTACTCTGCTTTAAGGACCTTTACCCCCGATGAGTTGGTCATGTTATTTGGCAGAATTGAAGAAGATTGGTCTCTTGAGAGTATGTCCTTGAATTCCTCAACCTGCAGTATGCGATGCTAACATTCTTACAGCTTTGACGGATTCTATTAAAGCAGATCACGGATTTCATATGGACAGCAAGAGTGTGAAGAACTTACTTCAAACAATGAGTGAGCTTGGTCTGCCAGATCGTCGGGATTTCCTTCAGTTCACAACTGGAAGTCCAAAACTTCCTATTGGTGGTAAGTCAAAACCCTGCATCAATTCTATTGATTAATAGCTAAACATCCTCAGGCTTCAAGAGTCTTACACCAATGTTCACTGTGGTCTGCAAACCCAGTGAGCCACCCTACTCTTCTGACGACTATCTACCAAGTGTCATGACATGTGTCAACTACCTTAAATTGCCTGATTACACTGATCTAGATGTCATGCGACGACGTATGAATACTGCCATCAAGGAAGGACAGGGAGCTTTCCATTTGTCTTAAGGGGCATGTTAATATCGAAAATTTGAGCTGAGTGGCGTGAATTAGGACAGGTCAAATTGGGGATTGATATTTTCGGGTATTTCTCATTGGAGGATGAATAAAAATGGGGGCTGGTTTGCTTTTGAGCCAAAACACGATGTATTCACGAGCTATTTTCCCGCACTCTCTTTCTTTTCACCAGACAAACTCTTCTTCAAACCTTCTATCTATGTAATGGAAGATGGAGAGGGAGTCAAATTGCATGGATGGGTCGTTTGGGCGCATAATTTGTGAACTGAACCCAAGGGAGGGAACGGGACGCAAATATGACTGGACTGGACTGGACTGGTGGACTGAACGGTCTTTTAGCTTTCACTACTTACTTCAACTGCTACTTTACACTCCCAATTAGATACTAGGTAGAATAATTGATTCCTTGATTTAATGAAATAAGTTTTGTGATGTTTGTGGTGGTGGTGTTTGGGGATGTGAGGGGGCGGGGGGGATGTAATAAGATTTTGTGATTTGAGGGATTGGTTGTGAGGTTTGGGTTGTGAGGTTTAAGTTATGGGTTACTGGATGGAAGTTGAGAGTGGCAGTGAGGGGTAGTAAGTGGTGAGGAATAGTGAGTAGTAGTGTAGTGAGAGGTAGTGAGTAAGTGAGTGCACTGTATAGATAATCGACCGAGTATATTTAATGAGATGAATGTGAAGAGATTCTTCTGTAATAGTAATAGTAATTGTAATAGTAATATCGTTGATTATAAATGGAATCTACTCTATCGTATCGATACTACTCGAGTATATAGGTGGCTTGTATATACCGCGCAACGCAGAAGGGAGGAGAGGAGGAGCGGGGAATCAGTTGTGCTCTGCTCTGCTCTGTGTTTTGCTCATTGTGTGATTGTGTGATTGTGTGTGATTGTGTGTGAGTGTGAGTGTGTGTGAGTGTGTATATTAGGATTATAAGCGTGACTGTGATCGTGACTTTGAATGTGACTGTGACTGTGACTGTCACTGTGACTATGACTATGATCTTTGTTTGTGGACCTTTGTTTGTGTATTGAGGGGGAGGGGGAGGAGAAGAGGAAAGAAAAGGGAGAAGAGGGAGAAGAGGAGGAGGAAGGAGGAGGAGAGGAGGAGGAGAGAAGGGTGAGAGAAAAGAGGAAGAGAAGGAGGGGAACAAGGAGGAGGAGGAGAAGAGAAGAGGGAAGAGTTGGGATAATATAGGATAAGAATAAGTTTAGTATAATAAATAGTCAATAAGTAATCAAGTAATCTAGTGCATTGATTAAACTATAGTAATATCTCGGTAGTTTAGTACAATGTATTCAAATTATTAGTTGGATTACATTTTTTCAAACTACTTATCGGTATTTAATTAAACTAATTCAACTAATTCAATTAATCAAATTGATTACTGAACTTGAACTTGCAATTCAGTTTGTTGAATTTAATTATTGATCATTTTCGTATATTATATTGTAATTATAATATTTAAATGGAACTACTAATTAAATTAAACCAAAGTCTCTCAAATAGTCAAATTGGCAACTGCACTGCTAGTTTGCTGACTGAGCTAAATCATCTAAATTAGTAGCTATTTTGAGTAATAACTTATATTTTACACGTAACCTAGCCCTAATTTACATAAAGTGCCCAACTTGAACCCTAATCTCAGATTCTCAGATGAGATTGAAGTTGAATTTTACTAAGACTAATCTTATCAAATCAGAGAACTGATACTGTCGATTTCATTTAATTTCAATCCAGGGAATCTACTCAGATTACTGTATAGGATCGATTCTCTAGTAGATATACTTTGTATATAACTCTGAATATCAGATACGGTACTGGAAATTGTTATATTAATTAGGGCTTATTATTAGCGTCATTCTGAGTTTTCCTCGCAACTTGAACGCTACGTCGTTTGTCATTTTTCGAGAGACGAGTAGACTATGATTCTATGAATGGCTTACTAGTAGCGTATCTAAGATTAAATCTAAAAACGACTTAGTAAATAGTTTAGATCATAGAATCTTGAGAGTGATTTATACGTTTTTAGAAATGAATACTCTAATGTCTTCTTCCTTATAATTAAGTAGTAATCTTATAAAAACTTTTAAATTTATTAATAAAAGAAAAGTTATAGAATTCATTATATATATTAGTAATTGATTTGATAGATAACCTGGGCTACTTATTAATAGAATAGATTATTTGAAAATCCGAATAGATCATTCACTAATATGCTAATCTATATTGTAGTCTATAATAATTCTTACTATTTATTATATTATAAAACAGATTGTTTTAAAATATCAATAAATAATCTACAGATAGATAATAACTCTAAAAGATAACCTGTAGAGCGGATTATCTATAGATATCTATAGGTTATAGATTATTTCTGCGCAGTCTATTAATAATATTAAGTGAATAAAACGAGTAAATGACTTACTCTTGTGACTTATTTCGCTTATTCTACTCATATAGTAAGACTTTCAACCTTAAGAATTCTTAATCTTCAAAAATATATCTTGATCCTTCAGGTCATACCCTCACTCTTCCATCTTTGCAAACGTCTTAAGCTACCGCCGCCATGTCCTACGCAACGGATGAATGGTCCATAAACACATGGGAAGAACTTCTTGTCCCCGAATACGAAAGTCTTGGCGGCTCTATCGATGATCTAGATGCTCACTACGTGGCGGAACCCATAATTACGACTAAGTCAAGGAAGTCCATCAAGCCGTCGAGTCAAAGCAACAGCTTTCTGTTCAAGAAATTACCGCTCGAGGTAATCACCAGGATTCTTAAGTTCGCCTGCATTAGTCATGAGGCTCTACAGATTTGCGCACTTCGTCTTGAGCCTGGAAGCCAACGGGGCAACCCAAGTACAGATATTAGGATTTGTGACTTACCCACCGCCGCACCAGTTTTAGGAAGCATCGCGATCCAGACATACACAGCCTTGACTACAACCTGTACTATCTTTTACGATCTCATCACCACCTCGGATCTTCTTTTCAAACACAACACCTTTGCCTTTTGTTCTTTTGACGAACTGCGCCTATTGCTATTACTGAGTAACAAACAGCTCAACGCGATCCGCTCAATATATCTACACCATCGTGCGAGTGCTTCAGAACCATACTTGAGAATATTATATCATGGCAATCGTCGTTATTTCAAAAATTGGGAGATGAAAGAAGGATACCGCATCATGGGCAAGTGTGTCGGTCTTCGCGACCTAACCATCAACGTCGAGTTATTGGCAACTTGGCTCTACGACGTGACGATCTTTAACAAGCTTAGGGTGGACTGTAATAGCATTACATCGCTACGCTCTATCTGTGGTCTTCAGCAATTCAAACTCGTGACCAGGAATCTGAGAAATCTGCGCACCGGTGAACCAATATGGTCCAAGGAGGAGGAAGAGTACTTTTATGAGTTTCTAGGAATCGCGAAGCAGGATCTCAACGAAGCGATTGAGAGGACATGGTACTCAAAGATGAGTGAACTGGAGCAGACAGGTAAGACTCACATAATCCGTTCTTCTACGTCATACTTCATACCCCCTGATATGCTATCAACTGAATCATTCATCTTCTCTATTTCACTTACTTACCAACACTGTCTTGGTTTATCCTTTTAATCCAAGTCCTCTTTTGAACTAATCACTAACTACCCACTGTGGTACAGTCAGAGCAATTGTCACTCGGCCGCGTGAACTCCCTATACGAGCTTCTACAGTCATGCAGAGCTGTAAGTCTCTCTGTACTTCTTCTCTTTCAACACATACTTCTTCTCCTCCAATACATATTATATTGACTTACGGGCAACAGAAATCGTGTCATGCTTTCTAGGGTTCATGACCTTGCGACTGTATCTCTGTATTCAAAATATGCTGGTATGAGTACGATGAACGGAGTCCATTTCTCTTGCAGCAAAATGCATGCCGGAGATTTAAAAACGAGAGTTTTTATTACAAAAAGGTGCTGGTTTGGCTGAAAAGCATTTTCGTTTCACGATGGACAGGAAAGTTACTTTTCTTTGGAAATAGGAAAAAAAAAGTCCGAAGAGGAAAAATACATGAAGAAAAATACATGAAGATATGCCTCACCGATGGCTAATCGAGTCAAATAATGGTTAAAGATGCATATCTCACTGTTAATATCACTTCATGTTGAACAATGAAAATCTCTTAGGGAACCAGACCTTGATTTCGTTGATTAAGTTTGAACTTTTGGTGTTGTCACGAGATCATACTCTTGTATTTCTATTTTCGAACAGGAGAATGTTGAGAACTAGGCATCTAAACCTTGTCTAAAAGTACGAGATATGCGAAGGACGACAGGGTAATACCTCCATTGCTATTTTTGATCTTGGAAAGTGATGATATGTCCAATTAATCCAACTCAGGTTGTACTAACGATATTTTCTTATAAAGTGGAGCGATCAGAAGTTAAGATTAGATTTGAACGTTTCAAAGTCTCTTACCCAAAAAATATATCAGAAAGTTCCAAAAGCTCCTTCCACCTTGTATCTTTCAGGATCTCAATCCTCCCCTCGGGCGTGACGACCTTGAATCATCAATCTCCTCCGTACCATATTGATAATTATCCTCCGCACCCACAAATGAGACTAAGTCACGGATCCAACCTTTCATCAGCCCAAACTCTTGTTCGGTTGGACCATGCATTATCGAAAAACTGTATGGGGGAGAAAAGATCAGTCAACTTGTATATCCATGCTGACACTTAAAAAGGCAAACTCACTTCCAGAATGGCTTATCCATCGCATAAGCGACACCAAACCTCGTTGGAGCCACGGCATCTGTTTTGAATGATAGTCGATACGAGATTCTGTACCGCCAAATATCCCCAATACTCATACCGAACGAAAAAAGGCTGTTCGCTAGAAATCGAGACGGTGCACGAACTTGACCATCAGAGACGATGTGGCCATATAGTGTTGTCCAATCGCATTTATCCTGCGTGATTGGAAGTTTGTAGTGCTGCAATACACGAGACGTTGTTGCAGGTGCATAATAGTTTGATACCTGTAAACGTAAAGAGTCCACGTTCGCTTCAGGACCATTAAGTCAACTACCCTACTTATGGACCACCCTTTCACACCAAAAACAGTCATTTTTCATTTTTATAACTTTTTAATTAATCGATGAAATTGAATGAAATTTTAAATACCGATTCTTTATATAGTTATTAGCTCAGGTACAGATTTTCAGATTTTTCAAATTTTTATATAAAAAGTTATTGAAGCCTGAAATATGAAATTTTATTTTGTATACAAATCATATACAAAATCAAAATATTCAAAGAATCCTAATAACTTTTCAACAAAAATAATAAAAAATATATTTCAAATTTTAATATAATATTTGAAGATTCAGGATTATAGGAAATTAATTTATTTTTAATAATTTTATACAAATAATCTTTTATTAACTATAATATTTTTTGTATACAAATTTATAAGTGTGACCAAAAGGGTATAAAAGGACTCCGATTGTGTACTTAGAATCTACAAGTGAAGAGCTATGTAGGATGCTAAAAGGAGGACTATATATACAGGTATTGGGAGCCATAAGGGCTAGGCCCAAAAGGGTGAAAGGGTCCTAGGCGTAAGATGCCTAGGTCTAGAGCTATAGAGCTAGGGCTCTAAGCTGTGAAAGGAAGGTCCACAAGAGCCGTCATATCATACTATGTATGTAGTATGAGCCAGTGGGCGGAAGAGAGCCGTCTGTTCCGTCACAAAATCATATACAAAATGAAAATCTTATATTTCAGGCTTTAATAACTTTTTATATAAAATTGTGAAAAATCTGAAAATCTGTACCTGAGCTAATAACTATATAAAGAATCGGTATTTAAAATTTCATTCAATTTCATCGATTAATTAAAAAGTTATAAAAATGAAAAATGACTGTTTTTGGTGTGAAAGGGTGGTCCATAAGTAGGGTAGTTGACTTAGTTGCTGCATACAGCATTTCTTCGTTTAGCATCTCGCCAATTAGTATTTGGAAGTTTCGGCGCTTGAATTCTCGAGCGAAGACTCCGCTGCGGTGGTATTCCATCATACCTGGTTGGATGAATGATGAATCGGTGATAGGACGGAATGTGTGGTGCTTCAACTGCAGAATGGCGTCTACCAATTTCTTCGAATCTATCTTGCGCAAAGAGGAAAGTTTCTCGGCACTATTTGAGTCCTTGGAGATATCAAAGAACTGACACAATTCGTCGAACTGGTCTTGACATTCAGCGGGTGTCTTTGGCTGTGCTGGGATGGCATTGGAGAGCCATGACTATCCGATGGAATTATGGAGATGTGGCCTGAAATACTGGATTCTGAAACTCATACATAGCATGTGCATGTACGGCATAAGAACCTGCATCGTCCTGCCAGGGTAATATTTTCTACATCGCCGCCAAATCGAGCTATATTCTCGCGCACCCAATCGATAGCTAGTGTCTAATCTCATAACCCATAGTTACCTGCTTCAGCATTGTCGTTCTCTGCTTGCAAGGTATCACTAGCGAGAAAGCCAAACAGGTTCAATCGCTACTCTATAGCTACCACAATCGCGTTCAGTTTTCCCGATGAGATGAGTTCGGTCGGATCCATTCCTGCTTCGTGTGATGGATCTCCCATTTGAAACCACCCTCCATAAAGCCATAGCATCACAAGCCATTTCTTGTTTTCGTCTGAATTAACTGGTGTCCAGATATTGAGTCTCAAGCAATCTTCACCATACGCCTCTTCGGGGAGTCGATCTTTCTTGGATGATGTATAGTGCAAATCTTGTGAACAAATTGGTCCAAATCTCGTTGCGTCGAATGGCCCGCCATCATGGGATATATACCTATGGTCCGCTGGAAGTGGATGGGGTTTTCGCCAACGTAAATAGGGGAGGTAGTGCATACGGTACTCCAGCATATCGACTTGCCTTTGAATCATATTGAAGTCCCTTAATCGAACCATTCCCGTCGCCGAGATCAAGTTGGTGATCCGCAATTCTGTATGATATAGTGTTACCCATGATGCTGGAGGTAGACCTTGAGCTGTCAAAAAGTCTAAAGGTCCTGAATCTATTTCCAGCCAAGACTTGATGTAAGAGAATAGGGTGAAGATGAAATTAGAACAAGTCGAGTATCACAAAAAGCTCCTTGCTACAAGTCGACGAACAGTTGGAGCAATTTTCGACCCAAATTGATTATTTAGATGATCTAGTGGTCGTCCACTTTCAATAACCCAATTTTAAACCGACTGGCCCATGGGACCTGTTCATCACGATAAGGACTTTTCAAAGATGTAATAGAAATGCTCTTGAGCGGTACCTAATTCAACGCTGTAAATAGTCATAAATAATTGTACGAGATAGTCTAATCTTCGCCTGGAAACCCCTTCGTGCATATCGTGTAATCTAGCGAATCAGATCAAAGAGTTGCCGATGTACGTTCACGTAATTTCCTGGGGTCTGTGCCCCATGATTTGTAGTATTTTGATGTGGAGTATGTGGGGACGTTATGGGATAGCTTATCTTCAGTTTCTATTGAGTCATGCACAAACTTTATCAAGAGACACAGTTGATGGTAAGCTAGGAAAAATTTAACCCCTTTGGGTACCAAGGCTTGTGCCTAGATCTATAGACTCAGATATAAGTCACACATCGAAGAACTACTGAGGACCGAACACACCGATCACGTCGGACCCTCCCACTATGTCCGACAATGTCAGTCCCAAACGGAAACGATCGAGCACTTCTACTCGCTCTAAATATGGTAAGGAAGTGTATCGTCATCTTCAGTCAAGCAGTTGCTGATACTTTGGTTATAAGGCTGCTTGACTTGCCGTACAAAAAAGGTCAAATGCGATGAACAGATTTCTTGCTGTGGAAGATGCGATCGTTTGAAGCTTACCTGTCAACAGCCTTGCTCACGACTTCTGCCAAGTGTAAGAGAACGCCGGCGTGGCGCGGGCTCATTGAAGTCTCGAAATCCTGATTGATCTCCTCAGTCTCTTTCGCCAGCTTCATATCGTTCTGAAGAACAGCCACAAAATTCACAGTCACTTATTAGTCATTATCTTTCAGGATACGATCATGGTTTAGCAGCTGCATCAGAATCGGAATTTTCAACGCAGAATCCTGTAGATACAACTCATTGTCAAGCGTCAGTTATCGAGACAGAAGCAGATATACTTTTGGACCCGGCCGCCGAGTGGCTGCTTCCAAATCCTCAGAGTATGAATGCTTATGCTCGCCCAAATTGCAGTCCTCTATATTTCGAGCAGCTTTTAATAGCGAATATATCATCAACACATAGAACTGTGCCGGAGAATGGGATGTCTTTGAACAGCGATGAAGAGTTGGCTCTCACACACTATCGAACGGCTTTCTCTCAGTCTCAAACCACGAGAGATCCACAGTGGTCTACTTCAACTTTGCTGCTACTCCACGGACTAAAACAGTCAGAGATGCTTCTCCATCTTATACTAGCTGTCTCGCTTCATGATATGCCATCTGATCCTGTCAACCTTAGCCGGCTTCGTCAAATTAGTCACAAGCATTACGAGAAAGGGACAGAGCAACTCATGCAAGCTTTATAGGGTACGACTATCACAGATCATCTCGCAGTTCTCGCATCTTTTTACTGTATACACATGTACATGTCCCGATAGAAGGGTGCCATGTCATCAATATTAGACTGACTGAGTCTTATAGCAACAGAGCATCTGGAAAAACATAAGTTGACTATATCTATCCGCGGACAACTACATTCGTCCATTCGAAACTCGGTCAAAAATCGTGCATAGCGAAGTTTGATTGCTCGTACGATTATGTGGTTGTTGAAGGTGGATGCACAAGGAAGCTTTTCGCGGTGCAAGCCTAGCTTAGTTGACCACTTCCAAGCACATCCAGACCAGCTCTCAGCGTTAAAAGCAGAATCTCGCCTTACTCTTCAGCTAAATTGGGGAACAGAATATCCCATTTCGCAAAGCATTCGTGATATTAAGAGTTGTTTGCCAGTGGACATGATGACTGATATGCTGGTTTTAAGCTGCAAGATTAGCCAAGTATCCCCAAATCCCGAGACGAGTGCCATGATAGAGTCTACATAAGGAGCTTGCAGCTTTAGAAATAGTAAGTGCATACACTTCTTGCAATGATTTATACTTATGTGTGACAGCGTTACGGTGCTATTTTCTACTATGGCTCTTCCGACATGACTTTACAACCTGCTATGAAACTCAATTGTGCAAACTCGGCTACAATGTTTTACGCACTCCAGATATATCTAATCCGGAGTGGGCCAAGTATGTTCGGGGCAGAAGACTCACCTGAGACTAAAGCTTCCCTGAGCCAACTACTACTATTCGCCATGCATGTTTGTCCTGCGGGCTCGCAACAGCCAGTGTATGAATTCCAATGGTCTTTGTTTGTTGCAGCGGTTGAGACAAGTAATATGATTCATCAAGAATGGTTACAGGGTAGAATTAGTGACACTCACCTCTGCGAAGCCTTACGACGTATTTCTTCGCTTAAGCGGGGTAACTTGGGGAACATATTTTTTGAGCAAAGTCAGAGAAGTCATTCAGGCTGTGTGACATTGACTATTGAAGATAATGATATTGAGAGTTAATGATAATGAATATCTTGAAATATATTTTGAAGATCTCAGAGGAGAAAAGTACGGCAGCGTATTCGATCTTCGACACTAAAGTCTTTTTCGGAGTTTCAATAATTCAAAAAGTAGCTCAACAATAAGTTCTTTTAAACGATGCATTTAATGTCTGACACTCAATCCATGGAAAAGGTATACTTTGAATATCAAAAGAGAGAGTTTTGTCAAAAAAGCCCGGATATACTGTTATATCAGAGGTTGATCAAAAAGTGACATTTCTCCTGCCATACAACCGACTATACAGCATTTGGTACACAACACCCGTTTTTAGAATGACTAAGTTCAACATGGAAGTATCACATGGGTATTAAGATAAACACTTGTTCTCGAAGTGATGTGGGGCCGATAACGGCATCCATCTTCATGGTCTACAGTATCTCATCGTCAATTCTGGCGAATCACCGATCCAAGCTGCCGAGATACTGTATCATGATGTCTCGGAAATATCTTCCCCAACCTTCCCCAGTGGTCGGCAGTATGATCCACTATTGTAGGAACTTGTATTTGACGATAAGGCCAAAGATAGTCAAGACTCTTTAGCATCTCTCATCTTGGCTGCAGGTTTCTTATAGAGATATAACGTCTGCAATAGCCATCGGGCGTCATTTTGTATTCATTTATTTTGCATCTAAATGCTCTATTATCGATCATGTCTGTAATCAACGGAGACAAGGATACCCTCAAAGACGCTTTCAACGCCGACTTAAAATACTCCCAGGCCGAGAGGAAAGATGCTGAAAATATAGAAGTTGGCGAGGTCTATTGCCATCCTACCGCGGCAGAAGAGAAGGCCTTATTGAAAAAAGATTGACTGGCGGTTACTTGTGACTTCAAACCAGAAGCTAAAAAAAGCCTGATGCCATTAATGATGGCATCCTATTTTCTACAGTTCCTCGACAAAAGCAGTCTGAATTATGCTTCGATAATGGGTTTACTGACAGACACGGAGCTCCAAGGCCAGCAAAATTCTTGGTTAGGAAGTGCATTTTACTTCGGCTATCTCATTGCCAACTATCCAGCATCCTTGGGCTTTGTCGAATTTCCATTAGCCAAGTACCTCTCGGTCTCAATCGTCATTTGGGCTATTGTCTTGGGGTGTCATGCGGCTGCGAACAACTTCGTAGGATTGTGTGTTCTCCGGGTGCTCCTGGGAATCACGGAAAGTACCGTTAGCCCCGGCTTCAATTTGTTAACTGGAATATGGTACAAGCCCTCGGAGCATGCGTGGAGACATGGCATATGGTTCTTGGGAAATGGTGTTGCCAATACCTTTGGAGGTCTGTTTGCCTATGGGGTTGCCCATATTGAGGGTGAGTCGTCCGTGAACCTGACCTCGCAATTCATATCTAATGCTTGGATTGCAGTGGTTACTTATCATTTTTGGGATGATGACTTTCTTTTGGGGAGTCCTGCTCTATTTCACTTTGCCCGATGATCCCTTGACTGCTCGATTTCTCACTCAGCGCGAACGAGAGATCGCTGATCGCTGATCGACGAGCATAAAAAACACAACATAGTTTCAAGACGAGTGAGTGGTCAAGATCTCAATGTATTGAAGCTCTGATTGATCCAAAAACTTGGTTGATCACGTTGATCATCAGTATCGCTTCGATCACCAATGGAATCGTTTCTAATGTAAGATCCTTCCACCCGGGTGATGCTACTATTTAGCTAATGAGTTACCAGTTCGGATCTCTGATCATCAAGTCCTTTGGCTTTCGGCGAACTGGACACCATTCTACTTGGCATGCCCAACGGGGGTTTCCAAATTGCTGCTGTGATTGCCGCAACATATACAGCTTCGAAAGTCCGTAAATCCCGTCTTCTAATTATCATTGCAGGATATTTCTTCGCTCTGATTGGGATATTGCTCGTGAAGGAACTTTTAACATCCAATAAATATGGACGTTTGGTTGGATGTTGGAAGATGATTGTATTTTCGTCCGCCTTCCCTCTCCTTTTGAGTTTGATGGCAAGCAGTAAGTCGAACCTAGCCTTCCCATGAACACTTGAACATTGCATTTTACATTGCACAATACCAATGTTATGTTTTCTGTTACTACATCAAGCTGACTTGCCGAAACCTTTGCACAGACACCGCAGGATTCACCAAGGAAACCACCATCAACGCCATCTTCTTCATTGGATACTGTGCCGGCAACATTGGCGGACCGCAACTTTTCAAATAGGCCGAAGCACCAAATGACCATGTATGCATTCCTTTGATACTTGTGCGTAAAGCTTCAAGACTAACTAGTGTAATAGACGGCATAAAATGGTATGATTGCTTGTCTGGTCATCTCCACTGCGCTCTCAATCGTGCTGAGACAGTATATGGACTGGGAGAATAAACGTCGCGACCGCGAACAGGGAGTTTATATCAATCCCGAACCGAGACACGTGGTAGATGTTGATGAGGCGGATTTAACTATCGAGAGGGTTGTGTATACCGATTGGGAGAATAAGAGGTTCCGTTTTTATTTGTAAATTGTATGGATGGAATACACTCGGGGATTTCATGGATATTGATATAGAGAGATTCTAAGTCGGAACTGCCACAAATAAGTTTTCCAATAATACGGTCTGACGACTAGATTGGGAAGCGTCTAGTATCTCAAGTGATTTGGATGCTTAAGTGAATTCAGTATATAAGATAATTTCAGTACCCTAGTATATCAAGTGAGACATGAACGCATCCGGATTCACAAATGTTGAGTCTGAAGAAGAATCGACAAATTAACTCATTCCAGTAATCAAATTGAGGGCCATTCAATATTTAGGTAAAGAAACAACAATAAATGCACCATCTGTATCATTTTTGGAACGACTAATTCCAGCAAATATCTGGAAGCAGGTCTGCGGGGCTGCTACGTCCCAGCCTCCACATGTCAGCTGCAGCCAACGAAGTCCTGCCCCGATGCATCCCTCAACCGCCAACAACACGACTGCTATTGAAAAGGAAACTTTCCACGACATTTATCTCTCCTTGCGAAAACCTTTTCATCCCTCAAAACTGAAAAAATTTGCAATTAGTTTATAGAATTTGAATAGTTTGCAATCTGTCACGATGTACTGGCGCCTTATCACCTTCTTACGGGCGGATTAGCTACATTGAGATCGTTTGTTGCTCCATCAGCGAGTAAAGATTTTCGTAAGTTAGGTCTTTACTCCGTTGCCATTTCTCTGATTCAATAACTTATGTACTGATAGCAATTGGAATTAGCCTCAGCCTAGACTACATGTTAGTAGTCCAGCAAAATGTAGATTCGAAATCACTGGCTATTACTGACCTTGTACCAAGATCATCAGCATACATCACAGAAAGTGAAGATTTCGTAACAACAGCTAGTATCGAGACTACACAAGACTGGAAAAATTCTCCCGTTCATTGTCTTCGAAAACGTCGCGACGAGGAGTATGTTTTAAGCAAATTTCTTTCCCGAATCGGTACTTTTACCACAACTCATCTACTGATCAAGAACCAGTAAAAGACGAGAGTACACAGAATCCGAAGTAGATGAACTACTCACAGTAGCACTCTCCTCCACCCAGAAAGCAAACGAAACCAAGCTCAATCGAAAGATTGATATACTTCATTACCTATCCTAATTATATTGCACATTGTGGATACGTCCAAAAACTGTTAGACGTGGCAATCGAAATTCTACCTGGCATGAACGACAAGCATACGGACGCAATAACGCGAAAGCGCTTGATTATCCTCCGGGGACTGATATTGATTCAGAGCAGAATCTCCTCCTACATTTTGACTACCAAAACCGTCTGCTAGAGGTATCGATGAATGACGTAGGGACGACAATTACGGTTGTAGAGGGGTCTTTTCGAATTGTTGGTTTTGGTGAGGCGAAACAAGTTGCTTCTGTAAGAACATCCTTCCTCTACTATTAATGAGTGACAATGACGCAACGCTCGATCTTGGCAATGTTTGAATTCAAAGTCGCCCCTCCCCGCGTCGTCCCACCTGCACTAGCTGAGAACTAAGCCGCCATACCAAGTGAAACCTAAAGTCCAGCAAGCCGATTCTCTAGGCCGCAAAATTCCAATTATGTACCACAGCCCAAAGAGCTCGAAAATCTCGGCATCCGCCTAAAATCTCTCGTCAACGGGGGCTTATCATCACCAACCTGCGAGCCCGTCCAGCTCTCAGATTTCAGACGCATTATCTTCAGCGGTGATGCACGCGCCTTGAATTCCAAAAAATACGCGAGGCGATCATAAAAGCCTTTCCGCAATTTGCAGATCGATTTGTCGAGGGTATCGAGCCAAAATGGGTGGGTGCAGTGGGAACTGCGAAAAGGGCTAAGGAATATTGGGTGGATCCGCCGGTTTTTGAGACTGAGGAACAGATCTATGATTTTGAGGAGGGGCATGATGAGTTGTGAGGAAAGAGAGTAAGCGAAATGGACACTTGCCTGGAGCGGAGTTGAGCGAAGGGTGAGGTGATTTGAATAGATAGCTCTAAATTCACAACCTATCAGCACACTAATGGCACACGAAAAACGGGAAGAGTCGACGGAAGTGGCATATCAATGCTTCGTTGAGACTATGACTAGGCCAAAATCCAAAACACAAAATCCAAACTCCAAACAATGAAACAAAAACAGACAATCTTTATATATTCCAATAGAGATAGTGATATGTTAAGAAAATATAAGAACAACCCGAGTGCTTATAATATTCAATTCAATTCAATTCAATTCAATTCAGAAAATTGGAATGATTATATCGGCCATCTTGACTGTTGATGAAGAAGCTGGGACCTCAAAATATCAAAGCGTGACGAGATTTTGTATTTGTAACGAGAGTACCGGTAGTTTGTCAATGAGGGGTTCGATTTGGGTTTTCTTTTCTTTTCTTTTCTCGAAAGCAGTGACCGCGGTTGGTTTCTGTCTAGTTTGATATATTTCATGCTCAAGAGGGGAGAGAACATTGGGCTGCAATCGAACTAATCCGGTGGTGAGTGTGGTGATGTGTATCTGGTTTTATGTGCCAAATTTATTGATAATTTGTTGGGGGCATAGGGGTTTTGGTGTTCTCACAATTCAAGATTATCAACCATGTAAGCAAATTCCAGCATCGTATATGGACACTCGAGTGTAAGTATGTGTGTAAACAGTTTATGTACAATAGATCTTTTTAATCTACTTCTTTGGCTCCTCTTTCTTTTCCTCCGGCTTCGGAGTAGGAAGTTTGAATGTGGTAGGTTTTCTATCCACACCAGGTCCGACTTGCTGTTTGCCATTAGTTCCATGCATCTCAGGTTTTCAAAAGCAAATGATGGAAGAAGGGAGAGCGATAGACATACCTCCCAAGCAGCGGTTCCGCCCTCAAAGTTTCTAAACGCTTGAGTCAACTCCAATGGCTCAGTCACAATACGTTTCTTCTCTTCATCATATCTTATTTCCGTGTATCCCGTCAATGGGAAATCCTTCCGTAATGGATGACCGTCGAATCCATAATCGGTCATAATGCGACGGAGATCCGGGTGACCAACGAAGAAAACTCCAAAGAGATCGTAGACTTCGCGCTCGTACCAGTTGGCACCGTCGTAGAGACTGGTGATACTGGGGACGGGGGAGGCTTCATCGGCGTAGGTCTTAACGCGGATGCGGGAATTATGGCGTACGGAGAGGAGATTGTAGACTACTTCGAATCGTTGGTCGCGGGTGGGATAATCGACAGCGGTGATGTCTGATACTTGAGTGAACTCGGCGGCGGTGTTATCTGGGATTGATTAGTTGTCTGGGAAATGTAACAAACGGGGTGGGAGCGGGAAGCGGGGATAGCAGAATGCCATGCTTCTGGGCAAGAATTTCTCACATTTGAGGAATGAAATTACAGGAATTACTCCAGATGGGGGAATGTATATAACAAGCTCGTCCTTCCATACTGAGAATTGCTGAACGTATTTTGGAAGGCACGCCATGAGCCATGATCCGTATCTGTGCATATCGTCCGCTTTTGCTGCGTATTTGTCTGCAGGATTGATAGGGGGAGCACGGAGTCCTCCTGGGGTATCGGGGGCTCTCTGAGCATGACGCATGTTTGGAGTATCGGAGGAGACGACAACTCGGGCATGTTGTGTGGAGGCAAATTGTCGAATATTGAGCTTCTTAGGTTGGCTTAATGAGTTCTTTGTAGATCTGATGGCGGAGGCCAAAGCCCGGCTATTCGAAATCCTCGTCGCCATCTTGTAATATGAATTGTATTAAGTTCAATTGCAGAGATTAGAAATTCATTGACGTTGATATTCAGATTGGCGACTTAACATTGGTTAATGATCCTAGGACATTGAATCTTATGCCTGAGGCTAGAACTGTACTTACTTGTCTCTTGGCTTACATAACCGAGTTTCTAGCGTGGACAAACCAGCAGCGAACATGGCTTTTATTATTACTCTCACTTAAGATCCCCTCGAAGAAGTTCTTACTCTTTTAATTGAACCCTTTTCGACTTCACAACAACGCCATTACCTTGTCATAAAATACCACGTATCGATATCGAAAATTACACCTCTCACACCTAGAGTATCGATAATTTAATAATACTCCAAATACTTGACAACGCGCTGTACACATTTGCGCCCCAAAAGCCATTATCATCAGAACCATTTTCACACCTTCCTCGAATTTCGTCTAGTCTTTCGATCGCACATATAGATCTTAGAAATGGCACCTCAAGATAGCTTCATCGATGAAGATGATGATACCTGGTGCGTTCCCATACCTCTTGTCGATTCATATTCTGCTCGGGCGAATGGCATCTTCTGAACACTTTGCTAATCAATTTCACTAGCCCACTCTGCGTTGAAGAATTCGATCTATCAGACAAGAACTTTCAACCATGTCCTTGTGGCTACCAGGTAACCTACTCTCTCTTGCCACCGTATGCTGACTTGATGCTAACCCCACCGCTCTAGATATGCCAGTTCTGCTTCAATAATATCAAGAACAATATCAACGGCCTCTGTCCCGCCTGTCGAAGACCTTACGACGAGAAAACAATAAAATGGAAAGTAGTTACGCCTGAAGAGTATGTATCCCGAATCTTCCAAGAAGGTGACTTGCTGACCACAAATTTTATAGGGTCGCTCAATTCAAGGCCAACGTCCAAAAGAACGCTAAAAAGAAGGCTGAGATACGACAGAAAGAAGCACAAAAGCGAGAAGTAGAAAGTCTAAATCGAAAACATTTAGCAGGTTTACGGGTTGTGCAGAAAAACCTGGTATACGTGGTCGGTCTAAGTCCAAGTATACGAGAAGACGAGCTTCTTCAAACTTTACGCGGCGAGAAATATTTCGGGCAATACGGGAAGATAATCAAGATTGTGGTCAGCAAATCCAAACAGAACGAGTCGGCTCAGAATGCTGGCTCTCTTGGAGTTTACGTTACGTTTGCTTCAAAATCGGATGCGGAACGGTGCATATCAGCGGTCAATGGTTCTCCAAACGGCGATCGGATCCTACGAGCGCAATTAGGAACCACGAAGTATTGCTCAGCATACCTGCGGAATGAGGTGTGTACAAACAAGCAATGCATGTTCTTACATGAACCGGGCGACAATGACGACAGTTACTCTCGACAAGATTTGTCGTCCATTAACAGTGTGAACTCACAACGACCTTTGCCGTCCAAAGCGTCTTCATCCCGCACTCAAGCTCAAGCAGCACCACCAATCCAACAAGCACAACCACTTGCTGCTGCTACACAATCAATGGCACGAGAAGCAAGCAAAGATGGTTCAGACAGTGGGGAGGGCCCTGCACTACCATCAACTGCCAATTGGGCCAATCGTGGAGTACCGCAACAACGGAGCAGAAGAGGAAGTCATGATACCAGTGGTGCCGCACCCAGTCCTTCTATCTCAAATGCTATTTCTTTGACAGCCGAAGCAGTCGAAGAGGATACGCCGGAGCTTGTTGAAGACCAAGAGGAATCGTTCGGGGAAGCTAGTCCTATCGAAGCTCCAGAGCCCACTCCTTTGATTGATGATATATCGCATCCTGTGAAGGAATCACTTGGCGTTGAACTGCTCAGGTCAATCAATTCTGATGTACTCAACTGGGATGGCCCTAAACTTCATGAGGAGGACCTCGCATCTTTCCCACCACTTTTTGACGATAATGGTGGAGAGAAACGTCGTTTGATGCGCGAGCAGCAACAGGAGGAAGAACGTTTGCACATGGAGCAGGAATCGCAAGCTGATATTCAATCAGTGCCTGAACCTGTTGAGGAACAAGAACCGGAGAGCGGTAGTCTGCAATTAGGTGGCGAGCCCGAGGATAACGGGCGGGAGATCAATCAACCTCCTGGATTCCAACGTCGTCAAAGTTCCCAATTGCCGATCCAACGAGGCTCTACCGGTGGCCCATTTGGGCCAAGTCTGGGACAACAACAAAACTATCCTCAGAATATTAGTAATTTGAGTTCTGTCAATGGACGATCTCTTACTCCATTGCAGCAGTCACAACTTTCAATGTTCAAGTCACCATCTGGTGTTCAATCGAGCTTCATGGACCATGTTCCTTCACCCGGTGGACTCGGAAATCCATTGAATCAGAATTCCGCGCTCTTTCAGCAGCAAGGCCACAACAGACAGTCTTCACGATACAGCTTTGCTCAGGATGGTGCAGCTGGCTCATCTTCTATTAAGCCTTCTGCCAATACTAAGATGATGCAGCAGCAAGCTTCAATGATGCCTCCTTCAAGTCATCCTCAGCAAGGATTTCAGTCATTCAACTCTTCAATCCCAGCTCCTCCAGGATTGTCAGGTTTAAAGTCTAATACTCCTCCCGTTGGTGGAGGAATGTTTGGTCAAGGTCATGGATTCGGCAACATGATGGGTGGCGGTTCGTCCTTCGGTGGGGCCACCAAGGAGAACGGCAATGAGATGCTTCGTGAAATGTTGAGGGGTCGTCCTAATGCCGGTGGCAACCAGGGTCTTGATACAAGTAAGCGTGAGTACATGTTTCCTAATTTTCTTCATCAACAGTTCCCATCTGCCTCCTCTACTCCAGCTCCTGCTTCAGGCCTTCTGGCATCGCTCTACGGTCCTCAGACTGGAGCATTTCATGACTTCGGTCAAAAGCAGAAGAAGAAGGGAAAGAAGCACAGACATGCTAACACTTCCTCCTCTGGGGGAGGTGGCTTAGTCGATCTTGCGGACCCAAGTATCTTGCAGGCGAGAATGCAGCATCAACAACAGAGCAATGCCGGAGTCGGACAGGGACTGTTTGGTGGTCAGGCTCAAGGTGGGTACAACCCCAACATCATGTATGGCGGCGGGGGGGGATTCCCTAGATGGTAGACGCGCATGTTAGTCGGGCATAATATTTGGCATGGCTATTGTAGATAATGATGTTTCTTTTCATTTACAAGGATGGCGTTAGCAAAAACCCTTCAAAGGTATTGCATTGTTGCTCGGTATAGCACACATTTGTTTTAGCGTTCATGGCATAGCTCCAAGATGGATGCTTCGGGTGCATTGGCGTCACATTGCGTTTGGAAAATGAGTGAGATGATCTCATGGGATTGCTGCCATTGTTTCTTTTTTGTTTCTTTCGTTTGAGTGCGCAACAAGGTCAAAACAGGTCACGTCGGGAATTCCATCATCGTCTTCGTCGCAACCAATTCTCTCATGTACGTTATAGTCCCCAGCCCACGCCAACGACACTGGCTGGAGAAATATATCATTCTTACATATTTTGTACCTTCAGTAGCCCGCTCTTTCAATTATCGAAGACGATGATGGATTCGTGATGTGACCGTGTCCCTATCCTGTAGTAGCATTGTGTACTGTCCGATGTTGATGTTACTTTAAGATCGCCTGCCCAACCGTCACTGTACATGTGTTTATTTGGAGAAGACGCGCTAACATTTATTTTCTTTAGAAGATTCAACTTTTGATGATGAAAGCATTTCACACAACGTGGATGCGTTGGTATCAGATAGTGTTCCGGATGATTTGCCAATGAACTATGGCGAGATTTCTCGAGAGGTATCGCGATCGAACACTCCGGCTTTTCCACCGGGACTCCCAAATCCTCACGCGCATCCTGCACCCGCGGTCCGCGAAGACCCAATTGGAAAACCATCTAAGATTCTTCCAGCGGTGGCTCCATTCACACCATCGAGACAGTCCAGCATGTCATACGCTCCTCGCGTTGCCACTCCACTTGCCATGTCTCAACCTTCTACCCCTTCACCAGTCAAGTCTAAAGTTCTGCCTGTTGCTATCCCTGAGGCACCAGTATCTCAAACACAAGCGAAGCAAGAGATCAAAAGTCTTGCTATAATGTCTGGCATTTCAAAGGAAATTGCAGCTCAAGCCTCCACTCCAGTCCCTGTAGTTCCTACAACTCCTTTGCTTTCCGCAGCGATTACCCCTGCAACGCAGAGAAATCTCTCCACCGAAGAGTATCCAGCGCTTGGAGCACAGAAGGAAACCAGACCTCCTGTATCTAGGAAAGTGTCAAAAACAGCTGCATCGTCTTCCAAGGCTCCATCTACACCGAAAATCTCGAATGCTCAGAAGAGTGCCAAGACAAGTGAGAAGAGAGCAACACCGGCTGTTTTGACGATTACGACTTCCACAAGACCAGCTCCTAAAGTGGTGGGTCCTCCAGAGACACTTAGTAAAATCACTGCTTCAGTGTCAGAATTTCCTTCATTGCCAGCATCGAAACCCGTTCAAACCACATTCAAAACTATAAAGGTCACGCAAACACCAAAGACGGAGGTGCCTCTGATGGGAAGCCCTGCTCCAATTTCTGCCACATCTGTAACTCCGTATCCTTTACATTTTGGTCGTCAGTTCTCGGTCGGAAGTTCAGAAGTTCCTGATACTCCCAGTGAGCAAGATAATGCTTCTATTATGTCTGCAACAGCTTCGAGAGCGAGCTCACCTGCTCCATCTCGGAATGGACAGCCACGACCCCCAAAACTCAATACGGCACAGAAGAACAAGCTTAAGATGGAGAAAAAGGAAAAGGCCCTCGAAGCACAAATGGCAGCTGCAGCTGAATCCAAGAGAACTGACGAAGAACAAGCCCCGGTTTTGGGCAGGAAGACCAAGCAAAGAAAGGAGAAGACGAACGTTAGCAGTGCCGCGAGCAGCTCAACGCCGGTGCCTAGCAGACCAGCCTCGCCTCCTCCCGTAGTAGCCGCCCGAGAGGAGAGCAAGCTTGCAGAACCCATTATACCAGAGAAGCCTATTTCGAGTGGTAGCGATAAATTTGTCAGTAAGATTGAGGCAAGGGCAAAAAACAAGGCGAAAGCTCAACAATCTACACCAGCACCCGAGCCACCACGAGCTCCCATCGTCGAAGATGAGGAATTCGCAGAGAAACTCACAGCACCAACTTCAGCCAGCCTTGTTCAGCAGCTTCAATCTGATGGATCAATCCCCAATATTTCGGAGCATGCCATCTTTAAAACACCTATTGGTGTTGGCAATGAGAAGAAGAGGGAGAAAGACACTGCACCCGTCTTAGATGTCAACCCTAAACTCAACATTAGTCCAGAAGAGCGGGCTGCTTTGAACGCTGGAAAGCCTGTTCACAAGATTGCTTCAGGATCAATTCGGATCATGTTGACACCAAATGGTGATTGTGTGCGCAATCTCAGTGCTGAAGAAGAGAACAGATTCTTGGAGCTTCAAGCAAGACTTGCTGCTGATGCTGGACCTACTGCTTTTGTTTCCGCAAAGCATAATGCAAGTACTGGATTTAATTTGGTTGGCGGCCGAGCTGTTCCAAATGGACCCCCTTCGTACTTTCCATCCACAGCGGCTTGCAATACTACACCTTTGGATGCGGTTAGCAAGATTCAACGTGATGAAGCTTTGAGCTACATCAATCAATACGTTCTACCATCTCTCTCCAACAATGCCCAGTTAGAAAGGGCACTGAGTACCAATGCTCTATCAGGCGACATGTTACAAGGAAGCGAGCCATCCAGCTGGGCACCATTAAGTGGTGGCTCTCCCGATAATCTTCAAGCTTTCCCCTACGGTAGCTCGCCTGGCGATGGCAGTATCCTTGATGCAGGAATCGAAAACATGACGGCGACTCTCACAGGTGGTCGGGATATTGATCGTGGACCACAGGCTACGAATGTTCAATTGCTGAGTGAAAAGGAATCGGAGTCTGCGATGCAGATTGCGAAGAAAGAGACTCAGGAGTTGGAGAAGAGACTTCTAGCTGTCTTGAAGAAAAACAGGAAATTGCTGTTGACGGGGCATTGAATGGGGCATTCTTGTGGGGAAGGGATACGAATACACTTGAAAGAAACTTTCTACTCGCGAGTAATAGGCTCGTCTTCTAAGAGTTCAATCTGACTGGCACCGAGGATCTGCTCAAGTCCCGGGTTAATGATGGAACGTAGTGTATGATTATACGCATGTGTTTATCGCTCGCTGTATCGATACTTGTATGATTTACGGGATGGGATGTGTTCTTTTACACATAATGTATGAGTATGGTTGTGGCATGAAATTATGATGGATGGAAAGGCTGCAGGTGGTTGCTTGTACATCACCAACACTTTTAGCGTTGGTTGTCTGCTTTATAGATTCTCACACTCGAGAGTGATAGCATTGGGGATACTATTAGCTTCGTTTCGCCCAGCTTAGCATAGCATAGCACAACACGGCATAGCATAGCATGATACTGATATTGATATTGAAATATCTGCACAAGGAGTTCTGCTTTTATCTACTATAGATGGGCCTTGTGATTAAAGAATAGTGAAGAATCTTGATGTCACGAGAAAGCTATAGTTGGTATCGGCATACGCATACCGCTTTCATCTACTCGAGTAGATGCATTTGAATAATCTCTATCTTATTTCATTAATCGTATAACGCATTTATTCACTTTGTACTATCCCCCATAACCCATTCCCACGTGAAGAGATCAACAATCAACAATCCCTGTCCATGAGTGAATCTATCTTTGGTGGGGCAAGGCAAGGGCGGGCAGCGCTGGCGGGGTAGCAAAAAAGTTGAAACCCCCAAACTGATTTTGTTGGTATTTTGAAACCTTCATACAAACGATTATTTAGCTCGATAAAAGTTGCCTCGTATCCTTCCTCACATCTCGGTCTTCTTTCAACTCGAGATCAGTACTTCGATCGATAAATCATCATGGCAGAATCACTTCCTACTACTTTCTCTGGTATGTAATATGGATTGTTACGCCTCGAAACTTGTTAGATCGGTCGAGCTTCCAAACTATATTCCTCTCCCGCACCCCAAAAAATACCAGTCAAGCTACCAAACTAACCCTCACCCCCTAGACCCCGTCCACATCGCCGTAATCGGCGGCACCGGACTCCAATCCCTCGAAGGGTTCGTCCCAATCGCAACCCTCAACCCCCTCACCCCCTGGGGCTACCCCTCCGCCCCCATCCACATCCTGTCGCACAACAACGTGCCCGTCGCCTTTATCTCACGCCACGGCATCCACCACGAGCTCGCCCCCCACGAAATTCCCAACCGAGCGAATATCGCCGCGTTGAGAAGTATTGGCGTCCGAACCATCATTGCCTTCAGCGCCGTAGGGAGTTTGCGCGAGGAAATTAAACCCCGGGATTTCGTGGTGCCTGATCAGGTTATTGATCGTACAAAGGGGGTTCGTCCATTTACGTTCTTTGAGAAGGGCGTTGTGGGACATGTGGGATTTGCGGATCCGTTTGATGAGAAGATTGCCAAGATTGTGAGGGAGTGTGGACATGCGCTTGAAGGCAAGGGTATAGTGATGCATGATAAGGGAACTGTGATTTGCATGGGTTCGTACTTTTTCTTTTTCCCCCTCCTTAAACACCCAAACCAAACCAAACTAACCTTCTCCTCCCCCCTCAACAGAAGGTCCCGCCTTCTCCACGCGCGCCGAATCACACATGTACCGATCCTGGGGCGGCTCCGTAATCAACATGTCCGCATTGCCGGAAGCCAAGCTAGCGCGCGAAGCAGAAATGGTATACCAAATGATTTGCATGGCCACCGACTACGATTGCTGGCACAGCACCGCAGATGTGGATGTTGCGATGGTGATGGGACATATGCATGCGAATGGACAGAATGCGAAGAGACTTGTGGGAGCCGTGTTGGATGCGTTGAGTAAGCAGGAACATAGTGATATCGTGTTGGGGAAACATTGGGAGGGGAAGACGACGGGCATGATTAAATTTATGACGAAGGGGGAGGGAAGGGGCGAAGAGGGTGTGAAGAATGTAGAGTTTTTGTTTCCGGGCGTGTTTGATGAGGCTTAGATTGGTGATGCGGGGTGATGCGGGGAGATTCGACGCAAGGGAGTGATGGAGGGCTTTAGTGGATTTTGATACCTGGGTGCATCAACTGCATTCGTATATATGGGAATATATAAACGGCAATGGAGTTAATCAAATATTATCTTTTACCGGAACTCATGAATAATCTGCTCAATCTCAGTGCACATTGATTGTACTGCATGTTTTCCATTCGTCACTCTTAGGAAGTTAGGAGACTATTGAAGAGGAATCCTATTCCAAGTCAAATTTATACCAAATATCTTTCTCTTCTCTTTAATTTTCTTTACCCGTTCAAAAACATATAAACAACCGATTCCATCAAGTTCAATACGATTTATTCCCGCCCAATCCAAATCAACAATGGGTAACCGTATAAATATACAAGAAAGGCACCCATGGGTATCTATCGTCATCCCAAAAGAAACTGCTGCACGATCAAATCATCCACTCCAATCCCCCCACAACCCCTCCCTGCTAACCCCCAAGTACAACCCATCAAACCAACATATACAACGCCTTGACCGCCTTCTCTGCCGCGGCCACATGCCAAGGCCTCCCATCCTTCACCGGATGCACCACACCCCTCATTCTCGCCAACGTAGCCAGACCCCTATAATACCCCAAAATCTCCTTTAGCAAAGTGTCGTGAAATGTGCGCGGGTTCCCCACAACTTCTGCATGTATGATGTTGACTTCAAGAACTATCGGTGGGTCGTCGGAGCTGGTGCCGCTGCTCTTAATGAGGTATCCAGAAATTAGGGCGGGATTGAATTCGAGGAGGGAATTTGAGTTATTGAGGCGGTGGGAGAGGATGGCGCCCCAGGTTTGGTCCGTGAGATCGATGAGGCGGGAGTTCTGATCTGGTTCGGGGGGAACTGCCGGTGTAGATGTAGATGGTGCTTCAAGAGGGGTCGGTGCATTGGTTGTTGAGTCGCGGGAGGAGGTAGATGGATTGTCCGGGGAGAAGATGGAGGATTGAGATGCTTGGGGTGTGGAGGCGGCGGTTGTGGCGGGTTGTGATGTTGAGGTCATTGTTGGTGGTGATTTCCTTATTTGTAGAGGTAAGATCCGTAATGAAGGATCTGTTTGTACAGTAACTAGTGTGAGACTGATCTGAGCGTTGGATTCTGTGGAGGCAAGACCTGTCCAGAACTCAATCTCAGATTGTTCCATGACAGCTGTTTTCGCAATAATTATGCGCCAATGAACCTTTTTGCTCGAGATCAGGTCAAGCGTTGTCTCCCAGATTTCATTCGCAATATCCGTAAAGAACAGAGTGAATGGCTCGTTCTTCCGCCCGAGACAATATGAGGCTGTCATTTGCTTGGTGCCTCTATTATCTGACCATGCGGCAGTAATCCATCGTTCATCAATACTCTGAGCATAAGCAACATGAAGACAGGAGTTTTCTTGTAGCAATGCTGGTGATGGATTGACACTCAACTTGAAGTCAATAGTTCGAGGAAGAGGCTTCTCCAGAAGAATCGCTGCCGTCGTAGAAGATGATGCAAAATCTACACAGCGATCATAGACTTCCATTGCAAGGCGTGAATATTCGGCTGGGGATGGAACTACTAATGAATTGGGAGCAGCCACAAAATCCAGCGGTATAAGTTGCAAAACCAATTCATTGACTGCTTTCAGCTTCTTTTCGGACAATGACCTTCGGTAAAATCTAAAAAGCTGCTTGAAAGCAGCACAAATGTGGACAAGTAGAGACGAATTGTCGACAGGATAAATGAAGTACACAACAATATTCTTCTCTTCTGTAGTCATGCTTGAAAGCTTTTTGCTCAATCGTGCCATTATTTCCTTGAGAGAGCTTAGATAAACTGGATTGTTCACATTGATACTTTCTCGATCGTTTCCCTCAAACGGGTAATGTATAAGACTGCTGGGTGAACCTGGAAACACAATCCGATCGTGACCACCAAATCTAAATGATTCATACGCCCCTCGCATTTGATCGAGGAAAATATCCGCATTCTCGGTGATGCCTACGATATCCGGATGGATGCAAATAGCGTTAACATCTTTGTTCCCCGTGAAAGGTGCTAACCCTAAATTATCCCAGAAGTGTATCGCGGGAGGTAGAACCGCCAACTTAGAATCGCCTCTGCGTACTTCGAGCTTTGGGGGCTGAATGAGAAACGGATTGCTTGGTTTCAAAGACTCTGGATTCTGTGCTGCCCTGGGATTCGGCATTGGTCGGGGAGGTAAACGCAACGCCGGATTAACAACTGGAATTCCTTGGATAGCAAGATACGAACGTAAGTTACATCTTTTGATCTCTTTCAAGCATGCTTTCGTGGCTTTCGAAATCCCAGCCATCATCTTTCTGGTAGAAAAGATAGCTTGAGCATGAGCATCCGGATTTTGCCTGGTCCGGTCATGCACCCGAAGATTCCCCGATGCAGCTTGGTCTGCAATAATTTGAGCCGTTTCAACCAAATCTAAATCCGATAACCCGCTGGGCTGAATATCCGGGTCCGGAGAGGTAAAATAAGGCGCCAGAGACCAATCCGCAGGATCAGATTCAAATATGGGAATCTGTGGTTCAAGTATAGTTTGAGGTGTCCCTGCGGATGGCTCATACTCTCCGGTGAAAGCGTTGTATGAACTGATACTACCTTCATCGAAATAGCGTTTCCTCTTCATTCCGAGTCTAACCATCGCCGAAAGTCCTACCGGTAGCGCTTCATCAAAATCAGATGCGTCGCTTACACTATTGGACTCGTTGGCCAATTCCTGCTCTGCTTCGTTATCTGGCTCAAACTCATATTGTCCACTGTCATTGTTTAAGATTTGAGCCAACACGTCGGATGCTAAAGATTTGTTCTCGCTTTTCCGTCTGTCAAGAGATTCTGGGTTGGTAGGGTTGTGTGTTTCTAAGAGCTGTGGTTTTATCTCTTCCTCGGAATAACGATATCGGCCGTTGGAACCATATTTTTCATCAATCTCCATCAAAGAATGTTCGAATTTGACTTGATCAAATGCACTGGATCCGCCGGATAATTTTGAGGTTCGTTTTAGTAACTGATTGAATACTGTTTCTTTGTCGAAAGGTGCGCTGATGCGTGGGGGCGACCGTGGTGGAGCAGGAACTCCCAAGCTGTCGTTGATATTACGCATTTCGACATCCTTATCATTGGCTGGCAATCTAATGCGCTGTTGTAGGGCCGGTGGCTGTATATTGTCTTCAATCCACTGAGCATCTTCAATGATCGTGTCTTGTGACGTTGGCTGCGGGGCCAACGGCTTACTCGAAATGGATAGGTTTTCAATAATATTATGTTGAGCAGCGGGCGTACTAGTCACAACTGGAGAGCCCGGCTGCGGGTCCATTTGTATATCATCAGGTTGGTCAAAAAAATTAAAGTCCGCGTCGGTGATGTCTGTGTCACCAAACAAATCTCCTCCCATATCTCCAAAAAGATTGTCATTATCATTATCGTTTTCGTCAAAATTCATGTTGGAAATTGAGCGGTGTTTTTGTTCCGAGGTTACCCAATGGTCGGTGTCAACGGTGTTCATGATAGAGGTTCCTGGATTCGTTGCTTCAGGATCATGCGGGAACAAGTGGGTCGGGTTTCCTGGCGTCGTGACTGCACCGTCAAATGATGGTGTCGGCCCTCCAGGATTATGTACTGCATCAGGGGGTGTAGGATACATCGCGCCAGCATTGTTGCCTTTTTCCAGCAATGCAGCGGAATGGCCACTTGCTCGAAGGTTCTGTGCTTCCCTGTCGGCCTGTTCTTTAGCAGCTGCTAATACGTTCCGCTCCTGTTGCCTATTCAACATGATGCTCGCCTGTTTGTCCGCATTCATAGACCATTGTTCTGCAAAGCTTAGGGGATCCACAAGGCCGAAAGAATTCGCGCTTGAGGGTTGAATACCCACGGAGGAGGCTCTAATGGTTCTGAAGCATAGTAGAGTTGGCCAAGGTACAATAGCGCCATCGTCAGGGAAGGGCATATCTGCATAATCAAGATTTGAAGACATATAGTTGGTCTTCAGCACCTGCACAAACATCCAACCCCCTTCCTCGATTGATGCCGGATCAAAACCTTTGGTCGATAACCAATCTATACACCGGGACTGCCAGGACTTGATAGTAGTACCATGAAATCGCCAATTGTTATCTTCAGGATATTTTCGTAAATCTGAAATAGGCTGAACTCCGGGCAGTTGCTCGTCATCATAAAACGAATAGAATTTCGCGGGATTCCCTCCTGGAGCCAACCATAAGTCAGCGCCCTGGGATAATTTCCTCAGAAGATTCTCTGGGTTTGCCAGGCTTATACTTTGAAGACCAGGAGTAACGTAAGAACAAGCTTTTATCATCAGCGTTCCCAAGGAAGTAAGACTGATGTCTAGGTTGACAAGAGTGACTGTGTTGTCGGAAATCTTCGGTGATTGGTAATATGCCATTGACTTCGATGGTGATTCTGTAGGGAAAAGCAAGGTTCGGGAATTGAGAGGAATAAAGCCATGGCCACTGCATAGCCTATAGACAATGGAGCCCTGAACAGATGATATGAAATGCTCATGGATCTCTTTCAGAAACGCAAGGGTGTCCCCCAGACTGGTTGCCGACTTGACACCAGGAGATGATGCTGCCGGATCATACACATTTTGGGTCGAGTTTGCTTGCATGGCCCTTGCGTTGGCATTTTGTGCGTTTCGCATTGCATTTTCGAGAGGCGAAGGCGAAGACGTGCTACTCGGAGTGCTCAAGCTATTTGCCATCATGTATTTGCTTTTGGTCAGATTGGAAGGCTCATAGGTCCCTTTATCCTTCTTCGATAGCTCGACACCTTGCACAGTAGGAAGATTGGCTTGGCTCAACAAATCATCCCCTTCATCGAGAGGTTTATTTGGGGAAGTTGGACTTGGTTGGAAAACCCAGATTCCCTCTCGTTTTGCGTCGTAATAAACCAGTGCGCCATGTTTCCTCCATGCGAGTTCTACATCTTGTAAATGCTTTTTTGTTGTTGCAAGAGAAGGTGTTTGCCATTGGGTTTCAAAATATTCATATGCTATTGATGCAAAATTGTTCTGGATAGATATAGGAGTCAGTTACGAGGTCACTCTAGTCGAACCAAACAACATGACTTACACAAAACAACACATTGGTAGGTTGATCACCGAGATCCATATCGTGACAGGTCGTAATTCATAAAATGGGCATCCAGAATTGCCGATACGATGCGCCGATCCCCCCCCTCTGCCGCAACAAGCTATTTTCCCCCTTTATATACCCAAGTGATGCCGTGTATGTATCCAAGTAAGTTTGTTGAAGACCCTATCAAACCAAATCGGTGTATTTTAGTTGTTTGAGTCGAGGATCTTGAGTTGAACTCGCAGGGCTCCATCTCAAAATTAAGGTGTCGGCTGTCGCAGTGGCTGGCTGTTCGGCAAGGTGCGACTAACTGTTATAGCAAATGGCGGAAAGCAATCAAAGCACAAACATACAACAGAATAGCAGATGAATTGGGTATCTTGGAAGCATTGAGACTGTATATTGTAGTCGGTCAAGTTGCTAATATGAAGGCATATCAATACTATTCGAGAGCTCTTGATAACATAACAAACATGGTTCGGGGCATAAGGTCAAAACTACCGATTACTTCGGACTAAGCAATGCGCTATAAGTCATTTGAACAGGCTAATTTGATGATTTCCCCTGTTGAACCAATTGATATCGGCTGTCGGCCGCCGGTAAAAAGAAACCCCGAGCCGAACGATAAGAAAATAATTTCTAGAGCAGACCTTTTTCAATTCCAAAGTCTTTCGAGTGCGACTCTTTCAAAATATGGCAAATTAACTATTTTTTCTTATCGAAATAAGTTCATTTGGCTTCATCAACCGCCGTCATGAAGCTCACCAATCCAAATGAGACACCGGTATATACCATCTCCGGTGCTTCTACTGCACGCCCGCTACCTGACTGGCTTGCTCGTAAAAGAAAGCGCAGTTTGAAAAATGATCCAGAATATGCCAATCGTGTCGAACTTCTACAGGATTTCGAATTCGAAGAAGCCAGCGCTTGTATCAGAGTCAGTGAAGATGGCGAATGGGTCATGAGTACTGGCACATACAAACCGCAAATTCATACACATTATCTTCCTCATTTATCTCTTTCGTTCGCAAGACATACCACAACCCTCAATCATTCCTTCGTGCTTCTTTCTAACGACTACACGAAATCGCTTCATTTACAAACCGATCGCAGACTAGAATTTCATACACAGGGTGGATGCCACTATCAAACTCGATTACCTCGATACGGGCGCGACCTTGTTTACGACAAATCCTCGACGGAAGCATTAATACCTGCTGTTGGTGTCAATGCTGATGGACTCGGTGAAGTTTATCGATTGAATCTCGAAATAGGACGTTACATGAAACCATACCAAATCGATGTTGGCGGCGATGACCTTACAACTGCTGGTGGAGGTGCTTTGCAAGGAGGCATACACGCTGGTAGTGTCAATTGTGCAGTAATTGCCGAGGAAAGTCATAATCTTATGGCTTTCGGGACATCAATTGGTACGGTGGAGTTTTGGGATTCAAGATCAAAAGCAAGAGTAGGGATTCTCGCTGGCCAACAAGGGCAGATCACTGCGCTTGATTTCGATAGGTCGGGTATCTCGATTGCGACTGGATCCTCGGAAGGTTTAGTACAACTGTATGATCTTCGACGACCTGTGCCAATATTGAGTAAAGATCAAGGATACGGTTACCCAATCAAGACTTTAATGCATATGACTACATCTTCGCAGGAGAAGAAAATCCTTTCGGCAGACAAACGAATCATCAAATTGTGGGACGAGGCAGACGGAAAAGCTTGGACTTCGGTAGAACCAGCAGTGGATATCAACTCCGTGGCTTGGTGCAAGAATAGTGGTATGCTTCTCACAGCCAATGAAGGCAAACAGCAACATGCTTTCTTCATCCCACAATTGGGTCCTGCGCCAAAATGGTGCTCATTCTTGGATAATATGGTTGAAGAAATGGCAGAAGAAGCACCAAGTGAGACTTACGATAATTACAAGTTCTTAACATTACCAGAACTCAAGGCACTCAATCTGGGTCATCTCGTGGGAACTACCAACCTTTTACGTCCATATATGCACGGTTACTTTGTGGCTTCCAAGCTCTATGAGCAAGCCCGATTGATTGCCAATCCCTACATATGGGACGACGAGAGAACCAAACGAGTCAAGGAGAAGGTCGAGAAAGAACGAGCTAGTAGAATCAGAGGCGGCAAGAAGGTCAAGGTCAATCAGAACTTGGTTGACAAAGTACTCAAGAGACAAGAGCGTAGGGAGAAGGTTGATGAAACTGCTGGTGTCTTGGGTGACTCGCGTTTCGGCAAGCTTTTCGCCGACGAAGATTTCGCTGTTGATGAGCGTAGCAGAGAGTTCCAGGCTCTTAACCCTAGTACCAAGGTCGGTGGTGGTGAGGAGACCAAACAACGCAAAGTGGATAGCGAGGACGAATCGAGCGACGATGATAACGATAAAGATGAGATTATGTCGAAGCCTAAGCCAGCTCCCGAGATGCGTATCTCTTCTTCGTCATACAAGAAATCCGGCCACCAACGTAAGGACAATGCTTTGGGAGCTCGCACGCAAGGCACTGGCCGAGTTAGTAAAAACAGGGGCGATGTTGTTGGTGAACGCTCAGTCACATTCGCCCCCGCTGGCAAGAAGGATCAAGAAAAGATCGAAGCCAAAGCCCCCAACAGTAGGAGTAGACGCGATGATGCCAGACGAAGCGCCAGTGGCAATGTTTTCAGAAGATTGTAATTGTCCGAAGATGAAACTTCATGATACCCCTTTCATAATACATAACAGCGAGAAGTTCCAGAACTCAGAATCTGAATACCTGCAAACAATGCCTCCAATATCAAGCTCCATTATTTGCAGAACGACGAGACGATCCATATATTTCATCCAATTCATCTCATTCATCCCATGGGTATCTAACAAGAAAACACAAAATAAAGCCGTTCCAGCAGCTATCGGCGGCTCTCATCTCTCACTCCTCATCTTCCTCGCCCATTTCGACTTCGGCGCTTCCGACAACTCGAATTCCATCATCTTTCCTTCCCCTTTCTCGACATCATTCACACTCATAAATGTCTTCGATATCTTTGGTGCAGGCGGTACCTCGTCAATCCTCTCTAACCCACGAGTACTGGGTCTCTTATGCACATCCTTGCCAAATGTGGTCCTTCTGGGTGTCAAGGCAACCGCTACTTTGCGTGCTGAAGCTCGGAGTTTCTTGCGTACCTCCCAGGAACGCTTTTTAGCAAGGTAGAAGAGGGTTGCGGAGATTACTGTTTATGGTGTTAATTTATTATTTTTCATCGGATAAGTTTGGGATCAGCAATAGGGGTGGAGGGAGTTTTTACTTCCAAAAAGACATACGCCAATCACAGCAATAATTATAGCAATCATGACTCCATTCGACAACTGCACACTCCCACTCGAAGTTCCTGATGCACCCGCATCACTATTAACCGCATCACTCCCACCCGAGCTCGCGGCATCACCTGCGGATGGATCGGGGGCGGAGGGCTCGGAAGTTGCGAGGGCGGAGAAAAATGATGCGACGGAGCTGGAGGACATGGCGGGGGTGAGGAATATTGAGGTGGTGGGGGATGGTGTCTCTGTTGTTGATGATTGGGGAGATCTTGTACTTTGTATTGATGTGGATATAGAGGTTGCAAAGGAACTTTGTGCGAGGATGCGGCTAGGAAAGAGAAAGAGCAAGGAAAAGTTGACGAGAAATTGAAGATAAAAAAGGTCCATAATGAATATGAATATGAATAATGGAAAAAACCCTAGACCCTAACGAAGATTCGAAAAGCCAATAATACTCAAGTATGAAGCAAGAGGGAAATAATGAAACTCCTGACGCCGTGATTGTGACAGTGGCATACAGAGATGACACCGCAATGAAAAAGACCTATCAAATAATAGACGAAGAAAGGAGAACGCAACGCTGTAATAGAAAAAAATGGGAGGGGATAGAATGAAATGTGGAAATCTAGGATGATATATCTAGGTATACCTTGCTTGTTCCATGCTAGTGATTGTACGAGTAAGCGCTTTTGTTATTTTACATTCTACTTATGCTGGATTTGGATATACATATCATGTATGTACTCGAGTATTGGTATGTATATAATTATTTTCGGTATGAAACTTCCAGTAATGTTACTGGCGTGAGATGAATAGAGTTTGGGGTTTATGGAAAAGAAGGGGAATCATTCGTCTGATTCGTTGGGTGGAAAGTGAGTTTAAGCGCTGATATGTATGTTGGCGCTATTCATAGTGGGGTTTTGGACTGTGGTGTAGTAGTAGAGTACTAGCGTGTGTAAAATCATTCCAGTACCGCAGGTACCTAGTAGGTATATCGACTGACTCAAATGGAAATAGATTCTGTACATAGGTAGCTGTACAGTATATGCCGACGGCAGTTTTAATTTGGGTTTGGGTTTGGGTTTGGGTTTGTGAAGAAAGGTAGAGTATGATATGGTATGGTATGGGTATGGTATGGCATAGTATGGTTATGCATGCAAGTAATATATGTTGGCGAGGTATTTTTATATACATTCGCATATCTACAGCATGAAATTACTCCGCGAGATGTGCAACATAATGGATTTTGGTATTGTTGATTGGGTCAAGATTCAAATATAAGATTAGAGCCAAGCTTGGGGACTTTATATTGAGAAGATGGTGCGTTTTTGCGTTTCGGTTGTTGAAGATTCTGTATGGAGTAGAGGTTCCTCGGATATTGGAAGTGGTGGTGTTGTGATTGGGCATTGGGGGGTCGTAGAGGATTCTGTGTCGCGTCGTTTTGTGTTCGTTGATTAGGAGAAGTTTCGCCTTGTTTGGAAATTGGGTGAGGCCAAGTGGTTATTTTTTCAAACGGATTTATACGCCTGAGTTCGAGGAGTGTTCGAAGAGTTTTGGTGTGTTGAATGGTGGTGTCTGTACAAGATATTCATACCTAAACCGCAATTCCGACTTACTTTAATAAAGACTGCGTCTCAAAATAGATATTGGAAATAAAGATTGATGACCCGCAACATGGCCGATACTACAATGCTAGAGGATGGCACAGGTATGCATGCGGTGAAGTATATTTTCGAGTGTTGGTCCTGCCCGCAAGTTTTGCGTCGAGAGTAGTCTTGGGTTGAGACGACAATAAATTGCATTAACGAGCTTCTCCCTGTCGTTAATTGATGGTTTGGTATCTAAAGCTTATGATTCTGGTTGATCGAAGTATATGTCCATTCTCATGTCGCTCACCTGTCACGTGCTTGTGTCACACATAGAAGTATATCCTCATTTGTGAAGACATCGAGATGATGGAGAGCTGAGATTTGGAAGATCAGTCATAGCAAGAGACAACACCATGATGTTGGTTATCTACCTAGGTACCTTTTAGTTGGGGTTGGATGAGGTTCAGCGAAGACTGCAATGGGGCCAATTGCTTGTGCTGGCAGTTGTCGATGGAAAAGGGAAGGAACGAAGGTCCTCCTGCCTTTACGGTCAAACTCACACATCGTGAACCTAAATTTTATCTTTACCCCACATTTAACTCTGCTCATCTCTCAATCTCACAATTCAATCTTCAATTACTCATCTCCCCGTTGCCGTATACCTTTCATCTATTTCATATTTCCTCCACTATATACTTGAAGTGAACTACCGGACTTCATACTCTCGTCATCCTGGGATTAAAAGTTGTGCCAATCCCTCATTAGCGAACAAACGAACAAACGAACGAACGAACGAAAGAACGAAAGTAGATTGACTGAAGAGATATAATATCCCTATTTCTATCCAATTATTCTCAAGTCCGGTCGTGAACAATCTCCAGTCCTTCCCGTATGATTCTAGCTCTTCCGTGTACCCAGTCAGTCTTCTCTCATCTCCTAGGTAAGATAAGACTCGAGACCTGAGAATGCCTCATGTTAATGAATATCTAGTGATTCGTGTACCTCAACATGGCTTTGGACCCTGCCGAGCAGGAGAGCCAACTTGTGCACCCACTACATTCTCCTCCTCCTGAACAAGGGTATTTTGACGACGCATTGCGCGAAGGCACCGTTGCTTATCGTGATACAGGTGGTGGGCAGGGTTTCGACGATGATGATGAACAAATGGATGACGTTGATCCTGTAATGGATGGAATGATGATAAATACTCAAATGATGCCTCAGCAAAACCCTTCTCACAACTTTCGGCAAGAGAGTAACGAGTCTTTCGTTGCAGAAACTCAATTTGCAGATATTGAAATTGACACTCAATCAATGCGACATCAAGAGCAGTCTGTTCAGAAGGACACTCAGAACGCTAGTTTTAGCTCTCGATCCTTGGTTGAAGAAACTCAGTACGCAGATATTGAGATGGATACTCAGGCCACTGAAAATACTGCTCAGTTTGTAAAATCTAATCCATCATCTCAAAACCAAGCGATCCAGGGGAACGATCAACCAGTCAACAATTCCATTTGTCCCACCAATATGTCACCACCCAAACTTTTTTCCAGGCCAGCAATTGCGGCAGACCCCGCCTTCAAATATGCTATTGCACCAAATGCAAAGAAGAATCTTAAATCGGCAGTTCAGAATCCACCCATTCGAAAAGTTGCAGATCAATCGGAGAGATCTGCCAACAATCTACTCCCATCACTGGAAGGTAAGATATCTTCAAGAAACTATCGAATACCACTATGAAAGTACACTAATACGCCAGCAGCTATGCCCACGCCCGAAACATGTGCTGAACCATCGACACAGCCTGTACAACCTACGCGAATAGTGCCTTCTAAGGATTATAATATTTTTGCACTCAATCCTGTGTCTGGTATTCGTACTCATCCATTTGTCAAGGCATCAGTAGAGAAAGAAGAGGCTCCTACCGTTCAAGATACTTCAGTGGTCAAGCATTCATCCAATGCTCGCAATCTACCGTCAATGAATATGGTACATCATATGAGAAAAATGCCCCCTAAGATTCGCAACGCTTCTACACACCACTCAGCGGGCGATGTTCGATCCGGTCCATCTAACAAGGTATTGATTCCAGAAAATTTGCTTCCAGTTGTTCAAAATTCTTCAGCGGCCAACCCTCCCAATCAAACGCAAACTGAACATTTGGTAAATCAATTACCTCGGACCGAACAACTGCTTCCGGCTTCTCATGGCATCGTCTTGCCGTCTGTAGATAAACTTGACTTGTTGAAAAATGCGCAGAGATCTAATGATGCAAATGGGTTACCAGTGCCCAAACCTTCTCACAGTGATGTACAATCGACTGTGATATTCCCACCTCAACAAATAACCTCAACTTCAATCCATGCTCCGCAACGTTCCAGAATGAGACAAAAGTCTTCAAACCAGTAAACAAGCTCCCAGTTCTGACTCAAATTTATCAGCTGACCTTTAAGTAGATTGAACCGTTTCAGTGCGAAGACCAAATTCAATGTCAAGGGCAACATGGTCAAAAAAGGGCCATTTCCAGAGGCTGATTTGGATCAACCAAAAGGACAAGTACATCGGGATAGACTCGACAAGACTCAAGTACCGCCTTCACAATCAAAAAAACAATCCCAATACTCTGAAGCTCAGTTGGCTGGGAAAGAGTTGTCCACTCGGATCCATGCAACTGCAGAGTTATCGAATTCTGGGAGATCACCCACCGAAGATAATCCCACTCAAAACGATCAGCTTCGAGGACGGGCTATTCAGTCAGTAACAAATCCTGCTTCCATCCCACATTCTCGGATTAACGACTCGAATGCTAGAACGGAAGATCCAACCATGACATCTGTAGTATATGAAGAAAGCCTACCCCCAGAAGACTCAAGGAACCCTGGTCAATTCAGTCCAGTACCCCAGTTTCAATCAGATCATCAAATGGCTCGTTCTAATCAGCATACATCAATTTGTGTAGAGCCTGCCCGCCCTGTGTCACGAGCAAATATGTCTCGACCTCAGTCACGACCCAATTCATCTCGATCTCAGCCAACGGCGCGAACTCAGGCTGGACATCAGACTCAGCGAAAACCCATGATCAGGCCAGTATCATCACATGAGCTTGATCCTCAGGGTGTGTCTGGGTCAATACCGAGCCGCACTGGCCGTACTAAGGTTGCTAAAATAACAACTGTGCATTCTCGAGGTGACCAGATTCAACCATCTGAAACTGGAGATCATATCAGTAGCCAGCAGGAGAGATCTCGCATAGATCTTGGCGCGGTCCACAATGTTATTCATGAGTTTTCGATGCAACAATCGCTTATCGAAGATCAAAAAACTGATATCTTAAGACTCAATGCCAAGCTGCAAGACACGGAAACCAGATTGCAAGATAACTTTGCGATCAATGCAGAATTGAAGGCGGAAAAGAATGAGCTGTCAAAGAGAGTTGAGAGATTGAATGATCTGTCCAACCATTACAGAGTCCATTTTAATGAAATTGTCGTGTGCCAAAAGTCTCTCAGGGGTGATTCAACAGAGATGAAGAAAGCGATGAGAGATTTGGAAGTAGATTTGTTACTCAAAAACGAAGATACTAAGGGTAGAGAAGTTCAGGAAACCAGGATGCGCAACCTATTGGAGGAAATCAAGCAGGTTCAAAAAGAACAAAACCAGCGGGACTCGAGGAATGCAGACTTTGAAACTTTGGAGCAACAGATCAATCAGCTTGAGCGTGTTAATGAACTCCTCAAAGTTGATGTTAACTTGAAGCTGGTTGAACTCCAACGAGAACGCTTTACAATCGAGCAACTTCAAAAGCAAATGGCCAGTGGTGAGGTTGTTCGTCACAAAGAGGTCATGGATATACTTCAGAAACCTCAAGTTGATACGCTTGGAGGACTCACCAAAGAAGGTGGAATCCTTAACAAAGTTTTAAATTCTAGCGAAGGAGCTCAAAAGAAGTTAGACGAAATGTCAAAAACCATCACAAATACTCTCAATCAAAAATTGGAGTGGCCACAGACTCTGACAAAGATTCTCGAGGAATTTTACTCTAAAATTCAGACGACGCTTGACGACAACGGTAGCAAGGAGGCCATTTTCCAGGAGTCGACTGTCAAGCTCTTTGATGACATTAAAGAACGTCTCAATCAAGTCAATGATGATCTGGATGAGAAAACCAGGCTCAGTGAGCAACTCAACACGCTTCGAGAGAACAATGCCACTCTCAAAGCGAATTTAAACTCAAAGGAAGCAGAATCGGAGACAAATATCGCTCGGTTGAACGAGCTAACACGGGAACTTACAGATGTCCGTTCGCAATTAATGAGTAAGATCGAACAATTATCGATCTCAACTGCTCAACCGAGAGAGGACCCGGAAATGAAGAAAAAGGTCGATGATTTGGCCATTGAGACCTCAAAGCTACAAATCCTCCTCACCACTGCAAACAATGATAAACGTCAGGCCGAGAATGACTCACAAACTCATCAAGCCACAATTACTTCTACGCAAAATCAATTATGCAAGACGGAGGACGAACTGCGAGTAGCTGAGTCTGCCTTGGAAACATTGCGAGAAAACAATCTAAATTTTCAAAAAGATTGCAAATTGGCTACTGAAAGAGTACGACAAGAGACCACACAGCTCGCGTTATCTCAGAGAAAAGATTTAATTGCCCAGCATGACATCATCGTGAAAGACCTTAAACACAAGCAAGCAGAACTTCAGCAAAGATTACAAGCAGCAAACGAGGAATCAAAGACATCTAAAGAGACTACTGATGAACATGCGAAGACTAATAGCAAACTCGAGTCAGAAATAGCTACATACAAGGACCAGCTATTACAGCAAAAGCTCCAACTTCAAAGCTTAGAGGAAAGTCCTATCTCCGTTCCTCAATTGCTGAAACAAAAGAAAGAGCACGAACAAGAGATGTTATCGAATCGCCAAGAGCGGGCCAATCAACTTGCGTTATCGCAGGCTTGTCGAGATGAAAATGTTAAGTTTAAGGGTGAAATTGAAGGTGCCCAGAAGAGACTCCGTATCATGGATGAAAAAAATGAGCATTTGAAGAAGGAGAATGACCGATTGCGGCAGCGTTTGGACAGTATAAATGCGATGGCAGGAAACAGTCAAAATGTTCTCGACGGCTCCGGCCGTATCGTCGAGTCTCGACTACCTACACGCAGACCTGCTGAGCGGAGATCCAGCAATGTCCATAATCAGCGTAATGATGAAATCAGGGGGGGCGATCAGCGTAAAGCTCCAGATTTCAGTACTAGTGTAGTACTCACATCATCCTCTTCACGAGCATATGGCGACATTAATGGCGAAAGCCAAACTCCGATCAAACCCTTTTCCACTATCACTTCTCTAGGGTCAAGCCCTTTAACTGAGTTGGAAGATATCATGCCACAGGTACAATCTGCACATACCCGTGAGGAACTCCAGCGAGTATATAATAAGAATCGTCAGGTGTCGAGCGATAAGATTGCACACAGGGAGAGCGTGGTTCAATCAAAGTACTATCTTCATAGGGAAGAAGATCTTGACACTCCGAGTTCCAAGCTCAACAAAGTCATGCTTGCAGCCGAAGGAGAATTAGTAGATACGTCAAACCAAGCACCTAGGACCATTCCCTCGGTTGCACAAGAATCACACCAACGCCGAGTGAACAAACCACTGAGATCAGCTTTGAAGAAGAACGACCATCAGGATCCTCCTATTAATCTAAGTAGCTCGCAGGATCAAGGCAGAAATCAAAAGGATGGGAGAGCAACTGCAACTTTCGAAAAGCCGGCGCCAAAAACCAATCGCGGTCTTGATAATAGTCTTCAGGCGATGTCCAGAACTGGTGCCAGCAGCTACAATCGTATTGCAAGTGGAAAGCCGAACATTACTGGTTCGAGGGCACCAGAAGAACTTTCAAGGGCTGTACCTTTGTATGAGCCAATACCAGAGATTAGGCGGAATGCAATGAAGAGAGCGAGATCGTTTTCATCCCTTGTCGCTCAGAGCATGCAGCCAATCAAACCAGCGAAAGCACCAAGGCTGAATCTTTGTCAACCGATAAACAAAACGATTATTCCAGACTCTCAAGATCGATCATGAAGGGATGGGCTTAGGGGTCAGAAGCAGGCAGCACCACAATCCATACATGGCCATGGTATTCCCTTGCTCCTCGGATTCTGAGTTCGCTCGATCAGTGTCTAGCAATGGCTTCGACAGTTCTGGAATTCTTGCTGCTACCACGTGTCGCGCGCAAATGTTCGCACATTTTGGAAGAATATAATAGATGGAATGAGTTTGTGTCAAATCCGTCGCGAGAAATCAGGACTACATGTGGCATAGAGAGAGTGTCTCAACATACTCGACTTTGCTATTGGCCCTTGGCAATTGAAGGAAAAGGATATTGTATGATGGCAGGTGAATGGATGAAGTAAAAGGAAAGAAGATATTGTATGAGCTGATGTTGTTTAAAGTGATTCGCAAGATTTCGCTCATGTAGGTTAAAAATCTTAGATCAGCGCCGAATGGGCTCCATATTTTCTAGAAAATTTAGAAATGACATCAACAATGGTTATTATCCATCATTTGCATGATATCGCTAGAATGAAATGGTGATTGAACTGAATTGATGAAAATTCCCCATACGCCATCCCAATGCATACATACATCCTATTCGTACAGTGTCAAGTTTTGGTTGTAGTTGTACACTTCTTTCTTTCTTGTTTGTTTGTATCTTTGATCCCTTCGTTTTCTTAACAATCCGGCTGCCAACTCAATACGTCCTATGGCTTGTTGTGGAATGTAATACGCAAGATCTCTACTTCTCCTTTTTCACCCTTTGCTATCAGCCCCTTTCCAAAGAGATCACCCCTCCCCTCCCCCCCTTAACCCCCCAAATAAGCAGTAATAACATCCCTATCCCCTCTTATTTCGCAACCAACTCAGCTCAACTCAGCTCAATACAACGTCTTTCTACTCCTCTTTCCTTCTACTCCTTATTCCTTCTGGTATCTTATCTTATTCCTCGTCCGTTTCCTTTTGGTCTAGTATCCTAACTTTTTTTTTCGGGTTTCATTTTTTGGAGCGGATTGGGTTGGGTTGGAGATTGGTTTGAAGATTGGTTGGTTGGTTGATGGATGGATGGATGGATGGATGGATGGATGGATGTATGGATGGATGGGTGGATGATCTATTTATGGCCACCGCCACGCTTTTGCTCGAGGAATAGAACTTGTCTGCGTACTAGATTGAGGGGCAGAGGTGGTTAGCTTGGGTTTGGAAATGTGGTTTGTTTTTGGGGGGTTTGTGGGGGTGTGGGGTGGAGGGTTGGAGGGTTGTATAGGAGATGGGATTGAGGTGTAGATAGAGGTCGAGATGGAGGATTAAGTGAGGAGGGTTGCGGGTTGATAGTGGTTGGTCGTGGGTGGGTAGGTGGGTGGATTGTATCGTATTGTATTGTATTGTATAGTATGAGTGAGGATGGAGGTTTGTGGGCTTTTGGTTGTGGATCGGGAGGTGAGTATGAAGCGGCTGTTGCATTTGTATTGGGAAGGGAAAGCGGATGGGAGCTTTAAGTCGGTGGTAGAGAGCGAAAAGGAGGAAGAGAGAGGGGGTTGCTTCGAGATTTCGAGATGGGAAAGAATTGGTGCTCTGCAAGTCGGGGTGTATGATTGAGTATAGCATGAGCGCCATCATACTGAGCTATAGAGGGGCCACCCACGGTTATCCCATATAGACCTGATTGACTAGTGTTGCGCTGCGAGGTGAAGTGAGGTGAGGTGAGGTGATGTAGGTGATGTAGGCGATGGCTTGGCCCTGTGCATGATGCGCAGATCGTGGAGAGACAGACATCTCGATTGCGCTACGCTTTTATTTCTTGACTCTCCCTCGTTCGATGTATACCAGAGTGTTTGATGTTGTGGCCCTTAAACCCTCATCTTCGTTGTCGCATCTCTCTCTTTCTCTCTCTCCCTCTCTCTCAAGCCAATCCCTCACTCCTCTGTTCCTCCAGTTGTCCTTCTCCATCCCCTCCCCATTTATTCAACCCCTAACTTCCATTCTTCTCTCCCTCGACCTCTCTCCGTCCCTCCACGCCCCTCTCTCACCCTATCTTAACCCCAATTCCAACCCACAAACCAATTTTTTTTTAAAAACCTACCAACAGGATCATACTTCATCATACTAAGCGGACGATGCACACGCGGTCGAATAAGCGTTTTGTAATAACCGGTTAGAGCCATGGATATGAGGCGCACGGGAATTGTGCGGGATTTGACTGTTAGAGGGGGGGAGAAGGTGTTAGTAGGGTTTTGTTTTGTTTTGTTTTGTTTTGTTTTGTGTTGTGTGAGAGGAGGGGAATTGGGGGGGGGGGATTAAGAGGAAAGAAGGGGGGAGGGGAGGGTGTAAAATGTGGGATTGTAAAGTATGAGTATGAAGTAACAGAATTGACAAAATCAATTGCGTCGCAAAAAGAAAAGAAAGCTAGGAGGAAAACAGAACATACCTTTCTTCGCCATCTTGAAGACTGCGGGTGAGTAGTGTAGTGCGGGGAGGGGGTTTCTAGAGAGGGGGAGGAAGGACGTGTTGGATGGATGGATAGATAATATGAGGCTGATATAAAATTGTTTGGGCGCGGTGCGGGATTTGCGGATTGGGGATTTGTTGCCTGAGGCATGGAAGAGCCTTGGGGATGGGATGTTGGTGGGATGTGGGATTGGCCGAGGATTAGCCGCTGCTCAGTCACGGTAAGGTAAGGGTTGGTGAGAGTACTGTGTAAGAGATTTATTTATATGATGTAGTTTGGTTAGGATAGCTTGGAAGGCATGGCATAGAATCATATTATATATATGGACATAAAACCTATACCTGTCTACTAACTATTTCACCTCATGAAGTAGATAGCGATGTGCAAAAAAGAGGAGAGGAAAGGAGGAGGGGATTAAGTGAGATCACATGATGGAATAGAGAGATGATTTGACTTGTGTATATGTACTAGTAGATTGATAGTCTATTACAGTACCTATGTGTGTATGAAAATGGCTTGGAAAAAAAACATTGTGGTTTTGGGGGGAAGAGCTGGGACGTAGGGGTTTCTGAATAGTGTGGTTTAGTTACTTGGGTTGTTAGAATAGGTATATCTAGAAAGGTGTTGTATTGATACTATGAATATATGCTGAGTACTTGAAATGTATGTACTCCAGTACCGGTATGTGTCTTGTAAGTTAGATGCTTATTGTGATAGATTGTGTTATGTCCTGTTGGTGGGAGAGATTGTTTGTGGTTTTGATTTTGGTTTTTGATTGTGGTTTTTGATTGATCTGATCTGACACTTTCAACACTGGCACTTTCCCTATAGATGGTTCATTAAGAGTTATATATTGGATTCATCGGCTCCTCACCTGAATACCTAGTATTAGACAATTGTTGTAATTAATGCAATATATAGTAACCATATCAATCTCATCAATCATATCATATCATATCATATCACTCACTCACTTCTTCTCGATTCTCAAAGCAAAGTGGGTCTCGGATAAACCTTAATCAGATCGGATCAGTAAAAAGTTGTTATCCATGTCTTAGACATCATCATTATTATCACTTCATCATCATCGATATATATAATAACATCAACATAACCACAATATTATTATATTCTTACTAACACTTATTTCACATTGGAGTTACTGTTTGTCTATTATAGTATTGATATCATATATGGAAGGATTTGAATCATTTCTTCCAATTACACCTAGGTACTTATAGTACATCACAGAATCTCCTTCACATGTCATCTCTACTTCACCGATTGAGGTTTGGATAATTCATAACAAGTCCAAATCGATAAGATATTACTACTACTACTACCTACCTACCTAGGTAGTTATTGTACCAGCATCATAGTTAATGCTTGAGTAATAAGTAATTACCAGGATTTAATCCTATATAATGAAATCATATAGTGATTGATATGATTGGTCGATCCACATTCTCATTACAACCGAGATCATCTGGGGATGAAGATCGAGGAACATAAATATCAAACTACCTAGACAACTTCTATCACCTTTATTAAAGATATCCACTCACATATATGCAATTCTCTATTTACCTATCTCATATATTTCATATATTTTATAATATATTTCACACTAGTTCCAAATTAAGTATAATGATTCGACTTTTAGATACTTTCGTTTACCAATTTTATTCCATACGACAACCAGTACCCCAATTCCTTTAATCTCTCCCCCACTTCGGCTCGAATTTATAATTTAAATGTTTAAAAGTATTCTGAGGTCAGATCATGAGTAGAAAAAAAGAAAGAGAAGAAGAGAAAAAAAGAGAAAGAAAGAAAACATGTCAAGAAGTACAAGGGATTTCATCGTATCACAATAACATCATTCAGTCATACCTTATATATTTCTTTAGAGATACTTAATTCATCATGTTAAATCCTGAACATGAGGAACAGCTCAAGAAGCTCAAAGAGGTGAGTCTTTTTCTTTCTTGTTCTTGTTTTTGGAGACTCACTCATCTTTTCTACTCATCTCATCTCATCATATCATATCATATCTTTTGGAATGGAAGCTTATTCTTATTCTTAAATCATAGATTCAAGCACTCTATGCCGAACATGCAGCCACAACTCGAAATCAACAGGACAAGGACAAGCAAGGTACCACTTCTCGACCCGATAGTAGTGGTTCTACCTCTTCGGATCCTATGATCTTTCCGGGCTTATATTCTCCAAGTGGTTTCGACGTTTTGCAAATTCTGGTACGTATATTCGTCTTAATTTCCTACTGGGAGTTTATGATATAAAAATTGCTCTCGCTGGCACTTTCTACTCCTTCTTCTCCTCCGAAATCTGTGTTCTAATATTTCACAGTTTCAAGTTCAACGACGCCCAAATCCTACTTATGCCTTGGGAAATATCGACAGCGGCGTCGCATTAGTCCTCTGTGATTCCTCCCGTCCCCATTGTCCCATAGTCTACTGCAGCGAGCCTTTCCAGCGCCTAACAGGATACTCTCAAGCGGAAATCGTAGGCAAGAATTGCAGATTCTTGCAATATCCATATGATGCGCATACCTTCGAGAAGCTAGGCAATATAGCTACTGCCACCACTACGGATCTTCAAACCCCAATTCCTCTTGACGATCCTAATATGGCCGGGAAGTCCATCGTCAGAAAGGCGTTGGATGGTAATCTGGAAGCACAGGTTACACTGGTTAATTATAGGAAGAATGGAGAGAGATTCTTGAATATTCTGACGACGGTGCCGGTTAGGTGGACGGCGAAGGAGGGTGAGGTGCATAATTATATTGTGGGGTTTCAGGCGGTGGCTCCGCATATGTTTCGAACGAGGGGGTGAGGCGAGAAGGTTCCGGTTCGTGGTTTGTGTATGCTATGGTTTGCTATGCTATGCTATCGATCCGATTGGTTCGTTCTTTTCTTTCAAGTCTCGTCTGATGATTCTGTTCTGAACTTGGTATGTTCATAGTATAGCGTTTCACTAGAATTAGCATTGCCAGTGGATGAGATGGGATGGGAACTCTCGAATTCTTTGTTGTATTTGGAGAACACTGGCATTAGCATTGCTAGTAGATGGGATGGGAACTTTCGAATCTTTTTCTGTATTTGGAGGATTGGTTGTTATCAGCTGGTGGACTTTGGATGATAACTCACAATGTCGAAGGGGGGATTTTGCGGTCATTATTAGATGGTCTGGACTTTTTAGAGTATAGTGCTTGGAATGTTGCATGGTGCGTGGGGCATTGATTGGTATGATAGGGATGGTAGAGATGAAATGGGATGGGATGATAGATATGGGATGGATGACTGGACTGGAATGGGCTGGGATGGATGAACTGGACTGGACTGGACTGGACTGGCGCAGGAGGATGGATATTTGATGCAACAAGGGAGTTTACATGGGGTTCTCATCTGGAGATATGGAGGGGATACAATAGCAGACATGAGGATATAAGGAGAAGAGGACAAGTAATTACATACGGAACTCTCCTCCCATCTCATCTCCTCTCCTAACCTTTCCTCTCATCCTCATTCATGATTCGTCTCCTCTCATCTTTCCCCATCCATCTCTTATCTTTTCTTTCCTTTTATCTTTTCTTATCTCATCTCATCTCATCTCATCTCATCTAAAAGTAAAAGTAAAAGTAAAAAAAAAAAACGTATATTTCAAGATTCAAATCCGAGTCGGGTAAATAAGTGTACATGAGATAGGTATATAGAGATGAGTAGGTAGAGATGAGATGAGATGATAAAGATGAGATGAGTTGGTAGAGATCAATATTAGTATTAGTACCGGTATTGGTTTAGTATTAGTATTAGCACTAGTATTAGCACTAGTATTAGTATTACTATAGACTAGTGAATTAGTAAAGACTTTTTATAAAAACTACTCGAGTACTAAATTTGATAGTATAGGATTCGATATATATATAGAAATAGAAGTGGTAGAGAGGGGGGAGGAGTGAATAGGAAGTAAATAAAGGAGTGAGTGAGTAAATAGAAAATGAAGAGAAAGGAAGAAAGGGAGAGGGGAAAGGGGAAATGGGGAATAGGGGGAAATGAATAAAGATGGAAAAGTGAGTCATATTAGAAGTGAAGATTTAGATTAAAGATAGATGGGATATTTGGTGTGTAGTAGTTAGTATATCCATATCCTGATGGACTGAATAGATACTAAATCTAGATATTGTACTGGATTGGGTGATGAAGTGAAGTGAGATGAGTTGTGAGTTGTGAGTTGTTCTTATGCTGGGGTGGATAGTCACGGAGTCACGTCTAACTCTGAAATCGCTTCAGTTGATAAGGCTTAAACTTAAGCTCATAATCATCATATCGAAATATACATCTATGTACTGGTATTAGCAATATAGATAAATTGGACGGTTACAATTATAATTACTCGAGTATAATAACCTGAGATGACTTTAAGATTGCGATGCTTAAACTAAATTGATATTCTTGCCAGTGAGAGACTTGATGATATGATCCTGAGACTGCGATTAAGAGCTTGAAATGAGTGCTCCAGTGATATTTATTCTTTCAAATTAAAGTATCAGGGCTTGGGATATAGAGACAGGGCGGCATGGTTCGAATAATGGGCTGGGATATGGGGAATGAGAGAACAGAGGGACTTATAATAGGAAGATTTCTAGTGAAGGATTAGATATATTAGTACGTTAGTATTTGAGTAGAGGGTCGGTTTGAGAGAGAGAATGGGGGGTTATATATGTATTGGTTGGTATTAGTAAATGATAATGGAAGATAGGAAGGATAATACAAAGTTTGAAGGGACTAGTGTCACGGTTTTAATATTTTGGAATTGATATAAACTTTAGTAGGTTGACTGTTCTAGGGATTATATTGAATAAATTAATTTTAGTCATTGATGAAATATTCCAGATTCAGTGCTAAAAATCTTTTCTAGACAAAATGTTAGTGAAGTCGATGATTAATTCTAGACTAGTAGTGATTTGAAATCACGGTCATGGTGGAGTTATACTCGATATCTGGAGATCAAAGGACTCGATAGCGATATAATTTGTTCGAATCTCGATTGTTGGTTTATAGTAGTACCCAGAAATGGAGAGATAGTTGATTAAGTTGGGAAATCACTATTTAGGTCACGATATTTTTCGAAATTATAATTATAATTCAAATAATAAAATATAAAACTTTTTTATAGAAACTATATACTAGTATTCTTTCTTAATTTTCGAAAGAATCTAATTTCTAATCCAGATCATTCAATTAGAGATTAACATTTCAAAAGAACCATAATAGAACTACTCTAGTCCGATGCAAATCGTTACGATAGTTAATCGTTAGTTAATTATCGCTTAACAACTATATCGTCTATTAACTATACTAATAGTTAATATAGATAATTACTTATTATCAAGATAGTCTACTTTAATTAATCTTTGTCTAAAGTATATAAAAGACTTTTCTACTTGAGTCACAAATTAAGATAGAGATCGAATATCATTAATGTAGTCTTTACCGTGACACGCACTAGTAATTCATACTCTAATCTGTCTTGGAGACTTTAACCCGGGCCCCCTTAGTCACGGTATACGAGAATTCATAATCGATTAATGAAAACTTGAACCTGTATATGATTTTTCTAAAAGAAGTTGCAAGTAGCCGAATCTTCCCTTTGAGTATTACTTCTGTAGTAAGTTCCTCTATTCAAAAGCTATTCGTTAAATATGAGGAGTATAATAGCATTCGAATGAATGAAAATCGAATATATGAGAATGCAGACTAGTCCCAATTCCTATAGAGAAAATGATTTGGAGAAAGGAACTTTGTAAATAGATGAAGAAGAAGAGGAAGGGAAATGTTTTTACGTGAAAGATGAGAGGATAAGAGATAGTATAGGCTATTAGAGTTGGTATGATAGGTAGTGAACAAATGACCTCAATGACATTGTTAACGGGCGTCGGGCACTAAGATAATCCTTTTTATAGTATAAAATACAAAATTTCCTACTTATAGAAAACATATATCAGCATTCCTGCATTCATTGAAAATCATATAAGATGTTATAGGTCGATAGAACATCGATCAATAGAACATTAGTCTATTTGACAAATCATATAAATATCGAATATATAATATATCTCTTTTCCTTTAGATTAGCCTGCCTATCTAAAGTAACTTGAACCTTTGATTAACAAATATACCCGTTCTCACTGATTCGAAATATGTTCGGCTATAGTTAGCGTTTTGTATATATGGAAAGCGTATAGATAGTCAGTCTTATCTATATTATATAACAGTGGAGTTGTATACTAAGAATAAGGAAATATATAGGATTAGACGATTGACTCTTGATTTGGAAAGTTCATAAGGTGTCTAATTAATGTTTCAATGTATACTTATGTGCTGATAGATAGTAGAGCTATGGAATATTCTTATAGTAAATGCAAAATTTGAAAAGATTAGTTGAATAATTAGCTAGGATTTCAAAGGCGATGAAGGATGTGAAAACGGAGATATGATTGATTGCGATATATATAGAATAAACTGTTTATTAGTGCGCCGTCTACAATTATTGGAATTTTAGTTGATACTTCCAGAATTCTTCAGGATTCTGTCACGGTCTTCTACCTGACCGCTCAAAAGACTTTCAAATTTATAACTCTCCAATTATCTTGACGATAATTATCTAGATTTGGCAATCTAATCTTGAAACATTTGAATTCTCAAGCTGATGGTTTTATTATCAATAGTAGCGAATTAATTCTGACTGGTCGTACACAGATAAGCGTCACGTTATTCCTGGATTGAAAACCACTTAGTTTTATTAGCTATTAGTGGTTCCGCTAGATCGATATCTCCTTTGACCCTAGTAGGTCTATATTTTTGCGGAATGTTATTTCCGTTTTCTTCCTCGGGGCTTCAGGTTCCATGTTTTAATATACGTTTTGATATCGCGAGGTTTTGAATATTAGCTTCGATTATCCAGCTCACTACAAGTTGATAAAGTTGTGGGAATGGATGCCAAAAGCGAAAGAAAACCTAGATTGATCTGTACATTGTCGAAATACTTTGAATGCGTGTGGTGGGAGTTGTTTAGGGGAGGCTGACGAAAGGAAAGTGTCAAGAGATTACTGAAGATGGTGGAAAATGAGGTTTTGGAACTTTAAATTGCAGATATGAAAGTATTCGATTTTGCAGGTAGATGGAAATGTGCTAGATTTGTTAGTTTCCCTTACTAGCTAGGGTAAATCAATGCACTGTTCTTACCTGCCTTGAAATGTTCAGTCTATCTCGCTTGGCTGCAACTTGAGTTCCGAGAGGACACGAGGAAATATTAGGTTTGTACCTAGCGGTATACTAATATAACCTAATCGCTACAGGCACCTCATAAGAAATTTCATTTTATTATACAAGGAATTAGACTGCTATAGCAAATTTTGTGAAACTACGAAATCAAAACCTAATTGTAGAACATCCTTGACTATAGTTCTTTATTATTCTTATATAGTAGTTCAATTGACATTACTCGATGTTTAATCTGAAATTAGTTTGTTTACAGTAGCTCTAGTAAGAGATACACTCAGCTTAGCGGATAGCTACCATGTGGCTAGAAACCTATGAGCGGAATCTAGCGTGGGCCGTCACTGATACCGCTAACAAACAGTGAAAAGTCACACCCACGGAGTAGATACGTTTAAAGCATCGATCTATAAGCCTGAGCCAGTGAGCCTTCAGCTTTCTCATCCTAAACCAATCCTTCGATGTAACATGTGTTTACTCTTTTTGATACAGCAATTGATTCCAACAGCTTTCAAATCAGACAGACATCAATATTACACTACAAAAAGTGAAGTTGTCGTTTGGTCACGGTTAAGGATACCAGTGCTACTGCTTCGATCATTGGGTAGTTCTAAATTTTGGAGATCGTTATTGGGCAATTTGTCTGTATATATATTGTTTCTCATCGAAGTGACTTCTAGTTGCTACATGGAGTTCTTCAAAAAGTTCCTCCAAACAGAATTCATTTCAGTTTGGCAGACCAGACGCGTGGTTATCTTCCCACGGCTGATATCATACTTCGAGATTTGTTTTGTACAAAAGCATGTTATTGTGTATTCAGAATAGACCTTGTGAAAGAAGTATTCTTGTCTTTTAGTTGAAAAAAGTTTGCAAGTGCTCCTTCAATATCAGTGTCACTATTACATATATCATTTTTTTATAGGCAAGACTTGCTTCAAGTTGATGTATACTGGGCGAATTAGTTACTGCATAGTCTTCTTCGTTTCCTAATAATATTTGTAAATATCTCTTTCCACAAGTCGCTTTGTGCATAGTCAGTATACAATCAAATGTTCGGACTGTGCATACAAGACTATTATTACAAGTATTGAACTATCGCTTGCTAGAAAAGGAGTTCTCAGAGGTACTTCATAACTATTTCTAGAACCGTTAAATCGAGATTCAATATTCAAATTTCAAAAGATTTTCTAAATACAAAATGCAGGCCAAGAGCACAAACGTAGGATCAACCTTTTGGAGTTACAAACAAAAGAAAGTAGCGAAATATAATAATTGAGCTGTCCCTTCCTGATCATGGGTGGTGACTCAATCCTTAACAACGGAACAGGTCTTCAGTAAGGACTTGATCTAGCAATCCAGTAACCATAGGACCATGCAGCTCATGAAAATTCCGAGCACTTATCCCTATGAATAATCTTTATCATTCTGTCAAGGCCTCCATTTCCGTCGACGATAACTTTTCCCCTTTTGTAATACGAGCCATCTTCATGAGCTTTCCCGGATGAATGATGAGAAAGATTAAGGACACCAAGCACATCATTACAGCATCAAATAGATAGAGGAATATTTCTTTGTCCCCGATTGTCCCCTTGTGTGGTTGTCCATGGTATTCGAGGATCCCATCAGCATTTCTTGAAGCATACGTAACCCCCGAACTGTTCACCTGTTGCGCATACTCAACCGCACGCACCAAATTCCGGACGATTAGTAGCGAGCTAACTGCATACAAAGCTCGGAAATGTTTTTTCCATCCGCTTTGCAGGTAACGGTTGCTGCTCGAGTAACTTTTTTGACTCTGCCCGAAACGGGTCGAGATGCGCCAAGCCATGTAAAGGAAGAAGCCAAATCCTATAATTTGGAATATGAGGCCTCCAAAAATGACTTTGTTTCCAATTGCGATGACTTGTTGCTCCCCCGAAGCTTGAATACCTGCGCCGGCAAATTGACTGAGAAAGCAGATGACGTCGATTAGGACGTATATTTTGGTCAACCACTGTGGTCTGATCATCGAGTGCTCCTCTGCGCCCAGAGCGATGGTAATTCGTGCAAGGGTCATGTAGACGGTAGCTGCGAGGAAAGTCGGGGCGCCAAGGATAAGAATATTTTGCAGTATCCAAGGACCGATGCTGGCAATATTTTTGTGACACAGACTCCTGCCATAGTATCCAAATGTTTCGCCTGCAATTATTAGCTCAATTTCTGAAGTATTCTGCGACTGATAGAGACGTTTTGACAGTCTCTGTAAACTGATACTTACATATTCCACCCAAGATGAAGCTGACAAAGTACCACGATCGCAGTGGAAACATGTAGATGATATGCGCAATAGTGAGCATCGCGAAAAGTGCCATAAAGCCATATGCAGCTGGTAGGGAGGGTGTGTAAGTGAAGAATATGGCTCCCGTGATATTTCCTTCTGGTGATTGAATGAGTGATATCCATGATTCAATATTTAAAAAGAAATTCTCTGAAAAAGGGGGAGAGATAAAGAATAAAGTCAAGCTTGGGATTAAATGAAAAGAGTGAAATTTTTGGAACGAAAGAGCGCGAGAGAGTTGGTACATTACTGATAAGTATCTTGCGGCCGAATTATGTTTGTGATCTACTTTACCGTTATAGGCCACTTATACGCAGTACGAGAAGCTAAAGTCAATACCGGTACACTTTACCAATCTATTAAGTAAATACCCCTGACATCTATAGCCCTATAGTTTCTGGCCATTGAGGTCGCAGTTAGTGAGAGTTAACGTTCAACGACGATAGACCCCCAATTAACTGTGGCCTACCTTTTTGGATTCCAACATTTTTTGGCCCATGGCCCAATCACTGATCGTGATGATAAATTGATGATCTAAACCAATTTGTTACGCAAGGGTAAGTCAATTCGGGACGATTTGGAGTTAAGATGGTTAGTTAACAATAGGTTGAATTAAAGCATTATGAGAGGTGAGCATTACTTGGCTAAGTGTTGTGATATAAACCCCTTCACTTCGCTTCGTACCTAACTATTTTAGATCTAACCCGATTGATATAAAGCTAAACAGATAATCTGAGGGCTAATTCGCTTTAGGAAGTCAAAAACGAGTACGGTCAAATCGCACAGACCAAAATACACGTTTTGCTCCACCCACACGGACCAAAAAAACGCCTCATGGCGCAAGACGTGGGGGTGGAGGTATTTTGCCTTCGTATCTCGTATTTCGTTTCCTGAAAGAAACATACCAGTGTGCACTCTCCAAATTTGACACACGTTTAAGAAGTACCATGCAGCCAAGAGGGAGATAGTAGTCTCGACAATCGTATACAAGACCTCAAAGAGTACTCGATAAACGAAAGCAAAAACCAATCGTCTTTGTTGTCACGTTTCCCGTATCGCGACCTCTTTGGGTATCTATCATCTTTGGTCATACTACACGCGAGCGAGGACCACCGGTAGTCGTTCGTACATACATCTGTTCAAGGTGTAGTACGCGACTGCGTAATACGCTTCGATGATCCGAAGACCCCATACAAAGTCCCGCCATGGCTGTTCTGGTTGTAAGAAAAGGCGTATCAAGGTATGCTTGTAAAGAATGAAAATTCATTGCTTCTCTTAACTCTACTTTGGAACTCTTCCGCAAAACTAAGCATGCACTTCCTCTGCACTTTTCATCGGTCACTGACATTCTTTTGTTTTCGCTCGAAGTGTGATGAGGAAAAGCCACGCTGTCAGAAATGTATCTCGCGCGATGTCAAATGTACCTACCCTCAAATACGGTCTCTGATCTGGGTTGATGACGTCCCCGCTTCTGCAAAAGTCAACAGAGAGGGCAAAAAAGACAGCAATGATCCTTTACCTCCAGTCTATAGCTTAACCCCTCCGAACGAACAGTCTTCGACTGCGAACACCCTCAACCTCGAAAATATAGATCTCATCATCCATTGGTTCACCAAAACCGTCCATACAGTCAATCCAACCTCCAATCCTGCCGCCGTAGAAATATGTCAAACTCTCATCTTGAACCAAGCAATGAAACACCCCTTTCTCCTTCATGGACTTCTTGCACTTTCCGCCCTCCATTACGCCGAGTCCCATGCAGATCCTCAAAAGTATATCGAAATAGCCACTTCCCATCACACACAGGGTCTTACTCTCTACCGCTCCATTCTCCCCAACATTAGCGAGCAAAATACGACCGCCAGTATTGCCTTTTCGAGCCTCACCGCCATGTTTGCTTTTGGTCTTGCGCGGCCTGTTTCTGTGAACGCGGAATCAACGGAATTACTTGACGACTTGGTTCAGATATTTGTTCTAGCAAAAGGATGGCACACAATTGTCAATGTAGCAGGAGCACTACAACCTACAAGAGCATCAATTTTCTTGCCTCTTCCAGAAATCAAAGACAACACGTTATCAGCAGATGCAGAAGCCGCTTTTAATCAACTCTATGCTCTGAATCAAGACCAAACAATACCATTATACACGCAAGCGATCTCATCCCTCAAAACGGTTTTCCAAAAGGTAGAGCAAGGAGAAAATGATAATCCGCATCTGGCCCTTGAGTGGGGAAACTCAGTAAGCCAAGAATTCATGCAGATGATCAGGACACGAGATAGCTTGGCTTTGGTGATTGTAGGGTTCTCTTGTGTGATTTTTGAAAAGGTGCCGCAGGTATGGTTGCTGAAGGGTTGGAGTCGAGGACTTTTTGGTGTGGTTTGGAGGGAGGTGGATCCTGTGTTTCGTGGGGTGTTGGAATGGCCTAGAGGGATGATTGGTTTTGAGGTATAGAGAGAAACAGAGATGTATATTGGGATACAGTGGGTTGGATTTTTTTTGCTGGGTTTTGTGCTTAGGATGGATGATCGTTGGAGATCTTTATGGGAAATGATGTTTGGGAATATGTATCACATTTATCGCAGTTATTCTAGGTAATACAGTAGGATTGATTTTCACCTCTTCTCATACTCGGAGCCACAGCTACAATACATCACATCAGTTCGTGTATACATAAAGAGTATACATGAATAAAGTCATTCAATTCCCCTCACAAGCAATGTTTGCATAAGTATTTCCTCCGTATATAGGCCTATTCAATGATATATATGTATTGAATATTTCAAAAATATGTATATGTGATATCAGATTCTATATGAGTAAAAATGCTGAATATTTCTACGATATTTCTACGGTATTGAATATTACTGAAGAGATACGGAAATACAGGAATATAACAAATTACCCTGCATTTTGTCGAAATTTGAGCTATTCCAACTGAATCAAGCTATTATATAACCGATCATATGGTTATAGCTCAAAAGATAACTCTTATCCCAGTGGGTTTCAGTGGTTTCGGTATTTTTTCTAACATTCCTATATAATTGATTGAATAGAAAATTAATGATCCTACGAGTGACTATTCTTTCACCATCTTCTTCAGGATTACTAGCTACTGTTATTGTTTCTAATGTGTCTAGAAGGTGAGTACAGAAGAAGATATGGAATATTAGTGCAATACTAAAGCTGTTGATGGGCTACTTACTACTTGTAAGTAGTGTTTACATTAATATACGGGTAGTATTAGAGAGACATGTATTAGAGATTTGATATAGCATATTGTATATATTAACGGCATATAAACTGATATTTAAATATTCCATCTAATACTGAAACTTGAGGCAATGTCGTGTAATGAATGAGATCTCAGCAACACTCAAGTATAGCAAATAATAAATAGAAAAGAATTATAAGAATATAGTAGAAGGATATAAATATAGTACAGTAGACTATTACTACATTATCAGAGTAAGAACATGAATACATAATCCTATAATTCATTCCATTCATGAGATATTCAAAACTTAATAGATTCCCCCCCGTATGATTCAAGTCCCTATAGTATTTCCTCTTTATCTTCCTACCCCCGAGCTTCGTGTCTCCGGGCTTGAAAATGAAGTATTCGTATAATTCTCATTCCTTTTCCCTTCTTTGCAAGTTTCTCCTTCTTTTCAAGCTCTCTAATTCGTATCTCGCCCCCGATAACACCCCACTAATACTCCCCGACAAAAATAATCTCAGTTCTGTCCCTCTCCTTCTTCCAAATCACCACTTTCACGTCACAGTCGTCGTAACTGTCCCTTCCCCCTTTAATATTTCCGCCTATACCTCAAACTCCGCATCTTCTTTCCTCTCTCCTCTTACCATAAGTGTCCACCCCAGTACTCAAATCCGCAATAACAGTTAACCGGTCCCTCATAATCAGATAATCTCCCCCCTCCTTTGCAAACCGGCAAGGAAGTAACAGAGCACGAGGAGAGATACTGATAGAAGAGGGAGTTTCATAATTAATAGTGCGGATAATAGGGTTGGAATATATATTAGAGTAAAGATGGGAATAAGACAGCGAACCAGTATTACTATACTAGGTCTCCCGGCGCAAAAATCGACACGTTATCTCTATTCTTCAAGGTCATCCAATGTATGACTAGGACACCGAAGAGTACTTTGCAGATAATTAGCAGTTTACTCGGATTGAATAATAGAATTGAAAAAGTAAATAAAATATAAATAAACAAAAAAGCTTAATAAAATAAGAAAAACACAATGAACCAATCTATTATCAATATAATTAATTTATAATACACAAATCAAATCTACTCCGTTTATTATTAAGTATTAAAGATGATTTCAGGCTTCTTTGTATATTATATTTTCATAAGTATTAGTATTAGTATTAGTATTAATACGATTCTGCACATCTATCTTTTACAGGAACTGGCAGCAGTGCATACTTGCTTGCTTAGATAACGCTCAAGGTGAGGTGGGTGAGTGTACATTGTACAACAGGTTTCGATAAATGTACGGAGGGCGATGGTGTGTGTTGGTGAGGTGAGGTGAGGTGAGGTTGTGGGAGTAGAGGGCTGTGGTATGATAGTATGTGATATGATATGATATGACGGTAAGTGGGAGGAAAAAAAGGAGGTAGATATGTACAAATGGATGTTTGTAGGGGATCATATAACGGTATTACATTGCAGTGAAACGAGAAATATAATTCTTAGATAGATCTAAAGAAGAGTAGATAGAGAAGTCAAATTTGGAATTTAGATATACGGGATACTGAAATTGAAATAGGGGTTTCGTTGACGAGTATATCTATATCGAATGCTAATAGCAGTAGAGAAACAAATCTTTAGATATATATAGATGAGTATAGAGGTAGGTATATGAATCGAATGGGATAGGAGAGTTGTGAATAAATAGGTACATAGATATAGGATGAGATATACAATGAAGTATATCATCACAACTTTCATCATCCCAATATTATATTCACCATTCGTCATTCACCCTTCACCATTCACCATTCGTCATTTTCAATTCTACAACAAGCAAAATCGACTACTCTTAAATCAACACAATCTCGACTATACTATCCTCTCCTCTACAATCCTCTACTATACATCTAGCGCGATTCATACATACCTACCCATAATTATATAAATCACAGCGCAATACAATCAATCATAGCACAGTACCTAATTAGATAGTATATAAAGAACCAAAAACTTCACCAAATATATAAATTAAATCGAATCGAATTATATAAGACACAAATTGAAGAAACAACTTGAAGTGAAAGAAATTTGTTATTCGTATACTGTATGAGTACTCGAGTATTTAGATCTTATTACTGTATTATACTAGATAGAGTCTAGGAAAATAAGATAGATTCTCTATTATGAGGTTTTTTCGAATTGAGAAGGAAGTAGATGGATGGATTGAGAAGTAAGAATTGAGAAGTATGAATTGAATAGATTTCAGTAAAGACTCGAAAAGAAAAGAGAAATAGGGAGTGAAAAAGTGAAAGCAATAAAATTGAAAAAAGTAAATTGACTAATCTGATGCTGCGGAGATAGAGGGGTTTGATTGTTGTTAATAAAGCAAATGAAATAGATTTGTGGTTTTGAAGTTGTGCAATCGATGGAACTATATCTGTGAATATATCCAGTCCTATAATGTAAAACTTCTAGGAAAATGACACTTGTCGGTTTTTGGGACTAAACCGGGCAAATATACAACAATTAATCATCTTCACAGACCCAGTTTCTATTCACAGTACAATGATTCATCTCCTTCAAGCTACCCTGTTGGGATATATACTGTATAGTGATTGTATAAATAACAAACTTTTGGTTCCAATATACCCCTACCCACTATTCCTACCTATAACTATGACCCGGATACCTAGTATTCTCTTCATAGCCATCCGACTTACCACTCTGTTGTTCATTCAAGCCAATATACACCACATCATCTTTCCTACCCAATTTAATCGCCCTCTTTTCATCCTTTGCAGCTTTACTATCCATTTTTTGCAATCTCTTCACTCCCTTCTTTTCTCTGCTCGATAATCGAGGATACTCACTTCCTTCCCCGACTAATATTCTGCCCGGATGTACCATATTGATCAATGCGACTGCAATTAACATGGGTAAAGGGTCTAGAACCATGAAATACCATTCATGATATGAGATTGGGTTTGGGTTTTCCATTGGATCGAAACCGGAGGAGAATTCTATGAGGCGGTAGATGATTCGAGTGGTGATGAGTGCGAGAGAGGCAAATATCATGGAGAGGAGGGGTCGCCAATTGCGATGTCTTTGGTCTAATATCTGGTTGGTGCTGACTCCAATGGATTTTTCGCGTTGCTGCATGATGAACAGGAATTGTATGGCGATGGCTGTAGAGATTACGATGCATAATTCTTGGAATGCAATACCGCCCATGTAGATGTGGATACCAATCTTTAGGGTGGTGTGCTCGGCGCCAGGACTTATTAACACAGCACCAGCAACTATATCATGAATTAGCGGACATCTAGTAAAGGAGTTGGTATCGTTTACGTTGCGCTATGAAAAATATCACATCAAGCCATATAAAGACCTTGGCTATCCGAATGCCCCTCATGCCCCAAACCTTCTGGTCAGGAATAAAAAAGTAAATCATTCGACCGAGAACCATATACACAAATGCATTGATCCACAGGGGAGCCAATAAACCGAAAATTCGAGAGACGGTGGCCAGAACAATATTTTGTTGCATCTTGGTGCTCGCTGATCGTATGGCAAAACTCACTAGTTCCCATACACATCCCATGATCAATACCCAGCATAGTCTCAACTTCTTGTGATAGAATGCTTGATATATATGGGCTATTGTAACTATGAAGAAAAGTAGTGTAAAAATGATTGCGGCGGTAAATGATGGATCGAAGTTATAGTTGGCATCTATGATGGTTAGCCATCGTTTTTTTTTTCTCGAGAAAAGAAAAAAAAATCAGAAAACTCACTGCAAGCCGATGCAGGTACATAACCATTCTTATCTGGAGTGAGATTAATACATGATGCTATCGCAGATACCGTTTCAGAGGTACTGTCGACCATCATCGTCGTGGAAGACATAGTTATCGAGAATGCGGGAAATCCGAGATAGAGGATGCTAGATTCGCAGCTGGCCGGGGACAATAACAGAACTCAACAAGACCCAAGGTTTGATATAGGATCCTCAATCCCTTAGAAAACTAAACGCACCATAGCCATTGCTTGAAAAGTTTTCAGGACAAGGTCAACTACAACTCAGCCAACTTGTAGTAGAGAGTACAGTAAATGATCCAATTAACAAGACTCATTCACAAAGATTCCACCACTTTTGCATGACCCACATAATCCCGATACTGTATGCAAAAGGAATTCATCACCAAGGATGAGGATGAAAAATGAGTAAAGGATAAAAATAATCTAAATTTTCACGTAAAGATTGATGATAACAGAACCAGTCCGCTGGCGAAAGGTAGACTCAGCCTAGTTCAACTTCAACCGTTGCCCCATATATGTATGATCTTACCTATGAGTTGTCTGGGAGCGCTAACTCTTCGACTTGGCATATACTGCACGTGACCCATCTGGCACCTCCGACAACTTGGAGAGGGATATTTTGACTTCAATCCGTAAAAGGTCCACAGAGAAAGCTTTTCAGGTAAAATCAAACATCTTTCTTACCGGAATTACCAACCGTCTATCTGCTTTCAAGAAAGACTATAATAAGGATCTTTCTGTTTCGTACATCACTCCCAATCTTGTCCATTCTGATTGCATACCCATCGAGGAGATAAAACATGAAATGGAGATTACTTCAAGATCCAGACAAACACTGATTTTCAATGTTCGAGAAGCTCGAAGAACTTTAAAGGTATTATGGAATCTTCAACAGCTGAATATCTAATTATCGGTTTGTCCTCCCACACCGAAAGGAATCTTCCGAAGAAACAGATTGAGATCTTACTGGTGTAACCGACCAGGAAGTTGATTCCAATTTATCTGCTTGCGCTATTAGAATGAAATTAAATCCCTCTGGCGGAAACGAATACGACACGAATCTCAAAATCAATGGAAAACACTTTTCATGGATTCTGTTTATCCGAAACGGCCATTTCGATTCAATTCTTCAATGAGGTATTTTGATCCCCGGAAACCTACAGATCTAGACTTCTTTGCGATCTCAACACTACCTATCTAGGTACCTAGTTTCACAACATGTTCGAATCATTGCCAAGAAACGTCAACGGTATGGGAAATCATCTCTAGTCATCCAAGCTAATGAAACGATTGGTGAAATGCAAACAAACCATGGATAAATAAAGTTGCATTTAAGCTTCCATACCAAGCTTTATTGCCAAGCCGGGATTCATTTTGAAGTCTACTTTCTACAATTTATACCTCATCTCATCAAAGAGAGGTTTTTTGCGAAATTACGGTCTTTGGATATTCTTCAAGAACGAAGATGGCGATGCAAACGCCATCAATGAATAGGTAATATTGATGAATTGGATTTTGCTATGTGCCCTCTCCTTTCCTCTCCTCCAACTTACTTAATAGCATTTTGGATATCAACACTTCGAATTTTGGATTTTGGATCCTTCGTATTGGAATATATTACGATATACGTACCTAAGTATAGCTGTTACAACACAACACACAACACACAATACCAGCAGAACACATCTCCTAATTGACAAAGGAACATCTATTTCTATTTCCATTTCCATTTCCAACATCAACTCAGCACCAACGTTACTTTACTGACATTGTCCCTCCCAAGCCACCAATTCTTGTATTTTAAAACACCAATCTCACATACTTTTCTCACATACATTTCTCACGATACAATACTCTACCACACTCTCCATCATATTATCCCCTTAATTCTTCAAACCATCAGTCATCCATCCCTCCATCCCTCCATCCCTCCATCCATCTGACCAAACCATGCCATGCACCACCCCGCTACACCGCCACCAAACGAAATTGCTCGAGCCTCACTCTAGACTCTTTCTGCACCATACCTACCTTCCTCGTATCTTCCTCGTACCTTCCTCCACTCCCCTCTTCCCTCTCCTTCTCCCTTCTAGCCCCAATCAATATCCACATATCCACCCAATCAAACCCTCTCACAGACATCCTTACAGACATCCTCGCCCATATCCCCTTTCCAATAATACTCGAGTAATAATATAACAATATAATTATACTTTTACCATATAGTATCACCATAGTACTAAGCTTCGTTTCAATATTCCATACAATACCTAGGGAAAGTTGGGAAACAAGCAAGACCATACACCTACCATACACCTACCTAGTAAATACATACAACTGCAAAGCGGGCACACCGCTGAAGAAAGAGAAAAAGAAAGAAAGAAAGAGCGTCGGTGACTGACTCTTACATGAGACTCCTTTACTCTCCTCTACTCAATTCAACCCTCTAATGTTCCTTCCTACCCTACCTACCTACATACCTACCTACCTACCTACTTAATCCAACCATGACCCATACCCATACCAATACCCATACCCATATATCCAATTGAGTCAATTAGGATTCCTTCTGTATCTAGGTATTCTAACTACTGCACGAGTAACTGACCGACTAATTAAGAAATTTCATTCTCTGTGCCACATATTACTTTTATTTTATCTCTCTCTCTCCATCTTTCTCTACCTTTACCTTCCTCTCCCTTTACAATACGATTCATACATTCACTTACAAGTAACTTTTCGCTGCCCTGCCCTGCCCTGCCCTGCCCTGCCCTGCGGTTCAATTCAATTGTGCCATTAGTTCATTTACGAGAGAGGACTGTCTGTGTCTTTCCTTCACTTCATCCTCTCATTTCACTCACTCACTCACTTACTGGATCTCGGGTTTTTTACATTTTATATTATTCTATCATACTTTTCTTTCTGTTCGATGCTCTGTTCGATGCAAAGATAAGATCCTCCTCAGAGTTCAAGTCAATTTACTCGTACTTGTACCTGTCTGGAATACTTATCTTACTTCCTGTTTGTATTTTGTTGTTAGATTAATCAATACAATACAATACAATACCTCCCTGCACATCACATCATATCCGAACCGCATCTACACCCTCACCACCATCACCACCCTCACCACCATCCACCAACAAAATGACCAACCTCGACGACGATTCCCCCCACATAACCAAAATCCCCCTCGAATCCATCTCCAAACTTGCTCCTTTCTCCGGGCTCATCCTCTCCATAATCCTCATCCTCTACTTCTTCACGCGGTACTACCTCCTCGAACCCATCATCCTGCCCTACCTCTACACCACGACCTTCACCAGCATGCCCCCGGGCACCCCCCTCCGTCTCGGCTTCATCAACCACCATATAGCCGGACTCACCAAACTCCTAATCCTGCTCCTCGCCGCCTATCCCTTCATATCCGTAACCTTCCTAACCTCATCCTTGCACACACCGTTTGCACCGGGAAGCGCCGTTACGATGGGTGACATATTGATTATTGCGGCGCAGATGTTGATTGCTATGTATATATTTGAGTTGTTGTATCGACCGAAGATTAGTCCGGTGAGCGTGGGGCATCATGTGGGTACGATTTTGGTTGGGCAGAGTGCTATTGCTATTAGTTTGGATTTGGTCAAGGAGAGGGATGCGACGATTGAGTTTATTTTGTGTACGGTGTGGGGTACGTCTTTCTCTTTCTTTCTCTTTCGCTTCCCCTTCCCCCTCACCATCCAATCATCTCTCCCACTCTTCCCAACCTCACCCCCCACTAACCCCCCTCCCTCTCCAGGAGCCTTCGACATCCTCTCCGAATTCCTCCCCCACCTAACCATCATCCTCTACCGCGTATACCCCACCTCCCACGCCTTCCTGCGCAAAATTTTCCGCATCGCCGCCATCACCACTTTCACAGGCACCATTGCCGAAACGATACTCACCATGTTTCTCTTTGGAAGTCTGTGGGATCGCTGGACGATGGCTTTTAAAGTGGCGACGCCCATGTTGCATGTTGTGTTTATGGCGGCGCAGCTGTGGGGGACGTGGAATTTTGTAGGTTTGTATAGGAGGCAGGGGGTGTTGTTGGGGGAGGTGGAGAAGAGGAGGATGGGTGTTGATGTTGAGGAGGGGAGGGGGGAGGAGGAGGATGAGGATGAGGTGGGTGGGGAGGATTTGAGTCTGAGTCTGAGAGGAGATACCTCTTCGAATGACTTGGTGATGTCTGGGAGGGAAACTCCTATATCAAGGATAAGGTGATAAAGGGTGTGGTGGTGGACATAAAAGATCTGTGGTGTTTGAGGTACCAGGGCGTTATTTCGAGGTATATTGATATTGGGATATGGCATAGCATTGGTGAAAGGTGTAGAATTGGAAGATATGATGGACGGTTCATGTATAGGTATGTGAGGAGTTTCTGGGATTCATCAATTGCACATGTATGATAGAAAATGACTGGCTTGTATAATATAATATAGATTGATAGAATTGGTTGATTGAGCTAAATTATTGGACCTACCTATCTATGAGCTACCGAAAAGGATATCTTTGAGAGATCAGTGAAGATTTGGCACGTCAACTTGAACAATGTTGTGCCAATCTGATTCTGGATATTAGCAGGCGCATGCGATGCACTGTGTATGCCAACCAACGTCCACAAGCATCCTATCCGGAGGTATCCCATGCATACATCGCCCATCCTTATCCCTCAATCAACCCAAGTATCAAAGTATCACACCCATCAAACCACAACATCGTTTCAAACCTAGAAAAAAACCCTATAATAATTCCAGTTAGTCTCAATCCAATCCAATCAATGCACACCACAAATAAACATCATAGAATGAATGGAAATAAGATAAGAGTAAAGGGAAATAAAATTCAATCAGAAGCTGAACGCGTTCTCAGCAACTGCAACTTGTGCATCTGAGTGAGCTGGGATAACGTATGAGTTGCTCATCATTTTGTATTTTTGCTTGTTTGGGGGATGGAGGATGGGGAAGAGGGCGATGCGCCTTAGCTTGGCTTGGCATGGGAGGTTTGAATTGGAGGGTAGGAGGTTGTGAGAGGGGGAGGTTGTGACGAGGGAGAGAGGTAGAGAGGGGAGAAGGATAACGTACGAGTTGTGGTTGTGATGGGTGGTGTATAGGTAGGGAGGCGGTTGCTGTGGTTAGTGAGTGAGTGTGCGAATCACATTTCGAACCTTTCGTCGTTTTCGTGTAGAAGAGCAAATATCCAGCGAGTGAGTGGGTGCCAATGCAATCGCAAAAATATATGCGTGCCAGTTCCATTCATTGAGCGCTCAATAATCAATGAATGTCCGGAAAGACGAAAAGCAAAGTTCTTGCGACATGACAATGACATGATGAATGGTGCCAGTTGCGCGAAACAAACTTGCTCTAACCCATGGTTGTGCTTGGTGATGAAAAAAGTTTGTACATGAAGCTTGGATTTTGGAAAATATAGAGAAAATTTGGAAAGGGCGCTAAGGTTTTTTTAGTGTGGTTCTGGGTGTAGTGGGCGCTGGAGCCACGCCGACTCGCCGAAGTACCTGGGGGTGTGGATTGGGGAATTACTCGGTTCACGCCGCTGTTGATTTGGTGAGAGTCATTATTATCAATGCTGGAGAATCTATTCTGTTGTGAAGGATTCAAAAATTCGTATTGTCTGTTTAATAAGCCTGGAAGAAAAGAAATCGAAAAGTATAAGTGTAAAAGCTTCATTTGTTTACCCAAACTGTATTTGATAACTATGCATATTTCCCATTTTATCTTTCTCTCTTTCTCCTATCCTAACCTTTCCGTTCCCAAATCCTAGCTGTAGTAGCAGCTTCCATGTGTCATACCATCATCATGAGCATTATTTTAAAGGGGCGTATATCATTCAGTCATAAAGGAGTCTATTCCAAGTATTCATTAGTATATGATGATGATTCCGGGCCTCATGAGGAAACACTCACGTATTCATTACAAAATAAAATTCGTCAAATCGTGTGACGCTTAAGCGTCAACGGGAGCAGCTTCACGCTTGTAGGTACCGTATTCGGCATATGAACCGTAGCCAGTTGGGGTGGGGGTTGGAGTTGGTGTGGTGGAGGTGGCGGATGGGTAGTTTTCGTAGTTGCCGTCTGTGGTGCGAAAGAAGAATGGGTTAGTGGTGTTCAATGGGGATTAGGTTGGATTGATAAGATGGAATGAGATGGGATGGGATGGAATGGATAATGGATGGAGCCAAAAAGTCACAGACAGTCTCCGTAGTCACCATCTGAGCGAACAGAACGCAGAGTCAGCATTGCTCGGGCGAGGCCCTGAGACAATTGAGGACATATGAGAGAGTGCAAGCCTGACGTTGAGAAAAATGAAATAGGGGAGTAGACTTACAGTCACCGTAATCACCGTAGTTTCCGTAGTCTTCTGGCTTGGCTTCTGGAGCACGTGCTTTCTTGTTCTTGTATGTTCCGTCTTGGGAAATCGTTAGCTAATGGTAGTTTGGGTGATGAACCTTTACTTACATTTTGCGTATGAACCATAACCAGTTGGAGTTGGAGTTGGAGTTGGTGTTGGTGTTGGTGTAGCAGACGAAGAGCTTGAAGAGGTGGCTGTTGGGTAGTTTTCGTAGTTACCGTCTGAATGATCATAATGTTAGCACTGTATTGAAATGGCTCCTGGTTTACGAACAGTCTCCGTAGTCACCATCTAAAGGGGATTAGGTCAGCATTTCATCGAAATATTCCAAGAAAGAAATTGATCTGAATATAAAACCTATGAAATGTATGAGTGATCTTTGATCTGACTTACAGTCTCCATAGTTTCCATAATCGTCACTCTTTGCTACTGGGGCAGGCTTTGATGCAGCTTCCCTGACTTTCTTGTCTTTGTAGTTGCCGTCTATCGTGGACATTAGTCATGTGAATCTTGAGGACCTAATGGGTGTATTTGCTTACAGCTGGCGTATTTTCCATATCCTGTAGGAGATGGTGTAGGAGTGGCCGATGAGGAAGATGATGGGTAGTGGTCATATGTGCCATAGTTTCCGTAATCACCGTCTGAAAACATGTGTCAGTGAATTGCTTCTGCATCCTCAAAATGGTAGACTTACAGTCACCATAATCACCATAATCCGCTGGAGAAGCTTCAGCTTTGGCTTCTGGTTGAGTCTCTGCAACAGGTGCAGCTACAACGCCAGCAGCGGCGAATGCCACAAGCATGAGAAAGTCTTGTGAGAAAAGCATATTGAATGAGATTTGTTTGAAGTAGATTGGAAAAGATAGGGATAGCAATGAATAATAGGAGAAGAGAGAATGAGGATGAATGAGAATGATGATCATGTATCGTGGGGTGATAGATCTTAAATAACTCTAGATTATCATCTCCCGTCTTGATGTATACCAAGTATTGTCAAAGATACCCATCTAGATACATCTAGCCGAAACAGGCGATGCCATCACCCATGCAAGAAAAGCATTCACTGTGTCTATTCTTGGTTTCACATTCTGTTGGCCAAGTTGTCGCTTCTCTTGATAGGAAAGGTATCATTCCCACGTCATGATATCTGCAGGTTCCCACTCGGGCCAACACACCGACAACGACATCAACAGTTCTTGAGCGATATAGTAACCCAAAGACGTGATGGAAGTAAGGAGTACGAGATCGATAAGATACATCCCGCGATTTGTACGTAGGGGAACATCAGCTCACCAGCTCATGTCTTGCAATACCCACGCATCGCGGCATCGCGTAATTCGTATCTGCATAGCCACTTGGTTAATGGTCTAATAGGTGTTGCCAACATTTGTTGTCGCCGCACTTATTTTCATAAATCCCCATGATTGGGAAGCTTATGTGAGGTTGGAATATGGTGTAATGGAGAGAGGCTGCATAGAAATTGCGGGGTTCAACATCTCAAAGTCGTGTTGGATGGGCTCGTATATTCATGAGCTGCATACAGGTGACTGATACGAGAACGCACGAAGATCCATTCTTCATAACCTTGGCATTTTGAAGGACGGGATAATTAAGCATATAAAAAAGTATCAGATTATGGTCAAATGCTTATTCCGTCTTCTCACTACCGGTATATCTCCGTTATGGTAAGACGAAAAACATGGCAGTGTTTAACTGATAGCGTCTGTATCTCATCGTAGAGGTGCCTTATTTTGACGTGAATCTGTGTCAATTTGATGCGAAGTAAGTTATAATTTAGAAACAACGATGCCAAGTAAAAATGACAACACAGTGTTGAAGAAGAGTTGTCGGTTGTCGGTTGTCGGGCCCTATTGTTCCATTTTTCCAGCAAATGTGACACTAAATTTATAAGCGATATGCACCCTATAATCCCTGAATATACCCTGTAACTCCCCCACTAAATGATGATTGTCGATCAATTTACCGAGGTCAGATCTCTACTGAGTCTACTCTACTCGTACTCCGGTAGGCTTCATGGGATTTCCCACATCTGTAAGTCTAGAACATGCGTCATGAGTATTTCATTCTGGTGCCATGTTACCATGTTACTACTCTACTCAGTAAATCGGATCATTATTTCTATTTCCATCCGAAAGTTGTAGTGTAAGGCTCAATTGAGCTTGACTAGATAATTTGTAGTAAGTAACCTTACTAGGTAAATCTTCACTACTTGGATGGCGAAGTAGCTGGTCAAAGTTAGACAGAAAACCTTTTCCTAACCTCACATCATTCATCTCATCTTTTTCTCTCTCATTAGTTCATTCGTACGAGTTATCTTGATCTAATATTGATTGTCTCATACATCAATACATCGAATGTTTTGATTGCTGTTGACAATCACCTTCCTTCATCTTGAGATTCTCATTGTACCCCACCACATCCATCTATCAATATGTCTTATTCCCCATTTTCAGACAAGTACAACCAAGTACCTCAATCAGAAGATGGTGAAGGATTACTCTCGAATACCGGGTCAACATATAATAAGCAACCACCCAGGCGAAATAGCATTCTATGGTATATTCTATCACTGCCAGTGATATCGTTGTTGTCCGTTGCTTTTGGTGTATGGATCGGTGCTCGATTTGTGGCGAATCCGGCGAAATTATGTCCAACATACATGCAACATTATTGTATGACCTTCTAGAATCTGACCTCTTCATCTCTCAATCTAATATGAAAATAGCTCCTGTTCTGAATGATATTGATACTTCATATAAGCCAGTAATGTTCAATGGATCATTTATGAAGGAAAATGCATTTAGATTGAAAGCAGGGCCTGAGGTGGATGAAGCGTGGGGAAGTTTAGGAGTGCACTGTAAGTCCTCTCTTTACTTTATCAATTGACTTGCAACTAAAGCTCACATTCCATAGATCGAAGTTTCGCATTACCGGCGAGCGAGGCGGAAAAATCTGGATTGACATCTGCTCATGTTCAGGTGAATGAAAAATATGGCGGAGGATTTCCAGTAAATTTAGAAGGACTTCATCATCTACATTGTCTAAACCTTGTGAGACAATCGCTCTACTACAACTACGACTATTACCACGATCAAGGAAAAGGAGCATTTGTGAACGAGGATAACATCGTTCAATACCACGTCTGTAAGTTTACCCACCCACACATCTCCAAATCCACTCTTCCCCTCTACTCCCCCCATCTCTCACTCACAGCACAATAAACTAACACCCTCAGCTCATTGTCTCGATATCATCCGCCAACAACTCATGTGCCAAGTCGATACCGGCGTCCTCGGTCAAGTCTGGTGGGATAAATCGAAACCCCAAGCTTTCGTAGATTTTAATACTGAACATCAATGCAAAAATTTCGATGCCATAAGACAGTGGGCGGAGGAGAAACAGATGCCGGCGACGGGACCGCCGGATTTCTTGCAGAGACCGAAGAAGAGTGATGTTCTTGAGAGTATACCGTAAATGAGATAGGATGGGATGGATGGGATGATGATGGGACTTTAAATGATGTATTGATGGGATGAGGTTGGGTTGGATATTGGATATGGTGTTTTGGACGGGGGACATACCGGTACTGGGTTAGATCGGATCGGATTGGATTTGAATACCTAGGAAGCTCTAACGAGTAATATCAATTGTAATATTCAGAAAGATTGCTATACAGTAGGTACTTCCAGTGAGATGTAGTGTAGTGACATTATACTATCACCATAATCATCCAAAGTTCCTCTCAACCTGTGCACACCTCACTCCTCTTACGTTCACTTCTCCTACCTTTACCCCACCACTCTTTTCCCCTCTTCCCAAAAGCTATTTTTGCATACCGGTATCTGAAAAAAAAACATATAATAAAGTTAAAAGTTTTGAGTTTATATGTTTCAGAAACACACACCCCCTGAACCCCCATTAGCTAAACCCACTAACTAGCTCCCGCCTGAAAATGTCTTTGGAACAATATCACAAAGTAAGGTTACACTGGCATACATAGATAGACTGCGAATAAGAAAGAGTTTTGGATTTTTGGATTCTGGTTTCTGTGGTTGTTTATTCGTACTGGTATTGTAACAATACTCGAGTATTTACGCTGATGAAGAATAGGAAGGTGAAAGGTAGCCATGGAAAGGAGTGAATAGGACAAAATGTGAGCACCCTACCTAGGTACTTACTAATTAGAAGAAGAAAAGGAAGAGCTTGAGGTGTGCTGTGTAGGTAATCAATCAAAATCTATCGGATACAGTACATAAAAGAGGAACGAAACGAAGCTTCTTCTGATACTTTTGGGATAGTAGAGCGCGAAAGACATGTGACATGGGATCTTATGGGGAGAGAGAGTGGGTGGTTGATTGTGCTTTGATGTCGTGTTTGATGGATGCGATGGTGTGGGTTATTTGCTGGCTATGTAACGTTGGGTTTGGTTTTTTATTATGAGGTACTCATCCTATCTCATCCTTTCGGTTTTCATTGCCACTTATATATATAGTGGTTCTTTTACTGTTACATTATTTACAACACAAGTGTTGTCAAATACACCTTTTCTAAATATATAATCAGATGAAATGATACAGTCAGTATCAATACCCAAAAACCCAGCAACTATCTCAAAGCCGAATTCGTAACGATCTGAGAGTTATGCAAGTGCATTTCTTCTTAACAGGTTGCCATGTGGGATCTCATGCAGGGTTACTAATATAGGTATGGAATAGCATCTCTACTCTGTCAAGTTGCAGGAATACAGTATCTATTTATTCTCAAGTAACGGTATTCTTCGGCCCAGTGGTCTGACAACGGATGTGTGATGTTGGTATTCAGACACTAGTACGACTCAGTATTGAGATTCAGGTACGAGGTTTGCGGTATTCACTTCCTTGTCTAGTGATGGGAAATCTCACGATGAGATTATATATTGTTACGACAGGTTCGCTCAGGTTTATGGAAACATCAAAAGGGTGGATCCCTTGGGTTTCCATACAAGGTTTGGAGGTCAGAAGTGACTTTCTTGTATGGTATTGATTAATATTACAAGTATAGATACAGATACTGACGTTCCTTGATGTGGTTTGGGATATTGATAGATGGGAGCAGATCTCCTGGGCCTACTTACTATTGTCACTTTGCTATATGGGAGGATTATGGTTATTATTCTACTCGAGTATTTGGTGGAGGTTTGGTATACGTTGAGTAATTGACAATCGACAACAATCATATCGTCGTCACTTGATAATACAACACAGCTTAGCATAAAAAAGGGTTGCAACGCCATATACCTCAAACTTGACATCTACTTTTGGAGCGGTTTGGCCCTTTTGAATAGCTATACTGATTCAAGACGAACACAGAATTTAGCAGATCCAGGGACTCTTCTGTCGATGCATGTTGAAGATTACATGAGGAGTGGCCTTTAGGCCTTATATAACATAATAATTGTGGTTGGCAACACTCTCGCGTAGTAATGGGTGCATTCACTTTCATGGATTCGGAAGTTCTCGGTAGTAGAAATGCAAGTGCCACACCTTGAGGCTTTGCTCTCTAGGGATTTCCTCCCTGTATTCTTATTTAAACCTCATTTCACGTTTCATATTGTATTCTGGGATATCATCGTTACGCAAGTCTAAAGATTGAAGCGCTAATGGTATTTGAAGGATCTTTGTTTCCAATATTGTTGAGTTATGGTGAGACTGTCTTGTTGTGGGGGATGTTGTGCTTCCAACCCGCAGTATCAAAAATTTGTTTGTTGTTATTTTTTTGAAATTTATTATGTGTAGCATTCTCACTGTCGTTTATTAGTACTCGTATATTGGATAACCAAGATTCAGCCAAGATCTCTGACAACGAGATAGCGCGAAATAGGGTTCCAGAGAGGATGAAAGTTGTAGCATCACAACGCGAGGTCCCTTGCGAGACAGTCATTGCAAAGAATCGATAAGTTAGAGTAGGAAATAAGTTGGAGAACATTGGAAGTCTACCTCCGATTTCTTTGACACTAATGCTGGAAATTTGCATGTTGCTTTTACAACTTACTGTCTCTGTATGATTTTGAGAATAGCCCCAGAGAGCTCTTTTATAACTCAAGATCTAGTATATTCAATATTGCGCGTAAGTGAATCATCAACAATCTCAGTTCAGAAAATGAGGGCTGATGATCAAAATCACGCTACTAACAAATACTCTACCCCGCTCAATATTCAATAGAGTTGTTGGTCTAAGAGATACTATGATATTATATATAGGTCTTCTCAATCAGGTTTCAGGGAGTCAAACAACGATTGTGGCCTGCGGATTTTGACATGGTGCCTCCTCTTCTCACGCGTCTCACCTGAAAAAATCACGATGGCTTGGAGCTGGTATGTGATTACCTGGGGATATTCCATCTGCTCCGGATAGTAGAGTCTATCGTCCAAATCGCTCTTTTCGTTTGTCATTCTCCATTTTCCATTTTTATTGTCCTTTCTAAACCTCAGCTAAAACACTCTATTCTGTACTTTATCTCACATGGATCCCTCGATAGACAAAGTCGATATGTCAAAATATTTGACTGTTGCTCTCCCACGAATTATATCTGCAGTGCAGAAACTCCCCTTTTGTTGTCATTTTCCGCAAGCGTTGTCTGTTCTAATCCAAGCTATACCAAACCCTTCTTACAGAAGTCGCGCTCCTATACCTCCTTCTAGATCAGCCATTTGAGAAATATAATAATATATCGAAGAAGCAGACAAGGAGCAGCCATGGCCCTCTCCTCTCCTCTCCACTGACTTTGTTTGTGTGGAGCTAACTAAGTCTTTACCGGCGCTGTACCTCTTATGCTGCGAGATTTGGATTATTTGGTGTATAATCAGGTGTTGTAATGAAGTTTATTTAGGGATGGACAATAATGTGGAGATGGATATTCACTCTCTATTTTATCTACGATTTCGATTTTGGAAGTATAAAAGATCTCTGATGACTAATGAAGCATTTGACTCTTCTCGAGTATAACATCATCATATCTCTCCTGGGCCACTTTTCGAAGTGTATTTGGTAATAATGCCTGCTGTCGTTATCTTCCGAGTTCTCCACTGTCGATATGGATGCTTTTCATTATCAGATATACTCCATTTCCAGTAGTCGTTGAGGACTGGATATGTTCAAATAGAAGCAGAGGAAACATAATATTGTGCTTCCTGAACTCTATTGCTAGAATAGACCATCTCATTGTCCCTCCACTTTATCATCATCGCTGTATAAGATTATCGTATTAGCATACAAGTCATTGATAGCGCACTTCCCTTCGAGCTAAACATGACTCGGACAAGAGCCTAGATTGGATCTAGCCTGATCAACAAGAAATTTAAGCAAAAATGATTCGCAGTACAAAACCTTCCACTGGTTTCAAAATCAATCGCTAATGTTGCTTGAATCCCATATCTCGGTCCTGTCTACAACTTTTATATACTGTAATTCCCGCCTCGTTAAATTTCCAGGGGGTTCAAGGGACAAATGAGCCACACCCCCACTAACCCCACTACACAGGCACAAGGTTACCCCCACCCAGAGCTCCAGCCAGTGGCTCAAACCTGCAAAAATATCATTTGCCGCGAGAGGGGTTCGAACCCTCGCATCTTTCGATAATGGTGTACTCCGAAGAACTTAAGACCATCGCCTTAGACTATTGGATATTTGTTAGTATTATTTCGTGGCTACAAGTGGAAATGGAGATGTTTACCCGCTCGGCCATCGCGGCAGTTGTTGTTGTTTGATGAAATAAATTAAGTCGGTATTTGCGTATATGTAAGATTTCGTTTTCGTTTGTGGAGAAGGTTTTAGTTGACCCCCCTTTGGAAAATAAGGGGGGTTCGGTTATATAACCTTATAGCTTGTGGAGACGTAACGAGAATGGTCAACCTCAAAACTACCCAATGACGACATTTGTTCCATGGAGTAATCTGGTACCAACAACTGTAGCAAATCGTGTCACGATATGCTCAATTCCTAGACGGGTCTCAATATATCATGGCAACTCCCTCTGGATCTGCGAGATTTATTTAAAACACTTGTTGTCTACATTTTCGATATCATCGCCGGTATATATACTCACTCTCAATGTTTATCATTAAAAACGATTAATTATACATTACCCAATCAACTACAAACTATACCAGATGATAACCATAAAAACACCCGAAGAAGCCTGTCAAATTATGGAAATCAAAGTATACTTACCCATAGGAGTAGAAGCCGTAATAGAACTTGTACCGCGCCACTTGAAGGAGTGTTCAATGCATCAAATCTCAATCCCACAAAGAAAACAAATTGAACGAAGCATCTCTTCTTTTAAGTTATGAAAACATGATCGTATGCACACTTCCGATGCTGAGTACGAGAAATCTAAATCTCGGGAAGTTGGGATATTGGTAGCAATGAGAGTAGTGATCTTTGTTACCTGTATAAATCTTATCTAGCTTCAGTAGCCCGAAGATTCTTGAATGTTATTCTACTGTACATTCGCAGCTTCCATTTCTTTACGGGAGAAGACAATAGTGATGAGGTATATAAATATCCAAACAAGATAATTATTACTAGAATCAAAAGTTATCCAGAAAGAATCTGGAGCAGAGACCAAGGAGCAATTTGCCCCTTTTTTTGACCGCTACATCATACTAGTTATCGAACTATCATCAAAGCAGGATGCCATGAATCCTGCTCCTTTTCGTTCCATCTCTGAGCGAATATCTCGTTAAATATCGTCATTTTTATGTTTTCATTATCCATTTCCCATGAATAGTACGTCGGCGGAACTTTCATCAAATCGGCCATAAACAATAAGTTCAATGGTTGATACCCACTCATTTTCTCAATAACTTTCCATTCAGAAGATCCCTCAAGCATGCTCTCGGAATTCGTATGGCAGAGCCCATTTGTGTCTAGTATCGGAATTTCAGATGGATATGTATCCCTTTTAACCTCTAACCTTTATTTCAGACTTTGCTGTTATACTGTCGTGAATTCGTCAGTCTCCACAGTATGAATTCTTACAGCTTTAACTCGGAACTACATACCATAGCAGAATATACTTAGCTCCAGACTATCGACGTTAAGACAGTATCTATTTAAGAATACGAGAAACTGATCTCTTATAGGCTAGGGGCAAAGGTCCATAATAACTCACAAAAAAACAAATGCTGCGGACCTGCGGCTATATCACATTCAAGTACATCATTTAGAGCTTTGGTATAGCATCCATATACAAAGCGATTTGCGTAGGAGTTCCTTCCATGTATCGACAATAATTTGTCCCATTTTCACAAAAACATTTCCGCTGCTGATTATCCGCTCTGATCCCTCAATCAATCAGCACTTCAGAAAACACAAAGGGCATCCTCTTAAGCCTTTAACTTGCTACCCTCATTCCGTATAATTCAGTGGCATGTTATATCACAACTTTTGAAATCATATACTTTGGTCATTGCTTAGAGTCTTGATGATCAATAAATCTTAAGAAACAAAGCTCTGGCTCTTGGAAGAACTTATATAATTCAAAAGCATATTTTTAGGAGTTGTAGTATAGTAACTATCCAGAGTGTGGAAACTAAGATGCTTGCAGATCAATCATATGGATCTAATCCCAAGAATGACATAATCTAAGACACGGAGTATGGTAAAGGATATAAAAGGGATGGTTTTTGTGGTTTTTGTTAGATCACACAATAGATTCCGTTCCAAGAGTATAATCGAGAGAAGTCATTTACAAGATGTAACAAGTCTGTACTCGAGTATCACAGTTTGGTATAGCGGTACTATTACTATCGTATTCACTGTATATAATTTTCTTGTTTTGGACTATTGCTGTTGTTTCATCTCTTTCATTGCCTCTCTCAAATATCATATCCGCAAATTTCGGAAAATAGTCTACAGTGCACCTGATCCACACTAATACTCTGGTCACGCCAAGTACCATATCACAAGGAGCCTCGCCAAATCGTTCCACGAGTATTGCCCACCTTGTTTCGTATTTCGATTCCGATACTTTATATCGGGCCTAGAAATACTGTTTCTCGTTAGATAGCCTCAAAGTCTTGAGATCGGGGGGCATTAAATAGTGTTCACGGAAAACTTCCTGCTGCAGTGGATTCTTGGGTGAGTGGGTGGGCACTTGACTATGTATCTACCGCTTCCAGATTGGTTTGGAATGAAGACAATCATTGGGATAGTGATGAGGCCATGAAAGGAGTACTCGAACTATCAATATCTAATGAAAAAGGAGAAAAACAATAAAAGACCAAAAGAGCTAGAGTTAGATCCCCTTGCCATTTCGAATGTAATCTTTGTTGTTGTTGTTGTTGTTGTTGTTGTTGTTGTTGACTCAGTATCTATGACGCACCAGCAAGACTACTCGCCACGTAAACATCTAAAGTTTTGGAACCTCGTATTGTTGCTGCTAACCGCTAAGTAAGCTTGAGTAGAGTTGCCAAATATCAACAGACTACGGAGAGAGTGTAACTTCAAAACAATTAGACAAACTAATAATAAATAATCTTTAAACAAAGCGAAAGCATTAAGAAGCCAGGATCCATGAACTTTTGACAAATATCAATGATTTGGAGAGGGTTTAGATAGGATCTGTAGGGAGTAGAATATGAAAGTTGATTAGGGGATATCAATGGCGTTCCAGTCCTCCATTATTGATTTACTCTCACTAGTTTACTGTTACTCTCAATTGCCTATTATCTACTATCCACGTGTGTGAATAGAGATAAATTATGTATAAACAACTTATCTCTCTCTTTCAGATATAGATTCTCTGATTAGATATGCAGCAAAAACAAATAGTTTCACAGATATAGATTCTCTGATCAGATACTCGGAGTATGCAACAAGACTATTTGTGTTTGACATACATTCTCTGATCAGATATGCAACAAAACTTCATATACTTTGTTAGCCTGAGAAGAACTCCCAGAAAGTATTTCCGTATATTTGAGAAGAGTTCCTACATCAGTTGCGCAACAATATTTCCTTATTGCTATTCTCAGATAGGCAACAAAACGGCCTCTCGATTGATCGGTATTGTCTTCAATAATGCAACTGCCATAGGATGTGCAACAAAGTATCATTTAAGGTATAAGTGTCTTCCATAGTCAAGCTGCCTCTCTAGACACGTAGATGCAACCAAACTCTCACACCGACACATTCAGGTCCTTGACCTCGGAGCTCACTCTGATTGGCATAGTAAGCTGGGCCGATCATATGATCTAATGATATATCCTTTGATTCCTTTGGTTAAAATCACTCTCACTAACATGAAGTGTTCTGATTGAAAGATTGATAGTCAAATGAAGTTGACAGCGAACAAAACTTAGCAGGAAGTGAAAAACGACGCTAACTCTAATCGGGTTAGCCATGAATTTATATAAATGTGTATTCCGATCAATATTAGATTCCTGGTGAAGTTTTCCTTCTATGCCCGGTGAGCTCCAGGTGAATTACTTTTGGGAATATGGAAGATGTCGCACCCACCAAATTGCCTTCATCAAATACCAAGAAGCCAAGAAGCCAAGAAGCCAAGAAGCCAAGAGCCAAGGTGCGGGGGAGCTACAATAGCTTCCTTCTCCACAATCCAATCCCTCTGCCAAAACACTTCCGTCTCGTTAGACTTGTACATCTCTCTCTGAATTGCAAAATTTATACAGAACCTCCTCTACTCTTGTGGTTTCTGATCAAATAGTACTTATATTCATTTCTATTTCCTCTCCTTTGTTTAACAACAGAGTACTCGGGGATTCATTCTTTCAACCCTGTAAACCATGGTTTTTTAGCGACGTCATAAGCCTGGCCATCTGCACGACAACGGGAGATTAACACCAAATCTTCTGTTTGTGAATACCGGTAAAATGATACATGATCATGATAGATCTTCTAACAATAAGAATGTTCTCTTCAATATGTGTTGATCTAAAACACGCATTTGTCATTTCAATCATGCCATTTTACTGAACTCCTTTTCCTGCACAATGAACGATCCAGGTCTCGATGAACCTATCTCCAACGATGCGGATGATGTAGAGAATCAGCAACGCGATGAGCGGGATGAGACTAAAGAAGATGAGGATGCTTTTCTTGAACCAAGGTACATAAAATGAAAGGCTCTGCAGACACTATCATTTCCAGATTGCGGAGTTTACTAACAACCAATTTCTCTAGCCGTTGGTGGTTTGCTAGTACCGCATTTCCTCTCGTCGCCGGCACATTTGGACCCATGGCCTCAGCATTCAGTATTTGTGCATTGGTTGTACACTGGAGGGTATTGATACCACCGGGGGGTGTAGAAGAGCATGGGATATACATTGACGATCCGAAATGGTATGCGCCTGAAGATCTACCAGAAGAATATCATGTTGACTCGATGCAGGTTGATCGGGATAAACGCAGCGCAATTGGCAATCGCCCTCACTTCGAATCTATTCCTACTTTTAAATATGGCGGAAAGGGTTCGGTTCTCGATCGCACAACCTATAACAATTATCGGCTGGTATCTATCCTCTTTTACATTGATTGGGCTGACGGCTTGCGCTTCTGGACCTTTGATACTTCCATCACCTCCTGACCATGCCTATACCCAAGCATTCTACTATGCTCTATTTTCTGCCGGCCTTTACTTTTTGGTGGCTAGTTTGATGGTAATTACGGTATATGGAGCATACAAAGGACACTATCCAAAGGAATTCAAATTGACCATGAGTCAAAGAACTTTGATGTTACAGACGATTAGTTTTCTTGTTTATCTACTCGCTGGTTCGGCAGTGTTCGCTCATATCGAATCATGGCAATATCTTGATGCGGTTTATTGGTGTGATTTCACACTGTTAACGGTTGGTATTGGAGATTATGCTCCAATGACACATTTAGGAAGAAGTCTCTTGTTCCCATTCGCGATCGGTGGTATCATCATTCTGGGGTTAGTTATTGGTTCGATTCGATCACTGGTATTGGAACGGGGTAAGGTCAAACTAGGTGCAAGAATGGTCGAAAAGGAACGAAGACGTATCGTAAAGAAGACCCAGAAGAAAAATGTTGAAGTATTGAAGCCAATCGCAACAGGAAAGTCATCTCCTGAGTCGAGCAGCACACTCGTCAATCACGATGGTCTTACGGAAAGAGAAAGACGTCAACAAGAATTCGAATTAATGAGACGAATTCAAGAAGACGCAGCTACCAAACGTCGTTGGACTTCTTTGATTATCTCTGGGACTACATGGTTGATACTTTGGTCTGTTGGAGCTGCAATATTTCGAGTCACAGAGTACACTCAAAATTGGAGTTACTTCGAATCTCTCTATTTCTCCTACACCTCTCTTCTAACCATCGGCTACGGTGATTTCTATCCACAATCCAATTCCGGCAAACCATTCTTCGTCTTCTGGTCCCTCCTCGCGATTCCCTCTCTCACAATCCTCATCAGTAATATGGGCGATACAATCATCAAAGGAATCCGTGACTTTACTCTCTGGATCGGAAACTCCACTATCTTACCTGGTGAAAAAGGACTAAGGCATTCTCTCAAAGGAAAAACAAAGAAAATGACGTTTGGAAAACCATTTGAAGTATCCGAACAACCTCCAGGTGCCGAAGTTGCAGGAAGTCCTCATCAGGATAATGAGAACACTGGTCGTAATGCTGCAAAAAATGATCCTGAATCTGCGGCCCAACGTGCGGAAAGCGATCGCGACGATCTTGAAACTAAGCGCGCTAGGAAACAAGGAGAGAAAAATGATAGATTGCCTGAAAATCAACATCATTATCATTGTATCCTCGTCAAAGAGATTGGAAAAGTGATGAAACATCTAAATAGCTCACCGCCTAGAAAATACACATTTGATGAATGGGCATGGTATCTTAAATTGATAGGAGAAGATGAGAGTGAGGCGAGGAACCATAGGAAAGCAATCAGGAAACCAAGGAAGGCAGAGGATGAGGAGTTAGGTGGTGCAAAGGGCGAAAGGAGAGAGGATAGAGGAGAAAAATGGAGTTGGCTGGGTAATAGAAGCCCATTGATGGGGAATAAGGAGGAGACGGAGTGGGTGTTGGAGAGGTTGCAGAGGACACTGGAGAGGGAGTTGGAGGAGATGAGGAGGGAGGAGATGGAGAGAAATGGGGAGGAGGGGAAGGAGAGAGGGCAGGTGGTAGAAGAGGAGGTTAAAAATGATGAATGAATGAAATGATTTATGAAAGAGGAGTCGCGGTTTGCATGACATGGTTGGTGTCTTAGAATATTATCATTACCTGGGATTTCAGTCCGGTGCTTGGAAGCCAGGTGCGTATATTGTATCGGCGTTTGAGAAACTGGGATACCATTGCATATTAATGGCGAGGTTTATGTCTGTACTCGAGAATATATACTCAAAACAATAAAATAATTGATTCGAAATAGATCTGCTAGTGGAGACTATACAATATATCCCGCGTTTCTCATTTCTCGTGTCTTATCTCAATATATACTTATATATAACATTAATGTTCCTCACTTGAGACTATCTATGACTATCTATATGAAAGTAACGCCTTCGTCGACTAGTGGGTATGTCTATGCGTTGTTTATAAAGATGTTCTAGAAGGGTTATTTTCGGTTTGATTCCACTTTGGTCGGTTTATAAGCTATCAATCATAGTCCTAGGAGTTAGAACTGAAAACAAAGTGATGGGTCTTGATGAGTGGAGTGGAGTGGGGGGTATGTATATAGTTATAGTGTATATATGGGTTTTTTTTTAGGGAAGAGTGAAGAGTAGAGGGAGGAGTGAATGATATCGTAGTATCAAAGCAATTCCAAATAATTTTCGAGGAATTCATCATGTTTATTTATCTGATTCAAAGAGAGCATGCGATACATATAGTCCTAGGGTAGTTTTAATATCACTACTCGTACTCGAGTATATAAATCATTTTCTAGTATCATTTAAGTTTTTTCTCTATTATTCCTAAAAGTATCGTCTTTCAAGGAGATGAGAGGGATAGTTGCGCTTGAGGATATGCTTTTTAGCAAAGGCTTGGATTTTGTATTGGTTTCTGGACTGGGTGGGTTTGGTTGAGTAATTAGTAAGTCTTGGAACACTTGAGAGGATATCTAGTGTACTACTTTCGTTGTTATACGTACTCGAGTATTTGTATTTGCATTGTCGGTTATTGGTGGTATCCTCACTATCGATTCTTCAGTCAATTTAAATTCTTCATTCTTCTTGTATTTTCGTTACATACTAAAGTTACTGTAGTCTAGCAGGAGATTAAACTTAGATATTGGATAGCAGTTTTGGAGGAGCCTATAAATATATTTTTTCCTTAGTATTTTTGCCCTGAACCTTAACGTAGCTCTTCGTAGTCTTGTAAATGGAGTTGGGGGTTGGTTCTCTTATATATGTGAAGTCTATACTCGAGTAAGTGGATTGGCATATGGATACGATAGAGAAGGTTATATCTGCTAGTGAATTGTAATGGGGTGAGTGAATTGTAATGGGGTGTGTTAGAACTATAAGTGTACCCTCCTTCATCTATTCAATCATACTCTCTCGCACCAGGAAATCTAGATCCGGAGAGAAACCGTCTATACGTTCCAATATTCACTTCTAATTCGAAACTGTCTCGGTCAATTCAATAGCATATATACATCACACTTCCCTATCTACATTCCCTCTTCAATGCGTTGTGAAAACCGACCACAAGAGCAAAACCAAGTTCCCAACGAGGAGTCCTTCTCTATCGGTTATTCCCCAAGATATTATACACTCAACTTTCGATACCGTATAATTACAGGATTTGGGGAAGCTTTTATTGTTATCTGATATTATTATTCATTGTTATCTATCTTTTCATTGCTGTCTGCTTTTATCATCGTGGTTGTTGTGTTAGTGAGTTTTCACCATCATACATTCATTGTTCTTCGTCAGTAAATACTTTATGTTGGTCTCAAATTATATCTCCAATATAGAAAATCATCCATTATATATACCCATTCTACAAACTCCACTATACTATGATCCATATAGTCGTATAAAACAAACAAAATATATTTCACTCTTGCCATGATGTATAATACTAAGTAATAGTATATTCTTTGATTCAAATTAGCTCGACATACAGAGTTCCGAGTTTTTATAGGTAATATTAGCATAAGCAAAGGTGGGCAGTTGATATTGAGGAACTTGATCATTTCTGACGAAGTGGGGAGTGCGAGGTAGTGTTTGTAGTATACTTGTATGTGTTTCGTTCTTTACTGTGCAAGGTGTTTCATCCATACTCTAAACTTTGAAGAATTCTTGACAAGACAAATGGGCTTTGGTCCTATATAGATATCAGAGTCGTGTTATGAGTGGTTTTGCTCTCCGCATATATGTAGGTTTTCTATGGGCAGTCGGTGATAAAAGAGATTCGATTGTTTGATTTTAGTTTTTTGCTGTTATGTATTGAATGTTGTTGTTGATTTCAATTGTCTTTTCGTTTAATAACTCGCCAAGACTCATATATTGTATATTGTCAACGGTAGTAGCCTGTAAATACACAGTCTCATACGGTATACATTTAATTGTGCAAAAATTCATGGCTTGCTAGCGTATATCGTCTAATAACACCCGCTGTATAGGCTACAGCTTTCGCCACCAACGGGATCCTCAGGGACACTGCCAGTGTAGTATTCCCATTTGATCTCTCAAATACTGAGAAATGGATGCGTTTTATAGATCGGATGATAGCAAATCACATGGAACTAAAAATAATCACAACCAATTTCAGGTCGGCCTGTTACTCAAAACCGATCTTGTAGCCCATCCAAAAGGAGTTTACAAGGCCTCGCCACAGCGGTTCTTATTGTGGTATGATTGCTCTTGTTTGTGACTTTATATGCCGGAATTGGAAGATATTGGGAGGTTTAAGTAGCATTGATATGTATTCAATCTTCGATTTGCTGTAGTGTAGTCAGTAGTTGACTAATTGAATCAATGCACTGGTTAGACTAGCAGTTTAGTTCATCGCATTCAAACTGATAATCGGTTTAGTTTGTATTATTTCAACTCTGAGTCGAAATGCAAGCTAAACTATTAAATCAGTTTTTATTAATAAATGACTGGTTCATTTAATTAGACTAGTATTTGAGTTTATTGCTGGTGTATTGAAAATTAGAAATCGGTTTAGTTTATATAATTTTGATTAGTAGTTAGACTACAACCTTTCAATCTGCTAATTTCCCGATTAGTTCAAACTACCAACTACATTGATCTACTGTATCTCCCCGGGTTTCGGAAGGTTGGGCGGTTATAGGATGACTTGGTTCCTCTACTGATCTGAACGATAGTGAATGGACTTACCTCGATGGATATTGAGAGATTGTTTCTTCTTGGCTACTTAAGATTGCGTGGGTTGTATTACAGTTTACCAAATAATCGAGACCATTTCAAATAAAAACTCTATGGGGCAGTCAGTATGACTGAAGAGTTTTCTCATTCTCCGAGGGCTTACAGGCTTGAGAAATTACCATATAATGATTGTTTAACGAGCTTTTACTGTTTTTGTTGCCCTTTAATTCGGCTATCTTACTCTTGTTGCTATATAAATGGGATGATATAAAATATAATACAACCAGTAGTACGACTTGACAATACAGAGCAAATTACCATCATTCCAGGACAAGTGGACCAGGACATCTGTTTCTCTGATATTTCAAGATCATAAGATTGTTCACGTATCAAAAGATCTCCACTCCAATCGATTTATAGACAACAATAGATACACGCTAGTCACGAGATCCACAGCTAGGATGTCGAGGTTCGCTATCTGCATAGTCCTATATCAAATTGATGATACCGCAATCTTACTATCCAGATCGAGGGATAGTGCACAGTAGTGTTTAATGCTAGACGAATCCAAGAGACTCTACAAGTGCATTTCTCCCGATCCCCGAGAATAGATGAAATATGTTTTCTTTTCGCTCCCAGACCCTTCCCTTTTGATATTGAAAGGGCTTGGCACTGCTGTATTGGAACATCAAATGATTTATGTATCAAGTAGAAGACTTTACCCACAGGCTGGGGAGACTTTGCTTTGGCCAACACCAAATTTTCAGATCAGGAGAAGCTTATAAGCTTCGTTGAGGAGCTCTGAGCCACACTTGGATATCTACTTGTAACATAAAAGTTATATTTTCACTGCCATTGTATAGCCTATCTTCAATCTCAACTTTTTTCTCCTCAAACTTCAGACGATTAACCAATATATTCATTCCTATCTCGGATCAATCCGAATAGGTCAATACGTGGAAGTATCTTGAGGTTCCGCACAAAACTAGAATTGCCACCGCATGACGATGCTCCCTCGCGTTCATTTTCTTTATCGGCTTTCGCTACTAGATATAGATAGGCATTGAGAGATTGGGGTGCAGTTCATAGTATCAGTGCAAATGTAGCCATTGACAGAGCAATGGTTCACGCTCTACATGCTGTTCTTCGATTTCAATACTCTCGAGTCTCGAGTCTCGACTACTCAATCTTGGTATATTCACAGATCACAAAGCATGGAACATGACTCAATACTTATCCTGGTACATACGATACTCCACTAACTGAACACATTACGCGATTATAAATACTTGAACACAATCTAAGTACTCTTCAGAGAACTGCTGCGACCATTTCGTGATAGAACATCAAGTCCCCCAAAATATGTGTGGTGTTCCAATAAGAGACAAGGTCAACAAAACAAAAACTGGGCTAATATGAGATGGGAAGCTGAGATGATTTCACGTTTGAATGAGTGGTAACAATAACAAATACAAATAAAATAGCAAGTCTAATGAATGTACTTGGCGACGAAAACCACTGAAAATAAAAAAACACATGGCCTGAAGACCTGAACCTCACATATCGCTCATAGACTGCCAGAGACTTGTAAGTTTCTTGACGCCCCCACATAAGGTCTATTCCCAGAACAGGGTGGAAGGGTAAAGACTTCTTTTTATAAGGAGGAATTGTGAGGGAAGTCAAGGATTAATTCGAAGTGAACTGGTGAAACACTGGAGGTATACAGTCTGCTGTAGTGAGGGTACTATGCTCTTCCACCAGAATAGGGAGATTTAGCAGTCTAACACATGAATTAGACAATGCCATCACATGCATTCTCTACCCATTTTTCTTATACTAATAAGTCTAACGTCTATGCATAATGCATATGCACTATGATATTCTGAACAAGAACCACCATGTATAAATTATAATTAAGAAAGACAGAATGTCAGCTCAGACTGCGGAACCCACGAAGCCATTTCCTCAATTCTCCTAAGTGGAAGTAATGCCGAATATAGAATTTGAGTGTGAGTTTGAGTTATGGGACAGAAATTGAATGCGTTTAGAAAGAAAAGACATTGAAGATGAACAAAAACAAGAACAATATTACAGGGATTCGATAATGAAAAACTACTCAAGCCAACAATAGCAACTATAAACTTCTCTGATGATATACTCAGAGCTGCATGTTATCTAATTCAATGCACCCATTATAATTATAGCTCAGCGATTGTACCCGTAGTTTCACCAACAGAGAGGGACGATAACAAACAAAAGTAACAAGCACTTAATACCAGTAAGTCAAGAGAAATAATCCGATAAGGTGGTGTTCTTCAGGACTACCTGGCTTTTGCAAAATATATCGAATGGGCAAGGCTTCTTCCTAGTCTTTTTTTTGATACAGTACAATGGGACGCAGGAATATTTATGGTATCTATATGTTAAACGATTTGGTATCTATTCATATTAACACAACTCTAATTGGAGTGGTAGTCTAATATCAGTTCAAAAGCTCTAGTACTCTAGTACTTTAACACTCTAATACTCCAATACAATATGTATCCCTCCCCGCTCCCCCTCCTTAAACTCCCAAATATATACAATTCTCAAAATCATCACCCTTTATCCACAATCATCTCCTTTATATACATCCTCCTCTATCTCTGCTTATGCCTGTTCGTAAACCTCAACCCCAGAAACGCTATAACCCTATAAGCCGCACCCAGAGCCAATAACATCAACAAATCTTGCGTAAAATGCCCTAATTCATATCCCATCGCATCCTTCGCGCTCTCAATATTATACAAATATTCTAGCGGCGTAATATTCTGCGTTATATATGCCTCCGCCAACCACGTGCCCGGAGTTGCTCTCCAGAGCCACACCATATGCCAACCCCTAACTTTCTCCAAACTGGGCGACATACCGTTAAGAACACCAACGATGAGAGAAGACATAACTGCGAGCAGTGGTCCGTCTTCACGACGGGTAACCATGCTAACGCAGGATGCGAGACCGTATATACACCAGAAATAGAGAAGGTTGGCGGTGAACATATTCATCCAGCTGATTCGTGGGGTAGTCATTAATGCGAAAAGAACCGTGAAATGGAGATTGGCGAGGATCATACGCGGGATGGTGGAGAGGACTTTTCCGATATAGTACGCGAAGCGATTATGTCCCGCCGCAGCTTCTCTCCAGTATACCAATTTTTCTTCACCGAAGATTTTGACTCCTGGTGCGGAAGCAGTGAGACCAATTGCGAGACCGACGAGAAGTGCCATTTGGGGCACGGAGTTGTAATCAATTGACGAAGAGAGCATCTCATAAGGTTCGTTGAATATACCGCGGAAATTGGCACCCTTCTGGTTGAGTTCGGCTAAACCTATCAAGAAACCAGCACCGGCGCCGACACCAAGTTCGAAGAAAAAGGAATCTTTGACGCGATATTGTTGAAGCAGAGAACGTTGAAAACAGAACCAGATTTGTCGATACCAATATGTACCGCGGGTTTTGATAGTTTCAGCAAGAGCGTTGGATTCGACCATTGAGACACCAGAATCTTTTACGTCCTCGAACGGATCATCGGGTCTGTTTTGCCAGTGTTCAATAAGAGATGTAATACTGGCATCTCCAGTACGTTTGTAGAGACGCCCTTCACCAGCAATGATATCGCCCATAACATCGGAGGGATTGCCATGTTCGGGGAATTTGTAACCGAGACGCTCAAAGTGAGGCTTGACACCTACTTGAGGGCCCAAGTAGATCATCCGTCCTGTACCGAGGAGTACAAGACTATCTAGAGACTCGAAAATTTCTTGACGGGGTTGATGGATGATGGTTACAATTGTCATACCGAGGCGTGAGAGAGCTTTGAGTGTTTTCATGATGGAATTGGCGGCTGTTGCATCTAAACCTGAAGTAGGTTCGTCAAGGAAGAGAGCCCTAGCAATAATGTTAGTCAAGAGATGACAAATCTTCGAGGTGGAAACTTACATAGGTGCAGCTGCTAGCTCCATACCAATGCTGACTCTTTTTCTTTGACCTCCTGAAATTACCGGGGCAGCAGTACTACCCACCAAAGAATCTTTTACGTGGGAAAGCTGAAGACAAGCAAGTAGAACATCAACATGGTGCTGAATTTCGCTCTCCTTCCATGTGCATGGTAACCTGATTCGAGCAGAATGAAGGATGTTTTCCCGAACGGTGAGCTCCGGTAGAACGATATCGTCTTGGGGCACGTATCCGATGATTTTCTTATACCTAGAGCTGTTAGTTTCCGGTCAAATTCGCTGGAAGATACACTTACTTTGAGATGTCACCAGCAATGCCATTAACTTTAGTAACTCCACCGGTATTTCTCGTTTTGCCCATAAGGACGTTCACGAAAGTAGCTAGTACACGTTAGTCTTGTGGTGAAGGGGAAGGGCCAATTAGTGAACATTACATTTTCCCGCTCCCGAAGCACCCATTACTCCCCATAAGCTTCCAGCATCAATCGAACCTGAGACTTGTGACAGAATAGGTTTATTTGCCTTCGGTGGTAGAAATTTCAAGTCCTCAAAATCGAATGTCAATCCAAATTGAGTGCCTCCGAAGCATTTCGACAAAGATTGTACAAATAACTGCAAATCGGTGTTTATAAGTTGCTCATCCCCTCCATCATGACCGTCATATACAAATTCCTCGTTCATATTACCCAACTCCTCGAATCCTGTGGCTTTCCGTTGGAGATTCATAATCCTTTCTTCCATGGCAGTATCACTTTGTTCTCGGGCTACCTGCAGTTGTTCGTTGTGGACTTGAGAATACTCTCTTCCTCGAAACATCCCTGGTTTCGTGAACGTTTTCCGATTCGATCGCTTCTCCTTCGAGTGGTTCTGAACTCTATTACTGAGCTTCCGCTTCAAACTTATGCCGAGTGCCCCAAGCACTATAACCAGATCCACGACTATTAAGATAGCCAGTGGAACAATGTCCATGTCTCTGATACTTCCTTCCGGACACCTCGACGCAATTGCACATTTCGTTGCTTCGTATGATGCTTGGCGACAATAAGATCCCCTGGGGCATTTGATTTGCTCTTTTCCTCCCGGGGGACAATAATATCCAGCCTCACAGACTGAAGGTTCGAAATTTCCCATGGTTGGTCTGCATGATCCTCCTGCTAACCTCGCTGCTTGACAAGCAACATTTGGAGGACAGTATTCTGGAAGAAATGTAGCATTATTATTTGGACCTGCGAAAGAAAGTAATATTAGCTCTTTCGACTACCAACTGGACTTCTAAAATTGTTCTTTTACTCACAGTAAAACCCTTGTGGACATCCGATATCATTCCAAGAATTTGCATCCTGAATAGTTACTGGTTGTCCCCCGAAGAAACAGGTCGAATTCGTCGTTGACTCTACCATTATTACGATCTTATATAAACTTTGATCTTTTAGTTAATGTACAATATAAAAGAAATCAACCATATATAAAGAAAAAGTGCATCTTGCTTGAAAGTAGACGAAGATTGTATTTATTGTTACCTGCATCTCTCCCCTGCTCGCTTCTTCGAGATATCTTTACGTGAAGGGGTGAGATTGCAGGCTGTGGTGGATAAGGCTCCAGATTAGTTTCCAAAAACCTAAGCCTTCTCTCATATCTTCTGCGCCGCAAACCCACAGGTTGACAAGATCCATTCATATACATTCACAAGTACATCGTCCCAACTACAATGACAACCGTAACCGAAAATAGATCTGTGCAGAATCAGATCGTGGATTTAAGCGGATCTCAGTCATTGGGCTGTGAACTTCTATATACGAATGATCGTATCAGAGATTCAGAATGAAAGAACCGTTGGGATGTGGTACCCTACTAACTGGGTCCTACAGAGAGGCTAGAGCAAGCAAACGTCAAAACTTTGTTGGATCTCTCCACTGAACACCTGGCGCATGGTGGCCCTTGAAGCTTGCGCTTAAGCTTATATGACATATCACGTGATTCACTTCTAATGCACGGGGGCTGGGTTTTTGCTCTTCTCCGCTACAATTACCCGTCAAATGTTAGATTCAAGATATATCTGTTACTACGTCTCAATATCATGATTATCCCACAATGAATGTTACACATCAACCAGTTCTTCTCTGAATTTGAGGTTATTCATAACCTCATGCACCTTGTACAATATTGTCAAGGATATCAGATGCAATCAAACTCCCTGGTCAACGATGTTCATCCTGCAAGGCAATCCACGTCGTCCTACCAAGCCCCAGAGGTCCCATAAGGCTTAACTTTTTAGGGATTTTTCGAATCCTTCGACTGGGGTTTTTAGACAACAACACATCCCCAGCAGTCGAGGTTATTTCAAATTTCAAGGTTCGAGTAAGAATACAGTAAGCAGAACGGTACAGTTTCACTATGAAGTACTATCCCAGTGTCTCACGCCAGACGATGATCCTCGATTCCTTCGACAGATGGCACCCGAATTAACGCAAAATCAGACAAACCCCATTTCTTAACTTTCATGATCCCACTCTCAAGCTCCAGCCGTTGCTTGCCCAGCCTTGAGAAATCTGCCTGGCCACTAGACACGCTACTTTAGTGGATGTATGTATGTCAAATACAAAATTGTTTCCACAATACCGTTTTAAAGCGGAGATGTTATCAGTGGGAAAATTCTAAATAGATCTCTTCGTTTTGTGAGCTTCCTCTGAAATGATTCTTCATCTGCGAATAATACCTCGGATATACACCTCTAGCGACAAATTTACGGCAGTGCTGCAAGAATATGCGATCCTTTATTCAATAGATCGGCGACTATCCATTGAACATAAAGATTATTGTTTGGTATTTTCACGAATACATTGATGTTTTCCTTCGGTTTTTCCGGACCTCAATTCCTGTGGGTTAACTTCAAAGTTGTTGTTGTTACCTAGAAATTATTTGGCTTTCGTATACCCAAGGTAAATCCGCACAATATCACAATATAACTTCAGTACTCTGAATAGCATAAAGTCATGGCAAGCGTCATGAATTTTCTAATAAAACGACTTACACGGAAATATCTATGGTGACGATTTCATGTACAATGTTTTACGGTAACCATTTTTCTGTCCAGCCATTTCACTCCTCCTCTACTATCATCATCTTCATTTTCTTCGGACTACAGCCAGAAGTCACACCTACAATAAAAAGCATCCCTGCCGGAAAAGCATGACAAAAAACTCACAAGAGGGCCGACATCATTGACTCGGCTCCCCGAAGGACAGGCCCCACCGTCTAACCAACCTCTAAGAGCCAAACATGGTGTCGCTGAGCGGCTGAAGAAAATAAGAACATAGGAAAAAGGAATAAAATACAGGTGACAGAAAGAGGAAACATTGGGAGTCATAAAATAAGGAGGGAGTATCAAAGTAGGAAAGAGGAGAAAAGAAGAAATGGGAAACGGAAGTTGTGTCAAAACTAAAAGTATTTAGATTTGCTGAAAGCCCGTGTATCACACCTTCCTTGCTGTGCTTCGGCACTTTGTATGTATTTCTTCAATCTTTCTCGACAAACATATGGCAATACCATTTTCACGTAAGTTGGGAGACGTTGAAGTCAACGCCGAACTGTATAGGAACATGTTCCTGGCGTTTTTCACATTAAAATTCGTGCAATATGTATCCCGAGCTAGTTGCCGTAATATATTACGATTCATCGATAATACAATTTCAACAAATCATTACATGTAATAATTAGCAAGAAGGAAAATATTTAGTCATTCAGATCCATGCCTCTTGAGCTGTCCATATTTCCCAGTTGTTCAAAGCGGTTGCCATTATCCTTAAGCACAACTATACACAACGAATATTTGTTCTTAGCAGCTCTAAAGTTCGATCACCAAGCCTACAAATTCGAGTCGGCTGGCTATTCTTACTCCTCACCTTAATCACTATCCGCTTCTCTCCTTCTCTTTCCTGGGACATATCCTCCATCGATCTAGACGTCACACATCTCGCCATCTAGTTACTCAATCTCACAATCCACGATATCCATTTAAGGATCCCATCAAATTAAATCTACTCCAGTATATCCCACCTGCGACACTCATTGCAGTAGTCCATGAGAATGATGTGGAAAATTAGTTTGACGATATCGTTGTTGAAATGGTAGGGATCCTCTGGGAGACCTCCGTAATACCGTACCCGGGGGGGGGGGGTTACTGGTTCATAACTTCATGAAGGCAATATGCAGTACAAAGCTTGCTGGGACAAAGACGATACTATTTTTCAGACTTATCTAGGGAAGTGAACTCAAACCACAATTACTCACGCTATGCAATACCTCACTGCCTTACAACTTCAGCCCTCTATGCAGCATAAGCCGATGATGATTAATCCAGTAATGGGATTCTTCAAACTTTGTCTTTTCCAGCTTTCTACAATCCCAGATTTACCAAAACTACCCAGAATCATTCCAATCTCTTACTTTACTTGTCCGGTTTACTTGTCCGATTCGGGATTTATTACTACGCCGGGATTAACTTGCAGTGCAACTGTTGATTTTCTGATTGGGACGGCTACCTAGTATTGATATCTTACCTACCTACTCGTACTGCTTGGTGCTTACCAACCAACTGTTGGAACCAATATATCGACAATCGATATTTCATAACAAACCTATAGTATCTCTTTGCAGTGTATTCGCATACTCCGTATGTATTATATGTACCCATGCATTATACTCGAGTATTATATATGCATCAAGGGATCAAGAGGGTTATTGGACAAGCTCTACGGCCCATTACTTGGCAATGCTTATTTACCATAATATACGAGTATTCAGCTATCTTACAGTGTCGGTACAGTATGGACATGCATTTTCATTATTTACTCTGTATTGGATTGAGAAACATAATAACCGGTACATCAACCATTTCCCAAAACCACCTCTACTTCTGCCGAGAGAACTGTACATTTTCTTCAAGTTATCAGATATACATATAATTACATGGCGTATTACAACTCATTTCCATTAACAAACTCCAAATCTTATTCTTTTCTCCCCTCATCACCCTGCATCAATTAATAATCTCCATACATCCATACATACTTGTGAAAACATGACTCACATAGCTGTGGCCGTGGCAAATGATATAGAACAACTACAGACTACAGTCATAATCTCCAAATCATCAGAACCCAGAGCCACGAATGTGCTCTCTCTACATATCAATCCAGCCAGATAAAAAAAATCTTGATCCACGCTTACTTTGCCTCTTGACGCTTCCAAGCTGTAAATCCGTGTCCTGTATATATGAAGGTGACTTACTAGTACTATGTTTGATCTTTAGAGCTGCTTTATGCATAGAACTTTACTATATGTAGTCCTTCTGTACTACGGAGAATAGAAGCAGATAACCTTCTTGACAATATAAAAACATAACAAGTTACAACTGATGAACTCCAATGTTGCAGCCGCCTTCTAAGTTTTATCTGAAATACTGATTTTACTTACTTGATCCCATCCCGTAAAGAATATCTTTAGCTAAATCCAGCATTTTCTTAACGCCCAATCCCCAACCTCCTCCTCTCCCCGAACCCGACATAATCAACTCACCCATAAGCACCCACGAACCTCACCCACGAACCTCACCCACTCACTCACTCACTCACTCACTAAGCTCAAGCTACACCAAACCCCAAGCCTAACAAACCCCATCTTGGCTATGGGGATTAGTTTGGTTTGGTCGCTGAGTACCTACCTACCCGTATACCAAACAAGCCAAGATATCTAAACTAATCTGATCTATCTGAAAACATGATTTAATTCCAATCTTCTAGATAAATCCTAGAGCCTATAGTATTCACAGGTCTGGTCTCACATTACAACCAGTAACAAACTTAGTTACAGCAGTCGCAGTCAAAATCCTATTGTAATATTGTAATTGTATGGTGAGATCGATTAATCTTATGGGGTAGATACTAAGTACCTAAGTAATTAAGTATCATGTATGACCTTCAAGAAGGCTTGGTCATCCCGCCCGAAACGAGTCTCAATCCACTGAATCCATGCCAATGAATAGCTGATCGTCTGAGCCATCCCACTGCCCATCTTTCTCCCATATTCCTAGTATTACAGAAGATCCAAAAACTCCCTTTATTAAAAAGAAACCTACACGCAAGTATTAGTACGCCGGCCATCCAGATATCTCTTGCATCAAAATCACAAAAATCACAAATCCTGCTATCCCAATCCCAATCCCATCCTTGTAATGCAATGCGGTGTCGTTTGATCATTAACCATTTCTCATCCGTACTCCATATGCATTATCCCATACATGTACTCCGTCGTAAACTCAAAGTTTTGTACCACCCTCCCGATTATGATCGCTTAGGCGTCTTCCCATTCCACTACCACCAGAGCTTGGTCCACCACCTCCGTTATTATCTTCAGGGTCGCCAGCACCACCACCTCCGCTGCTACCGCCGTTACCAAAGCTGCGTCGCTGACCTTCACGTGTACGAACATTTAGAAGCCAACGAACATACATATTGATTGTGCTCAAAGTGTTGCGAAGCTCAACGATTTGATCCTTCAATGGAATAGTTTCGTTGAGAAGCATGACGCTTTGACGGGCTTCCATCTCGGCGATGCTGGCAGTAAGAGCATTAATTCTGCTTTGTTGAGACTCGACGATGGAGAGGAGATAAGTATTTGGAGTTTCATAGGAATCATCAGAGATGGACAATCCTGCGAGGGAAGGATCACCTGCGTCGGCTCGATCGAAATGTCCATTATCGTTCATGCAATTCTCGAGATGTTTGATCTTGCGTTCAAGACGGTCAATCTTCTCACCCTTGACTGCATTCTCGGCCTTCATAATTGCTCCCCATGGACCCAATCTCTTGAGCTCGCACTTGTTCTTATGATCATCAATGTCCTTTCTCTTACACTCATGATCACAACCAAATTGTGTCCATTGGCACTGTACAACACCTTCTGAACACTGATCAATATGTTGAGACTCCTTGACGCGTAAGAACTCTTCTCCACATTGATCACAACTGGCATTACGAAAAGTACACTTAAACTCGCAGTGATCCTCCATATCCTTCTCCTGTAAGGTTTCTTCGCAATATGGACATTCAGAATCAAAATGAAGACAGCCTTTAGGATGATGAAGTCTCTTGATGAGTTGGTGGCAATCGGGGTCCAAGCACTCAATCTCAACTTCCTTACAGTGAATAGCGAGATGGTTACGAAGCTTACAGCGTTGGAGGTGAAGTTCGCAATGTGGGCAAATGATCAACAAACCATCGACCTGTTGAACAATAATTCTGTTTGATTGACGAAGTGGATCATTTCGAGAAATTGGATAGCGGTCCATGGGACATTTCTCCGTAACAGCCAAGGCTTGAGTGATACAATCTCTGCAGAAGGTATGATCGCAATAGATGGTGACTGGGTCAACGAATGGGACGCGGCAAATTGGACAATGGAGGTTTTGGTCGACAGTGTTTACGTAGTCAACACTACGATAATCGATGGTATCATTATCGCGTCGCTCACGTTCTTCTTCTCCAATAACTTCCATAATTCCTCGATCGAGTAGAGTTGGACGACGAGAACGTGGATGGTAAAAGTTCTCGGGCGAAGAGTGAATGCTTGAGGCTGGTGTATTATTGGGAACGTGGATAGCCGGTGGTGCAACTTCACTTTGGGTAGGGTAGTAAGCAAAGCCAATGTGAGTTGTGGCGGGATCGTATCCTTCGAAAATGAAGATGTTGTTTGGTGGAGTATTAGGTCGAGAGATGTGTGAGACAGGTGTACCGGCTCCATTTGTTGGAGTATTTGGTGGAGGCATGTTGACTCAGCGGTGGATCGACAACTAATCGAAATGCAGTTCCTCTCTATTGAACTTTAAAATATCGTGAGAAGTGAGGAAGCCAGGAAGCTATTCTTGGAATGAGAATTTGGAAATGAGAACAGAAGATTATCTTTGACTAAGGGTGACAATGAATGACTTGAATTGAATTGAAAATTGTCGGAGATATGGAAAGTATCAATTATTGTAATTTGAAAAGAGATTTGAATTAAGGAAAAAGGTAAAAGAAACAATCTTGCAAATCCAAAGACTTTTGGAATAAAACTCAACACCACATTGAGAGATTCAGAAGTGTTATTGTTGTTGTGGTTGTTGTGGTTATGGTGGTTGTGATTGTTTTTGAAAGAATATCCTCAGCTTTCCCTTCATCTACAGAATTACGAGCCCAGCCAATATTATTACTTTGGTCGTAAGATTACGGTGATTTAGATTCACGTGATATGTTTGGAATATGATATTACGGTGGCTTCTCGGATCGGATATACTATTCTACTATCCTGTTATGAAGAAACCTTTTACTGCTCACTACTAGGTACCTAGGTACCTAGGTACTTGACAGCCAATCGAAGAATTCTGACGGATAAGACGACTGACTGGCCACTATAATCCATGGAAAGTTTGGTTTACGACATTTAGCTGAACATTAACAAGTAACCTTATTTCAGACATCAAAAGTTTCCAAAAATAATAATAACAATCGAATGAATCACTCCAAGGCTCTCTTTCATATTCATCTTCATAATATTCGATACCTTAACTACCATTTCTTCCCCTCGATCTTAATTTCAACTTCTACCAATTTGCGAGTCTTCAGAGCTCCTATATCATCATACTATTTAGCCCGCAATCATGACGATTAATCCCAATCAATACTTCCTACTTGCGGATCATATAAAACTATCATTGCTGGAAAGACAACGTGCTATCTCGTTGAATTTGGAACCTACCTCTCAAGATGGTCATATTTCACGATCGTTAGAATCTTTACGAGAAGGATTAGAGAACATTACGAATGAAAGGAAACGATTAGACGAAGCTGGGGAGACATCGTATGTTGGATTTATCTTCCCTCTCCAGAATGGCATATATGGCCTGATTTCTTCCACTTAAATTCCATTCCAAACTACACCTGCGCATCACATACCTTTTGCGCATATTATCTATATTCGCATAAACTAACAACCCTCCAGTCAATCCCTCACTCTCCAAGAAACCGAACACACCCTCCGAACCCAATATGATGATCTAGCATCCCAGTTCCTCGGACATCCCACCTCCAGCACCTCTTCCACACTCACTCATCCTAACGACCCCTCCCTCTCTAATGATTTCGCCCGAGCGACCGAACGCCCACGAGTAGGATCCTCCTCGTCCTTCCTTAAGAAATCACTGCGCAACCCCACCGCGGCACCCTCTCCTAAATCCGTTCGCTTCAGCGACTCCCCCTCTATCCAAGAAGCTTCCGATCCCTCCCGCGCAGCGCTCTTTCCCTACCGCGACGACCCTACCTCTGGCCCACCCGATCAAAGCCATCTTGATAACCAACAAGTCCACGCTTACCACACTCAAGTACTGGCCCAGCAAGACGAGGCACTTGATAGGCTCGGGGAGAGTATTGGAAGACAGAGGGAGCTCAGTATACAAATAGGCGATGAATTAGACGAACATGTGCAAATGTTGGATGAGGTTGATAGACATGTGGATCGACATCAGAGCCGACTGGACAAAGCACGAAAGAATCTAGGCACGATAGCGAGGAAAGCGAAAGACAATATGCAGCTGACGATTATTTTGATCCTGATCATTATACTCGTCTTATTGATTATCATATTAAAATAAATTTGGAGTACGAAAGAGCAAGTATAGGGCGCTGGGTAGTCTTGGAAGTCCAGATGTTAATTGTGGGCGGCAACTTTTAAGCATGATGATCACAACAGGTGCAGGAAATGGAGTTCGGGGGTGGGTGCAAAGGGAAAAGATAAAGGGTGAGAAGAGGTTTCCTGTTAGATTACTATACCTGATCTCCTTGGATTCTCATATTAATGGCTAGCTGGCTACCTACCAGAAGCAATTGGCATTTTGAGAATGTCTTTGATCTTATGGGCTTGGGCGTTGGTGGCATGCAAGACTTTATTTGATATATACATTACACAATTCAGATCTCTATACAGTATTTCATTTATTTATATATCCATTCTTTCCATCTTTAAATCTATCTATATATATATATATATATATATATGGAATCTCGGATTAAACATAACATAACCTCTGTGATACCACCTTATCTCACCTCACTTTACCCCTTCACATCAAATCCAAGTCCAAATCCGCCTATTCCTCATCTCAACCCATTCAACCCATTATCTCCCCGGCTCTTCTCTTCTCTTCTCTTCTCTTCCCCCTGTACTTCTCTTCTCTTCCTACAGGGTATAGTGTATAGGGTATTAGAACATATATCAGAAGATGTATTGTAATAAAAGAAGAAGATGTAGTGAAGTAGAATAAAAATAAAAATTATAGGATATATATCTCTTTTTATTCTATCTCATCTTACTAATTGTCACATCCCATCCCATCCCATCTCTTTCCATCTCAGCTATACATATCTATCTACCTTCCTACCTACCTACATATCTATCTATAAACTCAACTAACCACTCAACTAACCACTCAACTACCCTACCCTACTTACTATACCACCCTCTTCTCCCCCTCTCCCCAACCCTAAACCCATACCCGCCCGACCTTAGGCTCTTACCCCTTACATATTTATATATATTCTCCATTTCCATTTCCATTTCCATTTTCAATCTAAAGTCTCTACAACACTTTGAAATTCTAAAGTAATACCTTGCTTACCCACCTACTATGAATCATCTTTCAACTTTCAACTTTTAATTTTTGATTTCAATTTCAGTAACTCTACTAATACTCATACTCACACCCACACTCACTTAATCTATCCATCCCCATCTCATCCCATCCCTCCATCATACTCAAAAGCCAATCATTCTGCTGGCGCCAGTCAAGATATACTTCAATCGCAAATCGCTAATCACATTACATCGCGAGCAGCAATCTCTATATATCTACACATCTACTCGTACATATCCACCCACGCAGCTACGCAGGATTCCAATCGACGAGTAAGCAGAGCATAACCTCGCAATCTTACAATCTCATATACCAGTCTATGATCACAGTACATCACAGCACATAACATCATAGTACATCACTCACTCACTCACACACTCATCCATCATATGTATAAAATTCTCCATTTCTCCATTTCCGCACGAAAGGCAACATATGTAAGTAGTAACTGCTTCGTATCTCACCCCTCAAAAATATACATCCATCCTATCTTATCTTCTCTGACCACCCCTCTAATGCATTTACATCCGCATAGAAAGGGCAGTATATCATATCTAAGTTTGCATTGTATACATGCATTGTATACATGCAAATATATCATAAACCCTGCCATCCATAGACATGTAATATGTCTCCATATCTCCGTTTCCTAATAAACGCCGAGTGGGTGACAAAGGACAAAAAAAAATGCAAAAAAAATGCCAACCCCAATGGAAACGCCGGTTGATGCGCATCTTCTCTCTTGATGTTGATGTTGATGAGGAAAGGAAAGAAAATATAGTATGGTTGAAGAGCCGGGGTGTAATAATGCTGTCCGGTAACAGTGGGATCAAATGGCGGAAGGTGAAATGATCGCTGTGTTGCTAAAGTACCAGACGTTAGAGACCGAGATCTTAAACAAGATATGTAGGTCACACTTCGTCTTTGTATTGGTACAGACTTAGGCCTGAATGAAATAAGTTCAGAATGCGGAGTAAAAATCAGAAAGTAATATGTCAAAGAAGTTGAAAGATCTTCAGTTCAAGTCCATGGTCTTTTTCGCTTGTTCGTAGACAACATACGTGATGCTGACAGCGGGTACGACCTTGAATAAATTTGGCGCAAGTCCCTTGTACAAGCCGCGGAAACCTTCATTCTTGAGAGTTTTCTGCGCAACGTCCATAATACCTGTGTAAGTTGGGGGGTGTAAAATCGTGCCTTGAGCTTGTAATCGAGTGCGGAGGAGATTGAGTGGGTAGACTACGCTTGCGCCGAACGCTCCAGAAAATGCACCAATGGCTCCTGTAACAAAAGGACCTGGTGTTGCGTCCTCCTCACTACAACCAAAACGTGCCATATTTCGATGTGCCATGTGACTCTTCAAAGTTTCGAACGTAGCGAGATCGATAGCGGAATAGGGGAATATGCCAACAAGACCCATTGTCAAACCTCTATAGGCGCACCGAATCCCACCCTGTTTGTACATCTGCTTTGCGGTAGCGGCGATAAGGGCATTTCCGCGAAGGCCTCCGGCAACAGTTTCGCATTGCATTCTAGTTACAAATGAGTCTATGAATAGGGTTACAATGACAGCATATCTTACCGGAATTTCAAGGTATCGATTGGATAAACGAATAATCTGCGTTTTGAGGTTTAGTAAAAATTCCATGTAACCTAAACAAAAGTACTGACTGCGACATCATTCCAGCGACACCACCCGCGACAAACTTTGAGTAAGGGCTAATCTTCTTAATGTTACCATGTCCTTCTAAATGAGCTACATGTTTCTTCGCAGCCTCAAATGAACCAAATTTGATAGCACTTTCGGGCATAACTTTGATGACGTTCAAGCCGTTACCTGGCGTTCTATCAATTTTTGGTCAGTAAAAGAATTAGGAGAAACTTACCAGCGAATAAGCTGCGTATACCACCCGCTCTCCATAGCTCCTTGACAGCGAGGGCTAAGGGCTTCCCAGCCATTTTAGAAGCTGTAGTCGCATTTGCCTGCTTCGCAGCTTCGAGAGGCACACTCTTTGAGACATTGGCGATAAGGTAAACTTTCAAGCGATCAATAGGAGCCGTTGCTGTACGGGAGACAATTCCAGCGATAGCACCCGCAGCGTAGTAGCCTGGATCAGGTAATATCTCCGTCAGCCTTGATCTCTTGATTGGCTCCATCTTTTGAGAAACTTTATGGGTCGACTCTTGCCCATGACGTCCCCTCAGAACATTAGCTATCATTTTAGTGCGTGAACAATTTAGGTTGTCATTAGGGTCAAATTCTTCATTAATAGAGTCAACAGGATTGAGTGGTCGTATATTTAACAAGCCCATATTTGCAGTTTCGTTGTGGGAGGTTGTGGGTGAAAGTACTTCTTCAACATGAATTCTGGGAGTGCGGACAGGCGGTTGTGCGATACTAACAACGGCCCCAAAAAGAAGCTTAAGAAAATTTGTTTTGGTACCTAAGCCTTCGAGTTTGTCTTCTCGAATTGAAGTATCGCCCTCGGCGTTCACAGAAACTGCAGACTGATAATAAGATAGTACAGCTTTCAGAGGTTGGGTAGAAGCTGTAGCGGGTAGAAATAATAAGAAGTTTCTAAATTATTTGTTAGGACAGGTTGAATCCAAGGAATTCAATGATGCTTGAAGCTTGAAGCTTAGAGACTAGGACTAGGACTTATATGGCTACCCGTTGATGTGCTAACATTTCAACCCATTCATCCATCGTTCTTTAGCGGAGCTTCAACCACCATACAAGATCATAGAAATTGAAAGTTTGAAGAGAACCATCTGACTGGACTTATTCACTTAATGTAGGAAAAATTGATAGTACTAACCTCCATTCATCGAATGATATAAATCCCTTGAAGTAAAGTTAGAAATGAACCATGGTAACGGTAGGTAGGTTTCCAGGTCGGCATTTGTACGAACATCATTATTCAAATCAACTTCTGTGAAGAATAGGTCTAGTTTAGACCTTGAAATGGTAAGTCCAGCTTTCTCGAATGCAACTTGCAATTCATCTTTATCCAATCTATTGTCATGGTCCCTGTCAATGCCTTGGAAGAGGATGAACAACTCTTTTTCCGTTTTCTCGACGAAAGTTCGAAATTCTAAAAGTATGGACAGTTAGTAAAAGTTTACTAAACCGCAGACCAAGAAATTGACATTGGAGTAAGATGTTGTATGGTTCATTACCCTCATATTGAATAACTTCATCCCCATTCTTATCCATAGCCTTTACTACATCTCTTAGCATATCACTGGCATCCTTCAAAGGATGATCGATCCTCCGCAGCCCCTTTTGAAGCTCTGGCAGATCAATTTCGCCTTTCTTTTTTGTATCCAACTTTCTCCATAATTGCTCAACCCTCTTATCGCGAGCGTTCTGAGTTTCTGATACTTCTGGTAGCTTCATGATATCTTTTTTGAGTTGCGGCCGTGGGGTTATGATTTCGCAATCATATCGTAATGTTTGACCAATGAACCGATCAAAAGTTGAGGGTATATGGTTATCATCGATGCGAATGAGCGAACATGTTCTTCTTCAACTTTTTATAACATTATCAAAGTTTCTCTGCAAAGTGGAAGTGAGGTTCAAAATCCAGAGCTCAAACTTCCATGATTCATTCAGCAGCTTGACCAATGAGAAATGCTTGATTGGTTGTACTCCACCGCCGTAGTGGGGGCCGACCTCCCGTTGTCAATCTCCAGCCAGCCTTGCCTTGTCACTTTCTTTCAGCCTCGTATATCCTTTTCATCATTACATACAATCTTACCTGCTTGGCGGATGTTGCATCACTGCCCACAACTGAAAGGAAAGTCTAGCTGAACCGTCTCAATCCTACAGTCACTTTGTTGCGAACGAGCTTTGGAAGAATGCCAATCTTTCCACTCTTTCGACATCAACTTGGAAGTACCGGCTGGTAGATTGCTCTCCTCATAAGAACATCTGCAATGGCTGCCAATTACTGGGAGGTATTCTACACCTAATAATAATATGCCACTCTTTAGATCAAAAGCTAATCGTTCAGTAGTCAAGTCAACGAAAACACTGGCAATTCACACGAGAACAATTGGAGGATTTACGATCCAAGCTTGAGGATGAAGACCAAGCCCTCGTACAGGCGTATCCTCTGCCACAACTGAGGCACCTGAGCATATATTTTAACCAACGTATGAAGCAGTGCAGACCAACTTTCAAAGGGCTAAACCGATTAACATTCTATATAGAAATGACTCGACTTGGGAAACGCCTTGGTGTACGACAACAAGCAATGGCTACGGCACAATTATACATTCGCCGATTTTACTCGAAGGTCGAAATTCGGAAAACGAATCCGTACTTGGTTCTAGCAACAGCAGTATATTTGGCCTGCAAGATGGAAGAATGTCCACATCATATCAGACTTGTGGTTAGTGAAGGTAGAGGGCTATGGCCTGGTATGTTCTCCAGTAATTTCAATAGTGGATATTACGATCAACGAAATTGGCTGACGATAGTAGAATATTTCAGCAATGATACTTCGCGACTCGGAGAATGCGAATTCTTCCTCATCTCCGAGATGAGTTCACAAATGATAGTTCATCATCCTTACAGGAGTCTGACTGCTCTTCAAGGGACTTTCTCCTTAACAGCAGAAGAATCCAATCTTGCTTGGTCTATTGTAAATGACCATTACATGACCGATTTACCTCTCTTCTATGCACCCCATACCATTGCCATCATGGCTATTCTTCTAGCTCTAGTACTTCGCCCGAATGCGACTGGTATCCAATCTGCTAGTGGTTCCTCAGCTAGCAACATCGCAAGTGCTGCGCAAGCTGCATTAGCGACCGCTGGTCAAGCGAAGGGCGGGACTCCTGAGAAGCAAGGAGGAAGAACGAAAGTTCAAAGATTGGCAAGCTGGCTCGCAGAAAGTACTATCGATATCGAAGCGATAGTTGATTGCACGCAAGAAATGATATCATTTTATGAGGCTCAAGAGCAATATAATGAGAAGCTTACCAGGGAGCAGATCAATAGATTTATCAAAGCTCGAGGTTTGGATAAATGAAAGAAGACTTATGAGAAACGATAGGAAATGGACAAAGTCGCAAAGCAAACAAGCGGCATGCGTTGCTAAAACTCGATGATAGAACAAGGGAAGGGAACAGGAAAAAATGAAGGCTAGATACAGATCATATCATGAAGCTTTTCAGATGTCCGGAAGAGGAGAAGATGAACTCCCATCTTGGTGGCCACTTGGAAACAAAAGAACGTGGACTTTGATCCCGAGCTACCCACACATCATTGAAGAAGTCATGTCTCGGTAACATGGAGGATAAGAATTGCAAGGAAGCCCAACTTCTATATTGGCTAAATGAACCCATCATTGTACCATCAAGGGACTCATATCACATCCTACTCGCAACTCTTCAATCGAGATTCGGGAATCACTCTTCCTTTTCGCTTGGCCAGCTCGGTAGCTAGATCTAAACCGATTGGACACCTTGTTGGGTAGATCCCATATCATGAGACTTGGGTATAGTGTGGAGTGTTGGTTTCATGATCGACACGTGTCTCTGGGTCTGGGGGGGATGAATATATTCTGCCAGGATTGTATATGGGATTGTTGAAGACAATTCACAAAGTGTTTTGTGTGACGTGGCAGGGGGTATTCGTTAATTGGCTTAGAGATATTAGAGATATAGAATACAATATATTTCCAAAGGAATTGAAATGATAATCTATTTTGTTTTGTATATATAGGATTAAATCATTAATCAATAATTCTAATAAGTATCTTATAAACTCAATACTATATAGCTTTCTTTACTCTATAATATGTCTATTTTTCTAGCTCGCTTCAAGTTACTTAATTAGAATCTGTTAGATATCGATATAAGTAGTATTTATAATATAATAGAAATTCATTTAACTACTAATCGCATATTCAGACTATTATTCAAAGATCTATCTAGTATCTACTCGATTCTATTAAATCGATCGATTAAATCGAGAGAAATGATATTGATTAGTTTGTTTATATATATATTAAAAGTAAATAAAAACTAGTAAATAAAAACTAGTAAACTAAAAGACTAAAATACTAAAATACTACTGAGTAAAAGACTAGTTAACTTTTCAAATCGATAATTATATATTTATTCTTATTATATATATATATATCGATATTTAAAATAAACGCTTTTTATAAATTAGTTTTAGTTTTAGTTTTAGTTTTTAGTTTTTAGTTTTTAGTTTTTAGTTTTTAGTTTTTAGTTTTAGTTTTTATAATAATTTATAGTTTATTTATTTTAATAGTTTATATACTAGTTATAAAATGTGACTTATATATAAGCGAGACTTATTATATTATATTTTTTTATTTTACTTTATTTTTTAACTCTGTTTAACTTTATTTTATTTTATTTTATTTTTAATTAAATTTATTTAATAATCTAGAAACTATTTATAGAATTAAAAATATAAAAATACTACTAGTAGTGTTTTTTAAATCATTTCTATCTTATTAAAGATTTAAGAAGTTAATATCTATATATAGTACTAGTACTAGATTTAGCACGATTTTATAGTTATTGTTATTGTTATAATTATATTTTAATTTATAGTCTGAGTTAGAAGTAGTACTACTACTACTAGTAATCTAGACTAGAAAAAAGCATTGGACTGGAGGCCCTATACGCTCAGGTAACAATATACAATACATACAACATAACACAACACAGCCTTCCTTTCTCCGGAACAAGATAGGTAGGTAGGTAGGTAGGTAACGCTAGAAGGGAAGGGAAGGGAAGGGATGGAAAGGGGACATGGGTAAGGGTATCGGATGAGGATTGGGAGGGGAGGAGAGGGGATAAGAAGGGGAGGTGGGAGGTGATTAATAATCGTGTTGTTTTGGATTTTTTTTTAGGGGGTGTGATGGAGTTTTGGGGTTTTTTTGGATGTGTAATGTACAGTACCAGTACCTTGTAGATTCGTGGTTCTGTTGTGTTGCGATACTCGAGTAGGGGGAGGGAGGGGCTTTTTGAGTACAACTGGTTACTGGCAAGTATTTTGTAGTTTCATCGTTATGGCGAACTATAGCGTTTTCGATACCTGTACTTTATTACTCGTATAATATGATGAGAGGATTAAATTAGAAACACCAATCCATTTAAAACTTTATGCATAAATCTCGAATCTCGAATGGCTCGAATCTCGAATCTCCTATTCGAGCCTTTCAATTCTAATGTAATTGTGGAGTTATCGTCGCTTGGACGTAGAGGGGAAATCGGTTTTCGGAAGTCAGGGAGGGTGCTTTCAATCAACTCTCATCCCAATTAAATGAAAAGGGTACCGTTTGTGGTGACTCTGGCTATCGATGGATAAAACGGAAATGAGAAAATGAGAAATAAGAGTGCTCGCATGTACCGAAAAGAGTGTTAGGGAAGGGTATGGGTACAAGTACGGTATTTCGAATTCAACTTGGGAGATCATACAAGTGCCAACCAACCGCAGTACCTCCGCACCGAGCCCTCCCTCCACTTCATTCAGTGGCGTTTAGTACTTACCAATAATACGCATGTGTTCAACCATCGCTTTCTAAAACATTATGCAGGACTTTGTATGGAAGATGTTCTACCAGGGGTGTCGAATGGAGTTTGGTTTCTTTCTTTCCTTTGGGGAAAGGAAGGTTTAGTCTAGCATCGCATTGCATAAACACATAGATAGCATTTGCTGGCACTGGACACAACTGGAACTCAGGACTGGCGCTGCTGCGCTGACGGCGGTTGCATTTCTTAACTTATCTGATTTTCGGGGGCGAGTCGTGACCAATCATTTATGTGAAGATGATTTTTTTTGGTGTGTGACGGCGTCCACATTGAGAGCGGGAGCGACGGTTGATCCTTGAGTGGGTTGTTCCAGATTTTAATCATCCTTTCTTGGATGTTCAGTATTTACCGAGTAGACAAGCACTCATTCAGTTTCGGAGTACAAGAACTTGGAGGAGGCCTTAATGGAGACCGATGTAAACAAAAGGAATACTCTTTTCTGTATTTATTATAAAGTTACTGTAATAGTGTAGTAGTGCTGTACAGTTAGTTCCTTCTCCTGTATTTAAGATGAAGATATCCATGGCTATTTTTGGATTGGGTGGTGATTGATGTATGTACGGCATTCGATTAAGTTTGAAGAATTCAATATTCACACTTCAATGGGTTCATATTATTAGATAAATATGGGAATCAATATGGAGATGATAATAATGAAGATTCGGAATGATTACGTTGTTTATTTTATTTTATTTTGATAGACATTATCTAATGAGATCATCAGATGAATATCGAGTAGATGATCTGTTAAACCTATTCTATACTAGAGTAATGAGATATACAAAACTTTATTATCAATAATGAGAAGCTATTAGGTATCTATAGATATGAGATATAGAGATAGCAGAGTCAATAAGTCAATTAGTACCTTCTAGATGAGTGAATTATGAATTGTGCAGGAATCGAAGTACGGAGACCTTAACATCTAAAACGCCTACACTCTGATTTTATTCCTCCCCATTTCACCCTTTCGCTTCCTTAACCAGTGATATATCTTTATTAAGCTTTAGTCTAAACGTCTTTTAGTTTAGTTTGATAATTAGCTTCATCATTTGAGTACAACTTTGCATTACAATTCGCCACTACTTCTACTAATGGTTTCCTATCCCAGCCATTATTTATAAACCTATTTGTTCTCCCACATAATCTTCATTTCTCCTCTTACAGTTCAATCCAGCAAATTCCTTTTTGAATCTTCTACATCAATCACAGTTACAACTTCACTTCAAACTTTGATAAACACAATTATCAATCGATTAAACCATTAATATCTATCTCGATTACCTTTGATTACCTTTTGAATATATCTTCTACCAATTCAATCTATCCATCTTTATTCATCCTCTTGGAAAATCATTAATCCCAACAAATCCTGTCAAATTCCTTTGTTGTTCCATCACAAAGCCTTACCGGTCGGGTCACTTACCACTCACTACAACACAACACAACATCAATCATAACACACAAAATCCAAAAACCAACTGCACACCACCTATCACCCACTCTTGTATTATCCGCCTCCAACATACATGAGTCGAGATGTCTTCCTACTATCAACATTTCAACGCTCATCAACAGCACACAGCCCCTTCAAATGTTCAGAGTGGAACAGTACATAACCGAAGTCGCCGAAATGCACGTCTACCACAGAACAACCACAACAGAAACCAGAAGGGTGTGAAGCGTGAGGAGGAGGCTGCAGCGGTGATAATTTATCGCCGAACATTTGAATATGCTCGATCATTTGATTTAGAAGATGATGCAGAGTTCTGTCCTAATATCTTGACGGAAGAAGATATGGTATCAATGAATGGTTCTGGCTCTGATCGCTCTTCGTTGGCCAGTGGATCTCCCTCAAGTTCGCCACCCACAACAGTGGTATCGCCTGCTACGAACTTCGCATTCAATTCCAATTCTCATCCATTCATTCATTCCGGTTTCAATATTTCACCATTGAAAATTCATCAACCTTCTGCTACACGTATTGGGAGAAACGCTATTCCAATAGTGAATCCGAATGATGGAGGATTGATGTCGAGCCCGCCAACCTCAGTATCACCCACCAGAATGCAACAACATCAGCAACAAGCAAGGGCTCCTGTCCGATTTTATTAATACCTCACTACTTCCATTCTCAAGCATGAGCATTTGGTTTTCTTAACTTCGCCTTAATATATTTACGCATTCTCGTCAATCTTCATTGTGGCGGATTACCCCACTCTTCGACATCGATCTTCTTTTTCTACAACGGCACACAACAACATCACCTCAACGAATCCTCTTGTACATTATTCCGACTTCACCCTCTCGCCACGCATAAATTTCTCTGCACACCCCCCCCCCCTCCCTCCCTCTTCATACATTCTTTGAGATGGTTTTAATGGGCGCGACCTTACGATATTGATACCTTTGTTTAAATACGGAGATGGTGTTTACCCACTTTGATGGGTTCGATTTTGA